TCCGTGATTCCCTCTTCTCTCAGGACATCGCTATCTTCAACGCCACAAACTATAAGCTTATACCTATCCCGCAGGCTATGCTTGTCCAGGTTGGCGTCTATGTCGTCTTTAAAGTGGGGATTAGGTTCAACACCATAGACATGTTTGACAAGAGAGGTATCATAACGATGAATCTGATTGCCTGGCCCAGGGCCCAGTTCGAGAACAATGCCGCCAGCGGCTTGTACGAGCGAGGGAACAATGGTGGTGTCTTCGTACGCAATAAAATTGCCAGCTGCGCATGATGGTCAGTCTTCTCTGTACACGAGTTGAGCGAGGGAAGATATGGCGAGTGGGTTAGGTTACATGTTATACTGAGCAACTTTGCTGAAGCGGCATCTTGAATTTGTCGTGGGCGGCCAAGTGCTGCGAGACCGTCTCGACGAACCGCTTGCGTCAAGGCTTCCCAGTGCACTGTAGGGGAGGGATGATTAGTAGAGTTGTGGGAATTGGTGGCGGGGGTGACAAAGACGTACGGCAAATAGAGAACCAGATCAGGCCCCATGGACGGAGAATGGAAGCAAGGCGGCCAGGTTTGGGGGGCATGGTTATCTACGTGAGATGGTTATAAATGATGTCGAAAGGGACGAAATTTGTGTTGAGGAGAAAACAGAAGTTAGTCGCTCAAGTGTTACAGTCAAAGGTACAGGCAGCTCATTTGCACCTCAATGATCTGCTAATGAGGGCTTATGGCGCAATCTCGCCTATTACAGAGAGGGTAAGGTAAGCTTAGCGAAAGACATACCTTACCTACTGACTACGGTACCTAGGTACCTTCGTATTGAATACTACCTGGCCCACTGGCGGTATTTCCCGCTAGGATCTTGGATTCACCTGTTGGTCTAACTCTAGACTCCACCTGACTCAAGGGCGCTCCACTTGTGTAGGATTTAGTGCTTATTCCCACTAAGCATGCCCGTCTCCACATTTGCAAGTATCAGAGCTTGATTTGCGTACGTCCTACACAGAACTTGAGGAGGTGAACGGACCTTGACTAAATTGGAAGAGATGAACAAGGCTGTGCAACACGCATAGCTAGCCGCTCCTATTCTATTATTGAATCAATCAGTATTGAGTACAACTCGGTGTGACGACAAGGATAATCTTAGGTAGTTACTAGAGCCAGGCATGGGGTCTAGATAAAGGAAGACTATAAAGGCAGCTAAAATAGGTAATGGGTGTCTATGATTGAGGCTATTTCTGCAGAAGGTAAGTTTATTATGCTTATTTTGATGTTTAAGCATAAACAACTCTAGGAGGCCGTTTTCCAGGTGATATGTCTAATTGATACTATATAATTGTACTAAATGGGTTCACAATAAGTTGGATATCATAACAATTAAACCCAGTTTCCAGGATATAATAAGAACCAGCCATAGTATTTGTAAGCGTTAAAAAATATTAACATAACCCTGCCCCACGACATCCTTGATTTGATTGACATTGCGAGGACGAAAGTAGAGCCCTGAGTTTCTGGGAGCCATGGCCTGATGGGCAGGATCAGCATAACCGGTGATATGATTAGCATCAGTCTCAGTGGTTAGGCCAATTTCAAACAGGGCAATAATCTGAGCTAATAGAACATACATCTCATAATTTACAAGAGTATAGCCGGCACACATGCAGTAACCTAGACCATAACTAAAAATGGGTAAATCAGGGTACTCAAGCCACCCTTCAGGACGGAAGGTTTCAGGGTCCTTAAACAACTTAGGGTCTAAAGGAGAATGATAGATATGAAGTTAGAATAGACTTAACTCTGGTAGGCCGGCGAGGCAAAGCAGCAGTGCTTACCCATGTTGCATGCAAACATATTTAATATGACTGTGGTGCCCTCAGGGATGACTTTGCCTTCATATTGGAAGGGTTGCACTGTTAGCCTGGGGAGTGCTAATCTAGAAGGCATGTAGTATCTGTAAATGGTTAACATAACCACTGTCATAGCTAGATATCTAGGGAAAGGCAAGACGGACCTTAAAGATTCACGGACTAAAGCAGATATATAAGGAATCTCTTCTATATCCAGCATACATGCTTCAAAGAGCTGCTGATCATTTGCATAGACCTTCCTTATTGCCTTATATGCAGTGTCCTGAATATCTGGCTGTGTGGCAAGAAGTGTTACGCTCCAGTATATTATGCTACTTGCTATTGCTAACCCACTAGACAGGAAAGTCAGCAGCACCGTGGAGAGCTCTTTGACTGGGAGTGGATGAGCGCTTGCCATATTCTTCGCGTAGAGGCAGTCTTGGTGAGTTCTGGCCTGGAGTTTTGCTTCAATCTCTTGCTTCAGCCTAAGAATGTACGCGTCGCGACGTTTGCGTAGTTCTACCGCCTTACTATAATATAAATTCAACAGCCACGCACGAAAGAAAGAAATATAGTCCTGGAGATTGTCCGTCATGCTTCAAAACTTGAGAATTTCATCTTCAACGTCGATGATATTGTGGGTAAGAGGGTCACCAAGATACACCCGCCGACCATAACAGATCGAAAGTGAGAGACTTAGTGTTAGCCTTTTAATAGGCTTCGAAACCAGCACCGGATTCTGGCCTTTGCTACCGTAGATCAGAAGTTCTTGGAGAAGATGCTGAGTTTCAAGGTCAACCTTGACCAGATTTGCCTTGACGGCAGGTTTGCTTAGCTCTGCTGCTGTGGTCTTTTGGCCTTTTTTAACAGCATCGCCATACCCAGCAGTGCCAATGGTTGGACCTAGTGTACTAGCAATGATCTAATAACCCTAGTGATTAGGCTCTCTTAAGATACAGAATAGGTGGTAGGCTGGATGGTTAGGCAACGTATATTATGGAATGTATGAAAAACAGGTCTAGATGATAGAGCTGTAGCACTTCCTATAAATATTTCCTTTGCTGCTACTGCGGAGTTGATAATAAGTATTATCAGGGATCCAAATTGCACTTGAACAACGTCCCCATACACTTTTGCCCACTTGAAAAACTGCCTCTCGGCATGACAGTGGTATATTAAAGTGAGATTACCGATGATAGGCCAAGCAGCTGGTCCTGGAAACTGACAGACGGGCTTGTGTCTAAGCAAAAAAGCACAAAGTATTGTTACCAGGCATGCTAGTAGCTGTCGAACGCGGGAAGTTGCAGGGTCTGAGAAATTGATTTGTTGCAAGAAAGGTAAGGGCTGCTCTGAAAACTCCATGATTGCTACCAGCTCTGGCCATGGAGAAAGCTAAGATGTATGCAAGACTATTCTAGAGCCACTCTGTACGTTCTTATATAGCCCAGAATGACCGTTAATAACAGGAGGATCATGATATTGTCTAGGAAATGGTGTACATTGCATAGCTTCGGGGAAAAAGTCCCAACTACAGTAATGCGCAGACTCGTGTCAGCGTATACTGACCACGGAAAACTTCCATTTGTTAAAAGTGAGCGAAGTATGGAGACAGCATGTAATATAAAAGAGCAGTTAGTTTCACAGGCCATGAGTATTGCAAAAACCAGCAGCAAGGAAAGCCAGCATGGATCCTTAGCTGACCTGTTTACTACGCTGCTCTTGAGGTATTTTCTGGTCACTGGAGTGTTTACTCCGTAATAGGACCCAATGTTGTTCCAAGGCACTGTCTGTAGCAACCTTGACCCCTTCCATGAGCACACGGATCTGGCACTTTGGTCTGCTCTATGCAAGACAGGTTTGATATGAGCAGACGCAGATGACACAAAGTTTGAAGACTGCAAAGATGACACCAGTCCTGGTCCTCAGATCCATCTCAACAGCGTCGTCGAGGAAGACGGGCTGAACTTCTCCCTCAGCCAGCGCCAGCTCATGGCTCTCACAAGAGCTCTAGTGCGTGATTCCCGAATCATCGTCTGTGACGAGGCCACGTCAAGCATGGACATAGAGACTGATGACAAGATCCAACTCACAATGGCATCTGGCTTCCGTGGCAAAACCTTGCTTTGCATTGTGCATCATCTCCAAACCATCATAGGGTACAATCAGATCTGCGTTGTGGATGCTGGGCAAATCACACAGTTAGATACCCCTACAAATCTCTATCACAAGGAAGGCGCATCTTTCGCGGCATGTGTGAACGCAGCAGCATCCAGCCAGAGGATACCAAATCTGCTAGAGATACCATCACAGCCTTTGATGATATAAATAAGCGCGGGCCCTGCCTGCAAGCCGCGCACGCCGGCTTTACCGCTCGCTCCCCCAAAACTAAGCCTACCTACTCACCCAACTCCGAACTGGCCACTCATGGCTTATAACACATGGCAGGCGGAACGGCTTCCAAGATGAATAGTGCGAACGTGGAGGGACAGAAACCGTGGTCCACGTACTGATCTACTGCCCGCGGCTGGGCGGGCTACGCCAGGAATTGCGACGAAGAATCAGAGGAGCATTTAACAATATTTCTGATATACTGGGGGGAGAAGGCCAAGGTATGGAAGGTAGGGTACAAGATGTGCTAGAAGACAGCCACATCCTAGGGGTGGTACTGGATTTTGTAGAGGCATCACAGAGATTTTGAAGTCGCGTGCCACAAGGGCAGCAGAACAGAACCCCAGGCATCGGCCAACATAGGCCTTGACGAGGCTCCAAGTACGTCAGGAAAGTAATAGTTCACAGTGAATCGATGTACATAGAGATTAGAGATAGTGGTACCCTGCATATTGCTTAAGGCGAAAGGTCAGCGTAGCAAAGAATTCACAAGATTCAAACCATATTATCCTCTACCAAACAATATCCAGCAAGATACCAAATGCTTCTACAAAGGAATACAGATGCATTGTAGTCTGCCTAGTTCTCATAATAAGATGATATTACTCATGAGCATTTCTTGCTTGGCACAGTTACCCTATCAGTAAAGCAGGTCGACCCTCACCACAGATTCAATATGAGCCTGGACTGTCTTCCCTCTTCCGCCCCGCAAGAGTTTACACAGGAATTGGTGGCGTCTTGAGTGACTGTCCAGGAGCCTCGCATTAGACTCCTTCAAGACTAAAAAGCTCCCATCTGACGCCCTTGTGTTCACTCCACTCACTGCCCTCAGGCCCAACCACTTTGCTCCAGCCCCTGATCAATGCTCTCCAGTAGCATGTCTCGGCGGCAGGACTCAGATATCCTCCTTCGTAGAACAGCTCACGCTGTCTATCAGCGATGCCCTCCGCTATTGTTGGATGATTATTCAGCCATGCGATGGTAGCCTCGAGGTCGGACCAGTCCGGTGAGACCATCACCAGATTGGCATTCTCCGCATCAAGGTCGGTTCGCCAGGCGCGCTTGATGCGATCCGATTGATGTGGAGATCTCAGACTGGGTTCTGTCCGCAATAATGTGCTCGAAAAGACCGGTCTCACGAGATATGTGGTGTGCAGCATCCATGCCATGGGTGGCGTGAGGATGACGGAGCGGCAAGCCTGATGAAAGGGCAGCCGTCCAGAGTAGGTTACCCCCTCTGTGTAGATGATGTACTTGTACCGACAAAAGTCCTCAATGGCCAGCCCGTTCCTGGCCGTCTGGCCATTCGTTTCCCATTTAAGGGCCTGTACGTCCGCCCATGGTTTGCCTGCTGTAACCTGAATTAGTCGCTTGCGCGGATCATGGTTTTGCACATCATTGAACCAAGGTGTGCCGCGCCAGATAGCTTGTGGAATCTTAGCCTGAAACGTCAGATTTGCTTCGATCCCAGTGATCGCCGTCAGTGCCCGGTCCATGGATCCGATATACTGGAGCGGCCATGCCCAAAAGGCAAAGTGCGGCATGAGAAAGTCTCCTGCCTTGGTGGCCGTAGGATCGGATGGACGCGCATATGACCATGACTGTGCCATGGGCCGATCCTGGATGTTCAAAGCGAAAAGAGTGTCTGGCAAGGGGTCTGGAGAGGTGATGATTGCGCGATAGAGCTGGTTCAGCGCTGCTGTCCGTTCCTGATAAAGCATTATGTGCAGGTTCTTCAGTTGGACAGGAGGAGGACTTACAATCAGCATCTGCTCTGATAAGAATGCCTTCTTTTGCCAGTTTGAGATGTACAGCTGTGTTGCCTTGTGTCAGTGAAATCCAACTGCGTGTGACATGCGAGCCTACCCGATTGTCTTTGATGCTTCCCTGCAACGGCTCTCCTAATCGGGCCCATGTGAGAGTGAAGGGCCCACGAGAAACAGCATCCTCGATCTCGTTGAATAGGCCAGGAAAGGCGGCAGCACATTGGGAGTGGGACAATGATAGATTGCCGAACAGATGCTGCTGTGCCCTATCGAAGCCGCGAAAGGATTGAGACTCGGGGCTCCTTGGTGCATTTTCTCCAGTTCGGAGTCTTAGACCCAGGTATATGAGGAAGAAAAAACTTAGCACGAAGACGATCCGCTGCAGTTGTCTCATGATTCTGCACTCGCTGCTGGGCCCGCTAAGCATCTACAGAACTACAGATCCTGATATCTCATATCGATCAGCTCAGGCCAGCTGGTTTCAACTCATCTAGTCTGTACTGTGTATCCGCGGGGCGATTTCCCCATGGGGCGCTGCATTACCCGGCATCATCTCCGCGCTCAAAGTGGTTAGATGTATCTCTCTTTAGTCGAGATTCACCTCAATATAGGGTCCCCTTTAGGCATTGTAACAATCCAAATCACCTGATTCTATACTCGCAGATTCGTGAAGGAGATCAATTTGCCCTCAGATGCAGTCAGTAAGCTTTACTATACACAGAGCAGTCGAGCAATTCATCACACAGTAATCCGTCGACTTCTCAGGTATTCATAGTCGGGCATGGCATCGCGCACCATCTTCTCCAGCATAGTCGCCGCCTCATCTCCAAATTCCTCCTTCCACTGCTTGACCTCGGCTGTTATATCTACTGTGGTCGGCGTCTTGTCCTTGATGATCCCTGTGGACTTGGTTAAGGTGGAGAGCATGATGGACACAGCGGCCTTGGTCCACTCCGGCTCATTCAGACCTTTGGGATCACGTCCCGATGCTTCCCAGTCCGGGGCTTCTCCTTTGCTCTCCCACTCGAACTGCACCGCGCTCGGATCAAGCCCGGTCTCTTCGCAATACCGGACCACCACCTGGGGATTGTGGATGATGTCCTGGGCATCTACCACCACGGGCTTTCCGGGCAGATCAGGCTGCTCGAGACACCAGTCGTAGAGCATTCGCGTCCATTTCAAGGTCATGTTGGTCGCCAGTGTCCCGGTGGTGTCCTCCGTCTGCATAAGGCCGCTTTTCAGCAACTTTTCCATGGCGCGGTAGAGAGAAGGGAAGGCCAACGCCGGGTGACGAATGATAAAAGTCCATCTCCAGGTCCGGAGGTATTCGTCGGGCAAAACAGTCTGATTGAGAGGGGAGAAGGTTTGCGTGGGACCGTACTTGTCGGGAATGTTTGGTCGGAAGCTGACGGCATGGTCAGTCATACCCCCCAACGCGGCTGGATTGGTGAGCCAGAAGGCGTGCTCCTTGGCGAATGCAATCTTTCCTTCTTGCTCCGCTCGCTGGGAGTACTCCTCGAGAGAATCGACCGCGTTCTGGAAGGCATCGCGGATCTCGTGCTTCTGGCCCTCGCTCCACTCTTCGATGGATTTACTTAGGCGACCGTCCCGGGCGACCGTGCTGAAGGCGTCGAAGAAGAAATAGCCTCCTTTCTCGGTTGTCATCAACTGCTGACGACGGACATTGAGGATCTTGAGCATGAGGTTCGACGCCGTGCGAGGGACACTGATGAGGAGCAGGCGGGAGGGAGACTGCGATCTGTTGATGACAGTCATGATGGGTAAATTGATGATTGGCTGTTTGACAGTGTAGCAGTACTGAGAAAGGATCAATAAGAGAACAGGAAGATGGCTACATCTAACTGGCAGATGGCGTGATTGCTCTAACGGTATTTATACATCGTCATCTCCTCCACTTTCCAGGCCCAGAATGATACCTCTCGCTCCACCCCTGCAATGTTCTGCCTCAGCTGTGACTCGTGAGACGCCATTTCGGCTTCGGAGGATGCTGATTGTTCGTCCGCCCCGAAGCGGGGGAGTCTTCCGGCTTTCTGATCGAGTACTTTATGGGGCTTGGCTGCAATAGCGACGTGCAATTGGACAGAAGAGGGAACGAGATGTTGCATCTCCTTGATGTTGGCATGATCACACTCGGCTTTCGGACACTGCAGAGTCCGAGGAGGGGTGATACACAGGGATTAAAGCGGGAAAAACCTACATGAGCATGTACGATAATGCAAGTACGCTTCTATCTGATTCGAGGATGATTTATGGACGCGATGTCAAGGATGCCTGCAATTTCCCACTCATTAAAGGTGGGACAACCCCTTCAAACAAATTGCAAATATTGATTGGGCAGCAAAACCGAGGCAGAACCGCTCCACATTTTTTCAGATCTCGACAATATTTCGCTAGCTGCCTCAAAAGGTCGCCTTGGCCAGATTGGAGTCAAAGTTGGCATCCTTGAACGGCACATTGGCATCGCCAAAGTCGGTGTCCTCCAGCGCCGTCTGGGCCACGGTTGGCAGACTCTCCCAGGCGATCAGGGGCTGTGTGCCTCCCACAGTCGAGGTGAGACCACACTGGTGATCCACCGGCCAGATGCTGTAGTAGTCGATGAGGGGTTTGGTTCCACTGAGGGTGTATCCATCTGTCGAGCAGTCCCAGCCACCATGGGCGGACGGACACACGGCGACAATGTTGTCGGCCGAGGTGGAGGTGGAAGACGAGAGCCAGACAATGACTCCCTCCCAGTCATGGCGATGTCCCAGGCCAGTCGAGGGCTCGTCCTTGGGAAAATACCACGAGTACATGAGGGCGTAGTAGTCACCATACGTGGCTCCGCGCACGTAAATCTGGCCAGTGCTGCTGGCGCAGTCGCCGTTGGATGCTCCTGTCGGGGCAAGGCCGGCGCTGTCGGTATTAGCTTCGACAGAACATTCAGTCGTGCCATGGGAGAACCTACTTGGTGTTGCCCTCTGCATCGACCGCGGGGAATGGAACGCAGCCGTTCACCACCTTGAGGTACGGCTGGTAGGCAAGATAGACTTCTCCGGTAGTACCGCTGGGAACAGTCTGGGAGAACCCTACCACCGCATCGCTGTCGATGCTGGCTCGGGGAAGCACGGCTCCCTGGGCGAAGCCTCCAAGAGTGGCAAGAGTGAGAAGGAAGGCCATGTTGCGCGGGTCTGAGCGATGAGCTGCACAGTAGTCATGCAACAGACAAGGATGAGGGATCTCGGCATTTTTATAGTCATAAACTTTGTCAACTAAGCATAATAAAGAGGAGAAGCACATTCATGGACCTCTTGACAGGATATTAATTTTCCGCCATGCCAACAATCGGCGCGATGGTGTTTATTTCCTTGCAGATCTGCAGCCGAGGAACGTGACGAATCCGGCAACGATCAGTGGCCGAGCCTTTCTCCGTGGCTGGTCTATAAGAAACGCGCCATCTCGTCAACAAGACTTTCGGCATCGCAAGCACGGAGGTCATACGAATCCAGGGATATTTCCGCCAATCGCAAAAGGTCGGTATGGACCGCAGCACGAGGCTATATTAGGGCTCTCGCCGGCTCGACATGTGCAACTATGCTTCCTTCTGATTCACTCTTTATTGTTTAAATGCGTATGGATATTGACAACGGCAGTCTGCTATGAGACAATTAATCGTCGGGCTCAGGTCAAGACATGTACGAGCTGACGAATCTGTGGGACAGTACACGAATCAAGCGATAGTATACAATGAATCGAACAATTCGAGGTAAACTCGAAGTGGTTAGGGGGGCCAAGAAATAACCACCGTTACAGGGCACCACCGCTCTTCAAGGCACCGGGAAAATCGTCTTTGATGGCATCCCAGAATGGCCTACCGCCGATCTGCAGGTCTTTGAACGCGGGACACGACATGTTCAGGAGAGGGACAGAGAGGACCTGGTCGATCATCTCCAACGGGACTGCCAAGGTCTTGTACAGTCCAGCCAAAGCATTGGGACTGGCAAACTTGAGCACTTCAAAGACAAAGCAGAGCAGATTATTGCCCTCCAGCAGCGTGGTGAGGTTCAGGACGCCTCCCGTCAAATCGGAGAGATCCACCCCGGTGAAGCTGTTGACCGTGCCGGTATTTCCCCCGATGCTAGATCATTCATGATGAGCAGTGTTTGGAGCGATGGAGATGGCAGGAGCAGGAAACTCACCTTCCGAGTTCCGGATACTTCAGTACCCAGTCGACCGTGTCGAGATTCAGCTGCACCAGGCCATAATCCACAGGAGTCTTGTACCACTTCTCAGGGATTCTTTCCCATCCTTCACGGTAAGTCAAGTTGCCTTCCTCTCCATAAATGGCGAAAAAGCTGCGAACAATCTCCTTGGCTATTCGCCTGTCAGTTTTCATTCACACTCCAAACGATTGATTCTTACTCAAAACCCCCTCTGGGTTCTCATGCGAATGATTCCGGAATAGTCGTCCGGCGAAGATATAGCCAGCATTCCGAGCAATTAGACCCGTCACTGGTCCGTAGTAGAAGTCTGGGTTCGTCTGGATGGTCTGATCCAGGCGGATTTTGGCCCGCTCAGCCATCAGGTCCAGGCTGAAAGTCCCGTCGGTTGACATGTTGTACCATTCCATGAACTTGTCCATGTTCAGCGCGTAGTTGTTCCCAGTGACATACAGATCGTCCCGCGTGTTGGAGGAATCGGACTCGATAAAGTTGTGCGAACCAATAAGTCCCTCGGGCTCACCTGGAATGCATTAGTCGACGAGTATCCGTCTGCGATGGAACTAGAAGCACACCAAGGAGACCCCCCAGGTTGTTCAGCAGATTGTTGACTCCAGTATCGCGACCTCCGATAGAGAAACTGGGCTCGAGAGCGAGTGGATTGCCCGTCCACACGACTCCCATCAATGCCAGCACCGTGGCCAGGTCTACTCCCATTCCATACACTGTAAAGGTCAACGGCCTAGGTCCAGGCAACAGATGTCCTCAAGATTTGCTTACCCTTGTTAATGGCCGCAATGACCTCGACAAACTGCCTTCATGTCAGGACCAAACCCTCTCAAGACTGTCAGGATCACATACCGATACAACTCCGCTGCGAGGGATATAACCATGATTCGCCAGTGCGTTTAACCCAGGACAAGGACCCCGTTGGTCCCCATTCTCAAAATTCGGAGGCTGGAAAGCGTGTACGCCGGTCACTGTCCCTCTATTAACGCCGTTCCACCCTTTCAGAGCCAAGGAGTGATAAGAATAGAATAGCATACCATCAATGGGCTCGGACATCGAGTCCACCAGGAATCGCTTTCGCAGCTCTGAATCTTCTTTGCCTTTCAGCGCAGCGTATGGGCAGTTCCTATGGGCAGATCCTCCCATTCGATCAGGAAAGCCTGAGGCTAGGGAACCCAGACCCAGAAGGGCCAAGGAAATAATGGCCTTCATGCTGGAGGGTAGTTCTCACAGCCACAAGGAGTATATGGAGCGTTGAGAGAGGAAGCTCTGCAGGAAGAGTGACAGTAAAGCAGCGGCTGGTCCTCTGCCGTCAAAAACCTCGAGAGCGCCTCTACACAAATAGACGTTGAGGAGGAGCACACCGGGTAGTATTCAGTTGACCTCAACCGAAGATATGCCCCTGGAGATTCAATATTACTGACGGCGATCGTCATTGCGGTTTACTAATTACCTTCCCCTGAGTCGAGCTGGGCCTACAGTGCTCAGACGTGTTCCTAATTCAGATACAGGGCAAACCTTACCCTCATCGCTCTAAATGACATGCACAGGGTAGATACAATATAGCAACGGGCAAGAGCCGGAGCCAAGGGCTCGTCAAGTAAAAGTACGGGGTCCCACATGCCAACCTGCTGGATTATGAGTGAGAAATTAGAATAAGACTTCGGAAAAGTTATGGTCGACAGGCATGGGCCCACATAAGTTTATAACCTAGAATGACAGGCGGGTCTTCAGGGCAACTTCAACACGTTAACTGGACGCCGTAGCTCTAGAACAACGGTCAAAGCCACTGGAAAACATCCCCTTAAACCTTGTTCTCTTTCAACTCCTGCATTTTCCATTCTGGTCGCAAGAAACGGGATTGTTCATCTTTAGTCTCATCTGCCGTTACCTAAAGCGGCCGTAGTTTCCCCCGGGCGTCTCAGGTATCGCGCGACAACAAACCACCGACGTCGATCAGACTCATTCATAAAAAGATCCCATACAAACTGCTCTCCACTTGGGCTCTGCCAAAGATCTGCATACATATATCTTGCGGCAGGCGTATATTCAATCACGGAGTAAGTCAAAACCGAACACGAGCGATTCTCGCGGCTAGTCTTGGCTACACGGATTTAGGCTCCATTGTGGCTTCTAGCAAATTAGCAGATCCAATCATGACTTTTGAGAAGAAATGACAGCTCGGAGAAGAAACCCCTTCCGGCAGTGGACGGCTCGGTCGTCTCCAGAACGATTTGCCATGGAATCGTGGCCGTGGCCCTAGCTACACACTGAGAAGGATGGTACTGCAGACTGCAGAGTTAAACCCTGCTTTGAATTTAGGCTATCTATGCATCCACGGCCATTTTTCGCAAGTATGCATTTATCTGTGACAAGCTTGCTATCGATAGAGTTCATCTAGACCTGAGTCCTCATCCCAGTCAAATTCAGCGTAAGACAAACATCAAAATGCCAAAACGAGTCAGGCTTCAGGGGTCGAATAGACTAGCTTGTCTAAAGATAAGCCGGAATGGTCGTCAATATCCAATGCCCCAGCCGGAAGAAGTCAATGGTAAAGATTTCCAAGTCAGAGCAGTCTGGGGTAACTGTCATGCACGGTGTCGATCGTAATAGTACATAGGGACTGAAGACTCACTCAATCAAGCCTGACTCGACTCCACTAGACAATACATAGTTTGTTTTGGAGACTAGATTCCAAGCCCAACAGCAGAGATATCTGGAAAGTGAAAACTGAAAGGGGGCAAGATACAACGGTCCGCGCCCCTCTATCCTCACCCTTTGATAACACGGAAGAGTTGAATTGTGTTTTGCTTGGCGTTGGGGGCGTATAATTGTACAGATCCACAGCATTGTGTATCCTCAGTCTAGAAGCAGTTAGGTTCCTCTCGAATTGCCTGGTTATCTCATGTGCATCGTCTTCTTTACGCATTCTCACGGATCCAGAACTTCTGGATCAGCAGTTGAGAACCCAATCAGCTCAGATACCGGACTTCTTATGAATCTTTCTAGTCATTAGGAGCCCTGGATGATTTGTTGGAACTTCCGGCATGACATAGGACTGCCATATGCCGCACTAGTGTACTGCACAAGAGCAGTAGCGAAGGAGATCGGTGGATGATCATACCTTTCCAGCTTTGCGGTTTTCGGGCTGTCACCGATTTCGTGCTCTCGACACCTGCCAGTAAGCGTCGCCAGAGGGTGCATCAAGAAGCCTCTCTTTATGTTTAGAACTTTCTCTTTCTCTTCTTCGTAGTTGGCTGACTCGCATGTTGTTCGTTCACCTCCCGGCGTTTGTCCACAAACGTACGAATTCAGCAGGATGAAGGTGCTTAGACTCTTCATTGTCCTACTTTCATGGTCTGGGTATGTCACTGCCAATATGCAGGAGCTGGCGGCAGCTTTGCCCTCATGCGCAGTAAGTCGACGCCAAGATGCCTTCAGTTTTGGAGCGGTCATGCTGATATATCTAGCTGAAATGCATGGTTTCGACAGTCTCCCATTCAGACTGCACCATCACAAACCAAACGTGTATGTGTACAGATCCGCTTTTTACCAGCACACTCGAAACATGCGTGAGAGCAAACTGTACCATTCGCGAGTCTCTAAGTAAGTCTATGTCTGTAGGCTCAAAGCGTCTGAACGACTGACTGGATCAGCCACGAAAAATGTGACTACATCAGCTTGTGGACAGCCGATTCGGGACCGGACCCGTGTGGTCTCAATTGCCGGGGTCGCTGGAGGCGTTTTGGCAGTGATTGCTTTTGCGTTGCGCATGATTGCGAGACTCCCATGCTGTGGTGGTCAGTTTGGAATGGATGACTTGGCAATGATCTTGACGATGGTGAGAGACCTAGACTTTGCGCGGTTGAGGCGAGCTAATTCCGTCAGTCACTGGTCATACCTCTTTCTGCGTTGTCGGTTGTCTGTATGTACCCCTTATTTCGCGTTCTTCAGAGATACTGTACATACTGACTGTCATCACAGTGGCCGATTCGGGTCTGGGAAAAGACATCTGGACAGTGTCGCCAGACCATATCACACATATCCTCTACGTGAGTTTCCTTAGATGCAGTGTCACGGGTTATTCTAACAGAATCTCTAGGTCTACTTCTACGACGAATGTCTTTATCTCAGTATCATTCCATTGACCAAGATCTCCATCCTCTTATTCTACCTCCGCGTGTTTCCCGCGCGTTCCTTTCGAATCATGACATATGCTGTGATTGGGCTAAATACCTGCTATCTGATCGTTTTTGTCTTGATCTCGGTCTTCCAATGTAAACCGATCAAGGGCGCCTGGCTGCACTGGGACGGGGAAGGCCACTACTCGTGCAACAACATCAATGCGCAAGGCTGGGCTGCAGCAGCGATCAATATGGCACTGGATCTGATTGTTATGGCCCTGCCATTGCGCGAGCTGTATCGGCTCAATCTCTCACTGCGCAAGAAGCTTTTTGTCATGTCCATGTTCAGCTTAGGACTCTTGTAAGTCTTCCGTTTGCATATGATATCTCCTCCCAGCTCATCCAGTACAGCGTCACCTTGGTCAGTATCATCCGACTCAACTCACTCATTCACTTTGCCTCGACCGACAATCTGACCTGTAAGTCTAATCCTCTGGACGTGAAACCTAAAGAAATCTTCTCTGATTGCCCTCTGCCACAGGGGACTATGTCGAAATCGGATACTGGAGTACGATCGAGGTCCATGTGGGCGTCATATGCGCCTGTCTGCCGGCCATTCGTGCCCTAATGCGTCGTCTATGTCCGAGCATGTTTGGAGACACCACACCCGCTGCTTCCAAGCAGTCTGGGTCTCGGTCGGGAAGAGCTGCTTCCCGAACGGAGGGGAATATTTTGAATCGTTCGAGCCACACTGCTTGGTCAGAAGGAAAGTTTGTGCCGTTGGTGGACCTGGAAAATGCCCCAAAGGACGCGAGTCGTTCAACATGAAATTGCTGGCCTCTTAGTATTGAAAATGATCCTGTTGTTACACTCATTCCGTTTCCTTTGTCAATACGTATCGTTCTTATGTGTCAAAGGCTTTGGTTCTGCAACACGCCTTTGACAACGGCCTCGGCTCCTACATAGTATCGAATATATTCATAATGCCTCAACTTTCGAGGTTAATCATGTTCAAAATAGTGGTATCAACTGGCTTGCTGTCGATATTCACATTACGACGCCACTATACTAAACTTTACTCTCCAATCTAGCTCGAACAGCGGCAATGTCACAGTCATCCGGAATGTCTCAACACGCGAACTGAAAGCAGCAAGCATAGCTTCAAGGGGGATACGCTAGTTCGAGTCTGACACCGTCAATCAACAGGCAATTCCCCCATTCAGTAACCCGCACGAGTGCCTGTCTACTGTTAGTAGAAAGTGGGTCTCCCGATTGTCTCTCGGAAAAGACTTCTTTTGTTCCTCAATACGGATGAGCAGAAGTCTCTGCAGCATACATGTCGTTTTGCACGCAGCTATTGATCGGTATCGGAGTGTTTCTTTTCCTCGACTTCTCCCCAAGTCCGTATCCCTCGCTGTCAAGTTGTTGGTTGTCACCCGTCATTCATCATGATCTTCAACATTAAGCCGTTGAGTGGATCCAGGGGCTCCGTGGCGACGTAGCCTGCCAGGGTTTATCCGGAATGCATCCTGAAGCACTTAAACGATCCATCAATTCTCCTTTAGGCTAGAACGTCCAACGGCGCGAACTTTGCTGAGCGCCACCTTTCTGCAGTGGTGCTCAACGAAGCCCCCACGAGTGCCTTTTCGGCTCCACGAGGTAAGGTCTTCATTGGTGGAGAATGGAACGTCAAAGACAGAACTGATTGTCCAAAGCTAGGCCCTCTTTGGGCCAGGATCCGGCATTACCTCCAGAGTAGTATGGATATTGTACATCAGGTGCGGGAGCGACTACCGTTGACGCTTTGCAGGTAATGATCACTCCAACAGATACTTCGGACAACGATATCATGGACTGGGGCGGAATGATTGACACGTCTGGGCATAGTATAGGAAAATAGAAATAGGAACATCGAGCGAGAAGAGCTGATCACAATGAATGACTTCCTCCGCTAAGGATACACTAAACATAACCTGGCTCGTATTGACAACATGACTGGGCCCTCTGGTAAAACAATCCCGTCCGGTGGGCATAAACAATGTCGGTCGAGCCTACATTTCATAGCCCGTCGACTATCACTAATTAGGAGACACGCGGGAAAGTATTGATCAAGCAACTGGGCTAGTGTCCTTTGCGCTTCAGAGGCGGCCGTAGGAGCCTTCAAGATCTCTCCACCTCGAGTCAGTCCGTTAGTGTCATTGCTCCCCCCAGCCAGCTACGCCTATGTGCTCGAAGCCTCGAAGCCATCTCCTTTAAGGGGGTAGCTCAGGACCGTTGGTCATACGGGGAACAGCGGCTCATCTACCGTCCATATGCGAATGTCGATCAATATTCACGTTGCTTGTGTAATTGGAAACGTTGCGACAGCTGTAAAATCAGGAGGTCCTGCTTGTCGTAGATATAAACTGCTCTTGAATCAGAGCTTTGCTTCCTGTTAGGGTCCCCTTTACCTGGCAACATCGTATGTCTCCCTTGAGCACATAGTCATTGGCTTAACATGCACATCATCAAGGGGTTCTCGATATTTGCCCTCCTCTTCGGGGCTTTAGTCAGGTAGGCAGCCTGATTTACACCTCTTGTGGATCGTCCGCAGTGGTAAAAACTGACAACCTCATTCTATGCTTTCAGTGGCCATGATGCAAGCCATCAAGCTTATCACCGACCCCAGGCTCGGTCCACATACAGCGCACCACGAGCGACCAACGAGACCGCCGAGTATGACTATATTGTGGTCGGCTCTGGGCCCGGAGGAGGCCCCCTCGCAGCCCGGCTGGCCGTTGCCGGGTACAAGGTCCTCTTGCTCGATGCCGGAGACGATCAAGGAGATGCCCTCCGACAACAAGTCCCCGCTCTTCAGCTGCAATCAACCGAGTATGAGCCGATGCGATGGGACTACTTTGTGAATCATTACTCGGACCTAGACCGCCAGAAGCAAGATTCCAAGATGACCTACCGAACGCCTGCGGGGGAGTTGTATGTTGGTCAGGATCCCCCGGCGAACTCGGAGCCCCTGGGCATATTGTATCCCCGTGCGGGCACACTGGGTGGTTGCTCGGCGCACAACGCCATGATGTGAGTCGCCTTGATTGCATCAGAGATATCCTGGGCGTATGCTGACTTCTTTAGCACCATCTACCCGTACGAGAGCGACTGGGAAGATCTCGCCACGCTTACTGGCAATGACTCCTGGGCTCCAGATAAGATGCGCGGCTACTTCAAACGCCTCGAGCGCAACCGATACCTTCCCAACAGCCTGATAGGTCATGGCTTTGATGGCTGGTTGACCACCAGTCTGACCCAGTTGACACTTGTGCTGGAGGATCAGAAGCTGTTGTCTTTGGTCATTGCGGCAGCCACCGCAGCGGGAAAGAGCCTGCTGGGTATGATACTCAATACCGTCACTGGGCTGGGGGACATCCTGCTGCGCGACATCAACAACGCGCTGCCCACCCGGGACCAGGAGACTGGACTCTTCCAAGTCCCCATCGCGGTCGATGTGCCCGATTACAAACGCACCGGTCCTCGAGACTTTCTCATGCAGACAGTCAACAGTGTCAACGCCGACGGCTCTCGCAAATATCACCTGGACATCCAGCTGAACACGTTGGTCACAAATGTTCGCTTTGATACGACCGGTGAGAGACCGAGAGCTATTGGCGTCGATTATCTCCGTGGCCAGAGCCTCTACCGCGCCGATCCCCGGGCAAGCAAATCATCCGCAGGAACTCCAGGCAGCGTCAATGCTGCCAAGGAGGTCATTCTCTCGGCAGGCACCTTCAACACGCCCCAGCTGCTCAAGCTCAGTGGCATCGGGCCAAAGGAAGAGTTGAGCAAGTGGAGCATCACCACTCTGGTGGACTTGCCCGGTGTGGGCAAGAATCTGCAAGACCGTTATGAGACCGGCGTGGTGGGCAAGTCCCCCACGGACTTTGTCCTCACAAGCAAGTGCACTTTCATGTATAGCATGCCTGATCCCTGCCTGGACCAGTGGCAGAACAACGCCATCGACAAGGGCACCTATACAACGAACGGTATTGCCATCGCCATCCTCCGTAAGACATCCACGGCCGAAGGAAACCCCGATGTGCTCATTTCGGGCGCTCCAGTCAACTTTCCTGGCTACTATCCCAACTACTCCTACGAGGGCCTGAAGGATGCGCAGCACTGGACCTGGATTACCCTGAAGGCCCAGAGCCGGAACAACGCCGGCACGATCGAACTGCGCTCGACGGACCCTAGAGATACTCCGATCATCAACTTCAACTCGTTTGATAGCGGTGTGACGGAGAACGGGGCGGACGAGAAGGACCTCCAGGCCGTCTATGAGTCTATGCAGTTCTCCCGAAAGATCTTTGACGATCTGGTGCCTTTGGACGGCGTGTTTGAAGAAGTATGGCCTGGTCCCAATGTGACCACCGAGGCGGAATTGAAGGACTTTATCAAACGGGAGGCATGGGGCCATCATGCCTGCTGTACCGCCGCAATCGGAGCGGACGAGGATCCCAACGCTGTCCTTGACTCGGACTTTCGTGTGCGTGGTGTGGATGGCCTGCGCGTCGTGGATGCCTCGGTGTTCCCCAAGATCCCGGGATGGTACATCGCGCTTCCCATCTATATGATCAGCGAGAAGGCTGCCGATGTCATTATTGCCGATGCGGCAAAGATTCTCTCTCGATGATGTATATACATTGCCTTCTTGTTCATTTTGGATCGCCCGGTTGGATATCGTTGTATATTAAACTACCTTCAGACATAACTTTATCAGCGGAATTCTGCACGAGTATCTGAGTAGGCAGTTTACTTTGTTGTGCTCTTAACTCTATAATCTTACAATTTCGATCCTGACTTGACCACTTTAATCAAAGCCCGGCCGTTGCTCAAGACGACCTTGCCCTTGTCATTCTTTGTCACGAATCGGATCTCTTCGAACCCATCCGTGACATCGCCGATCCTCCACATTTCCGTGGTGAGACGGTCACCTGGCCTCACTGGAGATGCAAACCGGGCCTGAAATTCGCGAAAGTTGTTGGGATTGCTGCCACCGAAGGCCTTGAGAACGGCGTGAGCAGTACTATTCCAGCTGAAGAGACCGTGGATGATTGTGCCTCCGAAGCCCATCTGCTGTCCTGGCTCGGGAGTAGCATGAAGAGGGTTGTAGTCGCCGTTCAGACTTCAGTGTGAAATTAGTCAGGGTTCCTAATGACCAGCGAACACGGCGCAACGACTCACCGATACAGAAGGGCAGTTTCCGGTGTGGTTTGCACTTCATGCGTGGCATCGGGTTTACGGCCTTCCGGGGGAGGATAGTTGGGAGTGCTGGGGCCTAGAGAGACAAGTTAGCATCTGCAATTGGACAGGTAGAAAGGAAGCAAGAGACTGACCCTTGGGACCACCCCAATTACCCTGGCCGACAAAGAACCCACTGCTCACTACCTTGGTGTAGACCTCCCCCGTTGCTTTATCCACGATGGTTTGTTCTGTCTCCATTACCGAGCCAGCCTTGCCCTTGTCGTAGACACCGATGACCTTGTTGCGCAACTCAAACTGTTTCCCGGCACTGGTCGGTGGCAGGGGCTTGAAGACGGTCAATTTGCGCTGGCCATCGACCGACCGTTTGGGGTCGAATTTGGGGACCCCCGGAACCGGGTTGGCTTTTTGACGGGCATAGAAGTCGGTCACCTCCGAGTCTGTGAGCTTGAATGCTATGTTACGAGACAAGTTAGCCGAATTAATCATGCAGTGTTCTTCCTCTCTCAGGGTGAACCTACGCAGGATAATCGGGTAAGTCGGAAAGACAGCAAAGTTGGGATGCAGCTCCTATTTGAAGGTAAATATCGACACAGATAATCGTAAGAGAGAAGGGTTTCATACATAGAGAAAATGCAGCTCGTCGGCGGTCGCCCCGATGCTGTTGGCAAAGAGCAAGACATCCCGTTTGAGCCAGGAGACTTGCTGTGCGGGGAATTCGTGACCAGCTCCGGGTCCAGACATTTTCTTTCTGAGGAGTAATGTAGATCTATTTTGGTCTTCAATCGATTGAAATGCAGAGATTGATGAAGAGGGTCGATGATGGCTATTTATGTATGCGGGGACAAATCCACAGTGTTTATGCGGGGTTGCCGAGGCATTTCGGGACGCGTTGCAGACCGAGCTTCTTGAGACACTCTAGTCTACAACAAGATCCATTTCGCTCCATCGGATACGTACATCTTCTGGGCAAATCCGACTTGATAAGACCTGTCTAAGGTCCTGTATGGTCAGAAGAATAGCATATGCAGAAATCGAGCCGTCCTTGCGTGTATCTTAGTGGTTGACTCGCAGCAAATATATTTTTTGGATTAATGATCTACATGGACAAGGACTCAATACTCCAGACCATGAACTTTCAAGCCAGATGACCCATCACTTGTAAGAATACTATCAAGTTGTCGAGAGAGCATCCGGACGAGGAGTATGATCTCTGCCAGGCGCTTCGTTCTTGAACTGGATGCCTGGGGAATCAGACCAGAAGAGGCCTCTCACGTGATCATGGTCTCGTGACTCTTGGGGAGCACATCAGATCGATCGATAAAACACAGACAATATCATCTCCTACAAGCTATTTTCATCGAAATGTATCTCAAACAATGATTCCTTCCGAATAGGAGGCATCGAACTGTTGCTTGACATTGACAAATGCATACGCACCATGAAGGTGGCTACTTCTTGCAGTCAATGTCGGGCCGCCAAGCGGAAATGCACCGCTGGTCCTGTCCCTCATAGTGCTTGCATGCCGTGTCTCCAAAGACGCCAAGACTGCTCCCTGTCGGCGAGGTCAGACTCGACTTATCCCAAGTCTCTGGCTCCAGCTGTTTCCGTTCCTTTCAATCATCGTGATATCTCGACAACAGATGATCGTGCCGACGTGGAGGATGATGTCCGGGATCAGCTTGTTGACCTCTATCTGAAGCTCATCCATGACAAACCTCACACATTATTCCATCCTTCCTCTCTGAAGACGCGGATTCGGAATGGCTCATTGCCCCGGTCGATCCTCTTCAGTATCTTGACTCTAGCGGCTCGGTGAGTTGGACGCAAACCTGTAGCTGGTCTGAGGTCTCACAAAATGACGGAAAGGTTCGTTAGCCATCCGGACATACGGCAGCGAGTACAGGCCTTTTTCGAAGCGGCTAAAAACTCGGTTAAAAAAGCGATCGACGAGGTGTCTCTCGACAATATTCACGCCACGATTCTCATCGGTAACATTTGCGGAGCCGAGGGTGATCCCAATGGCGAGTCCTTATTCTTCGGTAAGTGCAGTTGATGCCATACTACTCCGTGGAAAATACTAACTTCCGGTGCAGGAATCGCTTTTCGAATGGCACAAATACTTCGTCTGCCTGAACCCGCGCCAGAGGATGATGCAATCAGCCAAGAGATCAAGCTACGCACCTGGTGGTCGCTCTACATGATTGATCAATGGTCCTCCGCGGGCTTGGATATTCCCCGTCAGATCCATGACAGTGGACGATATCGGCTGCCCATGCCTGAGGTAGAATTCTGGAACTTAACGGGAGGGCAGAGCATCGCCATTGACAGACAGAACTTTCAACCAGGTCTTTGGGGATACATGGTGATCCTGGCCAAGGTGTTCGGCGGAATACAACAGTTGCACCGACAATTGACCGATGGGGCTCTGACGGATGTGGATGCGGAATTGAAAACCCGGCAGCTGGCATCGGAGCTCGAAGCCTTTACCCGAAGTCTTCCTCCTGATCTCACTCTTACGCCGGAGAATTTGCATCGCCATGCCATGCTGGGATTAGGCCAGTCATTTGTGGCACTCCACCTGGGCTACCACCATTACTCAACCCTGCTATACTTCCAATACCTAGATGTCCACCTTGCCCGAATTCCAAACCAGACTCTCTTTGCCGCCCGCTGCAAGCACCATGCCGCGGCACTAAGCGACCTCTTAAGGACCGCCAGTGAATGTCCTGGATGTGACGCGGTGTATTTCATCGTTGCCCATATGACAGTCATTTCATCGTCAGCTTTACTGCATACGTTACTTTTCGGCGAACCTGACGAGCTACCAGACACTAAAAGAAGGCTTTTTTATAACTTTCAGGTACTGCTGAAGCTGAAGGAATACTGGTCTGACGTGGAGATGATGGTAAGTGTTTTGCTCATTCCTCGTCATTAAAAAGGGCAAAAAAAGCTCATAGCCACCGGGACAGATTGGGCGATTGTTCACATTTCAAAAGGTTTGCATGCGGTCCATAGACCGCGTCTACACCGTGGACAAATGGATCGTCAAGTTTCTGCTCCAACACGCCCTGCCTATTGAAGGAGACCAGCGCCTCCCTGTAACTCCAGGCCTAGCCGAGCGAGACCGATATGCCGAGGACGCTTTGGCCATTCTACGTTCGGCAGGATTTGACTGACTCGGCGAATAATTTCATTCCTCATTTCATCTGCACATGCCGGGTAAAGTAACTAGTGCACTCGCTCCGTCTCTGCAATCTTCTGCTGGAAACCCAACTCCTCTGCATGGGGCACGTTGGCTTTGTCTCCATCGAAAAGGGCAGCTATCTCCTCCAAGGTCGGACCCTTGGTTTCCACAAACAGGAACCAGACACACAGGCATTCAATCACCAGAATGGCGATGTAAACGAAGTAGAATCGCCACTGCAGCCTCTCCAGTCCGATAGGATTAACATACTGATTGAAGACGGATGCCGATGCGGTCAGGGCAAAATTCACCGCAAGCCCCTTGGCTCGAATGTTGAAAGGCAGGATCTCGGCGCAGTAGGCGACAGTCAGCCCGGGCCATGCGAAGCCCGCAACTCCATAAAACAGGAAAATCATGGCAATTACCGCGCTTCCAGCCCCGGTATCACCGCTCTCGGCATAGGCAGCGGAACATCTAAGGCATGTTAGCGCTCGGTATTGGATCTTCGCCAAATTCCATACCCAGTCCAGATACTGAAGCTGACCAGCATTCCTACAGCGGCAATCATGAAAAGCTTGCGTCGGCCCAGAACATCTACCAGGAAGGACGAAAACCCGATGGCAACGAGGAACGACCACACCTGCAGACCACCGTTGATCACGGCCTGGTCGTAAGAGGACGTAATTCCCACGGAGTTTAAGATGGAGTGAAGGTAATAAGAGACAAGTCCGTTGCCAGAGCATTGGGAGAAGAAGGACACCAACGCAATAAGCAGAAGTCTCTTACGGTTCCCAGGCGTCTTGATGAGGACCTGCCAGCCATCATGGGAATTCTCCTTCTCGAGACGGAGGGTATTCTGAATTTCATGGAATTCAAAATCACAGAAGCCGTCTGACCGATCCCCATCGCCATGGTACTGATTTCAATGTCAGCCCAGCGCGCCCAGCGATGATGCCACGGTGCTAAATGTTCATCTCACCTTGACGAGTATGTTGAAGGCCTCATCCTCTCGATCTTTGGCGCACAGCCAACGAGGACTTTCGGGCAAAAACCAGATTCCTACGAATTGAATAGCGGGCATGGCCGCTTGCAATGCAACCGGGATCCTCCATGATGCCTCCGAAGTATATTTGATCGTCCCAAAAACAGTCCAAGCCGCAACGATGGAGCCAACATACCATAGAGTGTTATACATGGTTGTTAGAGTGCCTCGATGCTGAGGATGTGCGAGCTCCGTTATGAGCAGAGGGGCTGACCCCTGGCTGATATTTGATCTGGGATGGTCAGCGTCTGGTAGTCATCATCAGACTGGAAGGGTCGTCATACCCGAGACCAACTAGGAATCTTCCAGCAATAAACATTCCTCGGTCGACGGAGGGTACCACCTGGATAATGGTCCCGACAAAGACGACCATGATACCCACCGCCACTCCGACCCTTCGTCCCAGCAGATCAGCAACATAGGAAGCTATTAAGGGGGGTCAGTGACCATCTCTCAAGGGCTGAAGAGTCGCAACGTACAGAAGAACAAAGCACAAACACCGCCGATATTCTGAATTGCCGTGAAGAGGCCCAGCGTAGATCCAGTCGGATTGCCAAAGTCTTTATTTATGTTAACATGGATGGAACAGACCCTACAAGCACGCAGTAGGCCACATACAATCCTGCCAAGGTGTCATGGTCTGCAAGCCGTTCAAGAGCGACCCATCATACCCGTTGATCGTTGAGCCTGCCCATTGCACCATTGTAAGCATGGAAACAGGTTGCACTGCAGATATCTCGGAAGACTCACCGAGGAACAGAATAGGCATCATGGCATATAACTTGCGTAAACCAGGATGCTTCCACCAAGTAACGCTTCGAATCTTGTATGAAGGGGAGACATTGGGAGAGAACTCCGAATGTTCTGCAGAGATCTTGATCCCTTGATCGGCATCTTTGGGGAGATCCATCGTCGTGACACTCTCAATCTCAGAATTCTGAAATATTGAAATAAATGCACATGCGGTCTTGTATGACAGTATGAGAGCCCAGTCGATGATCCTGAGGGCGTGGTGAAGCATTTTATACCGCTCCCCCATTCACCATTGCTGTTGCAATGGCCTGACGTTGAACCTTAGTCGGATAGCTTGACCTCTGTGTCTCCCAGACTCGGTCTGACTGGTACACTCCGTACAAGATCTGCGCTGCTTGTCTGCATGCAAATCTGGGGAGAAGACTGTGGGGGAAAGGAACCATCCAGATGAACGTCCATGTGGGTAACTATTTGACAGTCTGGAACACACATTCGATCCTCCTATTGGTTCGATAAAGAGACCCCAGAATCGCCCGGGATATCATCGAATAGGAGCAATTCAATCCCGGACCCGCAAGTGCCCAGATTCGGTTCCTTTTTAGGCGGAATTCAAGCAAGAAAACGGAGGGGCACCATCAGTGGCTGCTGCGCTCGATCTTCGACCACTCCCAGCCTTTGAGAAGCTGGAAATCATGTACTCCGCAAAACGCAGTGCTTTGGCCATGTCCACCATGGGATATCGTCCAATGGAGAATTGTGAAACCCGGCATTGACTGCGGCACACGGACTGAAAGAGACGGTGCCATTTACAGTACTCTTCCGGTGGGATGTTTCTGGGGACTGTGGCCTGAGATATAAAGATGTCGTCTTCGAACCGGCCTTCAAAGCTAGCCAAGTGACCTTTTACTTCCTGCTGCTCTTTCGCCATGCCTCTGGAAAATGTCGAGATCCCTCATCTTCGGTCCATCGACCGCGGAAAGCAGCTCATTGTTCACGGTCGTCCATTCCTGTTATTGGCAGCAGAGCTGCAGAACTCATCGCTTACCTCGGCCGAGTTTATGGACACGGTCTGGCAGAAACTGGTGGACACTCACGTCAACACTGTGCTAGGATGCGTCACTTGGGAAATGATTGAGCCAGTAGAAAGCCAATTCGAATTCAAGGAACTGGACAAGGTCATTCTGGGAGCACGCAAGCACGGACTTCGTCTTGTGCTACTGTGGTTTGGCTCCTTCAAAAATGGTAGTCTTCAACCCACCACCCAAGATCAAAGGCCTATGCTCTTGCAGTTCGATGACGGGTCTAATAATCGCTTACAGGAATCTCAACGTACGCTCCGGCATGGGTCAAGACAAACCCCAAACGCTTCCCCCGTGCGAAATTGCGAAAGGCGGGAGGTGTCCTACAGACCGCCGATGTCGTGTCAATATTTCACGAGGCAGCTCCTAAGAGCGACGCCAGGGCCTTTGCGCAGTTGATGCGCCACCTGAAGGAATTCGACGGAGATCACTCGACCGTCGTAATGGTCCAGGTCGAGAACGAAACCGGGTTACTGGGTGACTCTCGCGATGGCTCTGCCGCGGCAGACGAGCGATTCTCCCAACCAGTTCCCGATGACCTCCTCACCTTTCTCGCCCGTGACTGGGACAATCTCCATCCCGACCTCAAACGCAACTTGGTTCAATTCAAAGCACAAGCCTCCCCTCAAGGGTCGTGGGTGGAAGTGTTTGGCAAAGGACCACACACCGATGAGCTCTTCATGGCCTACCACTACGCCTTATATCTCAACCAGGTCGCCGCAGCGGGCAAACAAGAGTATCCAATTCCACTGTACACGAACGTGTGGCAGAACTATGTTGGTGATGACGGCGATAATGACTTCCCGATTGTCGCTGGCGGCGGCGGTATGCCAGGTGATTATCCCTCAGGTGGCGGCACCACAACTGTCCTGGATATCTGGCAGCATTTTGCACCATCTCTGGACTTTATTTCTCCCGACGTCTATCTCAATGATTATGCAACCTCCTGCTCCAAGTACCGCCATCGCGACCAGCCCTTGTTCATTCCCGAACAACGCCGAGACGAGTATGGGGCACGCCGCATCTGGACGGCCTATGGGTCCTACCAGGCCATTGGTGTCTCTCCGTTTGGCATTGATACCCTTGAGCCAGAATCGAATCCGTTCACCAGGCATTACGCTCTGCTAGAATTGGTCTCACAGATAGTGCTAGAGGCTCAGCGACGCCCTGGATCGTCCGTGGGATTCTTCTTCGACGAGCTGGCGGCCGACGGCTCTGACCCCTCCAAACCGATCGTGCGGCAATACGGGGGTTACGAGATCACCATCGAGCGCTGTTTCGTCTTCGGTAAGCCAGGCCCGGGCTGTGGCATGGTCATTCACCTCGGAGGCGGCAAATTCCTCTTGATTGGGTGGGGATTCCAGGTCCGTGCAACCGCCTTGTCTCCGACTGCTGCGTTCACAGGGATCCTACGATTTGAAGAGAAGGTAGTGGCGAACAAGGAGACAGGGGAGCTTAAGACCCTGCGAGTGCTCAATGGAGACGAAACACGCAGCGGCGTGTTCTCCATGATGCCCAACGAAGACCCGGACTATGGTGGATTCCCTATCTGTGTGACCATCCCTGCGTGGACAATGATTGCGGAATTGGAGTTTTACTCGCTGGACGAGAGCGAAGTTTGATATGTTCGTCGATAAGATATCGTCACGAACAGGTAGATATAGAAATACCATTCGAAGTGTTTGACACTTGTTCTCATTTCTCTTCCTCAACGTCCAGCACGGCAACATCCAATCTCCTCTCAACGCCATCAACAGTTCCAGTAGCCACTGCCTTCACCTGACCACGAGAATCCTGCGTCCACTTGATCGGGCCAGGAGGCAACGTCCCGCTGAACGAAGGGGACCAGCGTAAGGTTTGGCGAGTAATGGGACACAAGTCCGGCAGCATCCCCTTGGTGAACTGGAAAGTGCCCCCAAACTGGGTGGGAATATTGTCATGATGGATGTACTTGTTGAGGGTGCCATAGACATCCGTCGAATTCAACACGACAATCTTCTCTGCAGTCACCGGGTCGACAAATCTCTTCATGAGATTCCAGATCTTGGAGAAATACGACGGTGGATTGCAGATCTGTACGCAAGTCAGTCAGAAGGGCTCATGGCCCTCTGTCCTTTCTTCACTCACAAATATCCGATCGATTGTTTCTGGATAGCAAGTGGCCAGCATCCAACTACTATCCTGCGCAAAGTCTCGGAGATCCCAGGCCTGCCTCAGACAGACAGACGATGCATCTACCAGGTAGAGCGCCTTGGTGACCGGCTCAGATGGCAGCGGTCGATCTCGCGTTGCGGAGCACAGTGGAAAGACAAACCGAGTCAAATAATCGAAATGCACTAAAGCTCGCTGCGCCATGTCCGGTGAGCTGCTACCGAGTTCCAAGGCGTCAAAATGGCCAGACAGCCCTTGTGTCTTACGCCAGTGTACCATTGCTTTTCGATCCAGATGGGCCGTTTCGATCATTACGATAGGCAATCCCCGGTTGTCTCGACGACCTGTCCAGAGCGGATACTATGTTGCAGGTGGTCAGTTGTCAGATATAAGCGGAGCTACAGATTGCCCACCAGTTTGCGAGTGTCTTCGAAGTCATCAACGCTGATCAAGTCATATACACGGAGCACATCCTTCTCGCAGCGGAATTTGGTTGCTTCTTCAAACTGGCAGAGGGCGTTCGAGGGGTCCATTCGATTGGCCTGCAAAAAGCGCCTGCTTGGTTCGATCGTGATTCCGGCCTCATTTAGGCATTGAGTAGTCACTTACAGCAGAGTTGTCTCGTCAATGACCCCATCCGGCCGATCTCCCTCTTTCACATCGTCGTGACACTGCAACAGGCCTCTATCGGCACACAGCCCAGTGAATTTGGTGAATACGGCTGTCTCGTCAACAGTCATTTGCATCGTGATTTGACTGTGCAGTGAGTGATATTTGGAATGATACTGTTGACTGCCGGATGATCAGCGCAATTAATAATGACTGCAAAGACGGAGTTGCCTGATTCGGCAGGCACCCTCTTCAACTGAGATGCCTAATCGGGTATAGCCCAATAATATCGTCCATGCTCTCTCTCTGCGTCTTCGATCATAATTGGCATTTGATCTCATGGAACGACAGAAATTAGATCCTCGATTTGGTCTTTCTCGAACAGATCAGTTATGTCATCAGTTTTGCTGAGCTGACAGTCTGATGACTTGAGTTGGCGCAGTAACCCATATCATGTATCATCTTCATCCGAGAAGTTCACAGACATGCCGATGGAGCTACGAAGCGGACAAGACAGAAGCAAATTTATATTCATGACATCTACTGTACAGAGACAATACAAATAAACATTTTCAAGTGAATGGAGCCAGACATCACCTCTTCGCTGGAGGTCATCCGCCGTGACCAGGAAGACATGTATGCTCCTCCGTCACCGTCCATGTCCGAGTCTCGCGGATGATGCCTGTTTGACTCGACTGGCTCTCGTCATCATGGTCATCTTCTGTGCCATTTATATTCGATGTGACTACCGTTTTGGTTGTTGCCAGGGGGATATTATCGAGTTCATGGGTGGACTCATTGCCAGTGCGTCTTCGATCGGCAGAGAGGAAGTACTTGGTGCGGGACGATTTCTGCTGGCTGGAGAGCGTGTAGCGAGTCATTCCGTCGAGTCTCATGCCAGTGGACTGGAGTTGCTTGAGGAAGGGGATAAACTGCGGTGCGCTGGCCGTCACTATGCTCAGACACTGCACCAACTGGGAGGCAACAGTGACCGACCACGTCTCGGAGGTGGGATCGGACGAATTGATGGTGCGATGGACGAAATAGACTTGGGCAATCAATGCTCCAGGGACACTGATCTTTTAGTTTGTACGCTTCCGGTTTGGAGGAAAAGGACTTACATCACGCGAAACAAAAAGACGGCCATGATATTGGCTTTTCTCTTCCAGGTTGTCTGCACAATGGCAATAACCTGGACGGCCTGCGCAATGATGGCCACGTCGGTGAAGATGTTCGAAACCCCCAGATAGATGAAGAATGCTTCCTGATGCTAGATCAGCCCTTGAACCGTCCACGTATCGATCGGGTTCTCCTACTCGATCATAACAACTGCCATGTAGATAGTCCCATCGATCTGGATGACACTGAAACGCGGAGGCAAAGATCCCTGATATTGCCCAGGCAGCGATGATGATCTGCAGAGCGAGAAACACAACCCGGCTCTGAGAGGTGGGAGTAAGGTGTTGGACAAAGCAGAGAAAGGCGAGCTGAGAGAAAGCGATAGCGAGGATGTAGAACATGGTAGCGACGTATTGCGACTAGGAGTCAGGGGATTCTGAATCACTGACACAGACTTGCAATCCAATGGACTGAAGACATACCTTCATGATACTTTCAACTTTTGTATCGCCCAGCTTTGTCAAATGGTCTCCATAGCCATTCTGAACTGCGATTGAAACGGCCACCGATTGAGCAATTGACATGAGCTACACAGGTAAGAATCTTGAACAGCGTGTCTCGATGCTTTCACCCACCAGCGCAAGGAGTATGTGGTAGTCATCCTGAAAGAGACTGCCAAATTTCCACCATTTGGTCCCGAGTCTTGCTAGCGAGCCCAGGATGGATGTCACCATCAAGAACAAAGTCAAGACGATGACCGCTGGCGCCTCACTGTCCGGGGAATACCTGGTCATGATGGCGAAATGACCAGCAGGCTGAAGGGAAGATCACGAACATCAACCTAGCACATGATGGAGAGGAAATCTGCCCAAAAAGGCACTTGGACGACAGGACTGAAACAACGGAGTGCAGGGTGTGTATAAGACCGAGTCCATGGCCGGGGAACCTCATGCAACCCCCACGCAGAAGGATTTTCTCGGTTGGATTCTACCGATCAGGGGCAGTCAGCCATTCTCCGTTGTTATTCAGGCACACAAGGTATTCGTCATGTTGGTGCGGGAGACATTTCAATCACTGCGGGCCTGCTTGATGGTGCATGTGGTGGTCCTTGTGCATATGGGATCGTGATAGAATCCTGGCCGAAGGTTCTTTCGTCCTGTGCAAGTCTGGATTGTGTCTCTAACTCAAAACACTAGTCATTCGGTTTGAGTCTTACATGCAAATAGTCGCTTAGACTGATTCTTACTAGAGCGTAGGACTCGTGTTATTGATTGCCTGGGTGGAGTTGTCCATCGACCACCTGGATGATGGGAAATTAGCTGAAGCGCAATGATTAGAAGTTAATTATGCACCGAATGGTCTGATCATTCAGCCAGAGAGGTCCGGCCCGGTGAGAGGCAGGATGAATGAGACCAGAGATATTGGATCTGTCGAGCCACTGCACCAGTCGGGTGTGATGGAACTACGCCACTGGATTACTCCAAGACTCGCAATCAACTCATCAGTCATGATCCATCCTGGACAAGGTTACACCAAAAGAATAAGGCCAAGTCCTGAGCCGTGTTCGAGACAGTCGCTGATCCTGGCGTCCCGCTAAAACTAGGCCGGCTTAAGCGGATGAACAGGATTCTCTTCCGGCTCCATAGAGCACGGAATTGGGACTAGTCCAATGATCTAGTCATATGTACTCGATGAACATGAAGAAATAGACTGCGGATTCGCGGAATCATAATTAAGGTCCGAGGATCGACTGCGAGTGGGACATTCCAGCGCACAAACACGGTTGATCGCCGTGGACCAGCAGAGCATTGTGTAGTTGTACAGTGTAGAAACAATTATTATCACTCTTGGTTCCAATGATAGAGTTTTTCTCGTCTCAGGAAATATCCGATTCTCGTTGATCAATTACCAAGAAACAGGGATATATATGCAGACTCCTATCCATCCATGTCCGGAGGCCACAGCTAAAGACGCCCCCTGCAAGGATGCGATGCCACCTCAGCATTTAGCATTCGCAGTGGTATTGTTCACGGGAAATGGTCCGGAATATTTTAATCTATTTGGAGAAGTCTAACTCCAACCGAGATGATTGTCCGATTCCTCTTGATGGACTATTGCACACCATTCATCCCATACTTCTCTAACCATCCCTGCGGTGCCAAGCAGTGGCGTATCAAGACCACTGCAAGGAAGTGACAAATGAATGCAACGATAAGCAGACACGTTGCACATCATTAATTCTCTCAGTCACAAGTACTAGAAGTACCAGAGAGGGGATATCGTTCAGGGGTTACACACGCTAGACTACACCGTACAGGAGAGAGAGAGTATAGACAGGATGGCCTCCCACGAGGGTGTCTGAAGCAGGCTCAGGCCATGATCGGCTGGTACCGACCAAGCGCATGCCATCCTCGGTAACTATCCAAGAGGATTGTTTCATTCTTCTCTCCTATTTCGGTTTCTGGGAACTGGCAACACGCTAATTTCCAACCGCGTCGTGTGGTGGATGCGGTAACTTCGACAAGTCTTGAACCGGCAATGCATTAGTTAGTAACATTCCATGCTATTCAATAAATCATTACACTACGACCTGCTCAAAACAGACATCAATGCGTTCGTAACTTCATCCACCAGGGTCTAGTCGAAGTGGCCAAGTCGAGGTCCCTGAACGACCAGACTCGACTCTGGCTCCATTCCCCCACTCTCTCCTTTCCTTATATTATACCTCGTCTGGAGAATCTGGGTGTTGGATCCTCGTATGCACTCTTCACTGTCATCAAAAGCTCCTCCTGAGAGTCAATCAATCTCCCGTGGGATGTTAATGCACGAGATGAAGACCCTGGAGCCCTCGAGTCCTCAAGAGCTCGAGGGATCACGGTCGAGCAAAGACCTGGATGAAGTCCACTTGGCTCGTCTGGGGAAAAGACCCGTTTTGAAGGTGATTTAATTCGCGATCGATCGATTACACAAGATTTGTGACTCGTCACTGACGATCAACCGTTGCAGCGCAATTTTGGAATGCTGTCCATGCTCGGTTTCAGCTGTACGATTCTAGTGACCTGGGAAGGATTTACGGTGTATGCTTCCATCTGATGAAAATAGATCTGAAAGAATCATGCTGATCCATGATCGACAGACTGTTCCTGCAGCCATTAACCAAGTACGGTCCTCGGTCGATCTAATCGCGTTCAACACTAACAATCAACGACAGTGGTGGTCCAGCTGGGGCTGTTTATGGCTTTCTCTTTGTTTGGGCAGGTACTGCCTGCGTCTTTGTCGTTCTCTCTGAACTGGCGTCCATGTATGTCTGTTGTATATCGTCTCGAACGCGAGTGCTGATAACCCTCTTAGGGCTCCGACATCCGGTGGCCAGTACCATTGGATCTCCATGTTGGCACCGCGATCGACGGTGAAATTCCTCAGTTACATGTCTGGATGGCTCACCGTCATTGGATGGCAGGCCACCTTTGCGACAGCCTGCTACCTCTCCGGTACTCTCGTCCAAGGTGTCGCCATGCTCACACATCCCAACTACGCACCCAAATCATGGCATCCTACCATGTACTTCTGGGCCATCGTCGCCTTCTCCGTCGGTATTAACGTGGTCGGTCGCAATGTCCTCCCCAAATTTGAAGGGCTCATTCTCGTGGTCCACATTCTCGGCTTCTTCGCCATCCTCATCCCGCTCGTCTCGTTGGCGGACATTGGCTCCGCCAAGGACGTCTTCACCGAGTTCCTCAATGGGGGTGGATGGTCGACCCAGGGACTATCGTTCTTCGTTGGATTGATCGGCTCTGTATTTGCCTTTGCGGGTGGTGATGCCGCAGTGCACGTAAGTCCACAAGTCCTGTCGCGTGAAAAGACAGCAGCTCATATCTGCAGATGTCGGAGGAAATCCAAAATGCCCCCGTGGTGGTCCCTCGCTCGATCCTCCTCAGCGTGCTGATCAACGGTCTGTTGGGATTTGGCATGCTCCTCGCTCTTCTTTTCTGCTTGGGGGACATCGACGAAGCCCTTGCGAGTCCTACCGGATACCCTTTCATGGAGATCTTCTTCAAGGGAACCGGCTCCCTCGGAGGTGCTGCCACCATGATCTCCATCATCATTGTCGTCTGTATCTGTTCGGCCACCGGCATGATGGCTGCGACTTCTCGCCAGTTCTGGTCATTCTCTCGCGATCGCGGTGTTCCCGGTTGGAGACTCTGGAGCCGGGTACGGTTATCTTTTCCTTGTAAATCCATGTTTCAGGCTAATATCCTCTAGGTCTCTCCGACTACCGCCATTCCCGTCTGGTCTGTCGCACTCACGACCATTGTGTCGGCCCTGTTGGCCTTGATCCCCATCGGATCTGCCGTCGCCTTTAATGACCTCTGCGCCATGTCCATTACCGGCCTATACCTCTCTTACATCATGGTCGCTGTCCTGCTCCTCTGGCGACGTCTGACTGGTGCCATCTCGCTGACTGCTGGCGCTGACGAGACCGTTAACACAATCGGAGCCAAGCTAGTCTGGGGTCCCTTTCGCGTTCCTGGTATCTGGGGGGTCTTGATCAATGTCTTTGCCATCATCTACGCGACCATCGCCATCTTCTTCAGCATGTGGCCCACATCCAGCGAAGTCACGGTGCAGACCATGAACTTCAGCGTGGTAGGTACCGTCGGTGTGATCCTTCTGAGCATTGTCTACTATCTCCTCCGCGCCCGTCATGTTTATGAAGGGCCTATTGTTGAGACAGTGCCTCGGTAGATAGACACTGACTCCATTATATTCGGGGTGGAGTTGTCAAAAGCATTGCATTCGCTCGCGCCGTGAATCTGTATAGATTGATACAAATGCTATGTAACTTAATAGGCGCATCTATAGTGTCACTGTCTTCCCTAGTCCTGGTCCATCTCATCGTTCCATGGCATTGGCGTATCTCCCTCGACATATTTGCCTACAATAGGACGCCACATCACCGTCGCATTAATGGGCAAGAAAGTCTGCTCGCAGTGTGTCCATTCCTTTTGCTCCTCGTCGGACAGCTGGCGCGATGGGATCGGCTTCACGCTGTTGAAGAGAACCTTGCGAAAGCCATACTTCTTGTAAAGGGGCTCTCCAAACTCGGATGCGTCCAGCCAGGCTTCCAAGCCCATCGCGTCTGCCTTTCCCACGCCCCATCTCATGAAGAGATGGCCGAGCCCTTGGCCGCGGTACTCGGGGAGGGCGAATGCAATGTGTAGAACTACAGGTGTACTATCAGACAGAGTCCCACCGGTATACCTGTGATAATCTTGCAAACTTACAAGCATGGGGTCGTCGAGCCATCTGTTCCCGCGGATGCTCAAACTGCCTGACTGCCTCCGTCGCAAACTCCCTCGTCAGTCCCTCTGGAAACCACTCCGCCACGATCGGTCCCTCCTGTTTCGCGTAGGGATTCTCCCGGTAAAAGTACCATTTGGCGGCGGCGGCGATCTTGTTGGCTTCCGTATCCACGATTTTGATCCAGGTGACGTGCGGCTGCTGCTGGTGGTACTCTTCCAGTTGACCCTGGATACACGCCTTCAGACTGCCCTCGCGATCATTGTTGTGGATGGGGAAGAATAGGCGGACGATGCCCTGGTAGGGATTCTCAAAGGCCTCCCAGAGCGCCCTGATCAGCTCGGGGAAGTCGTCGTCACTGACGACCTCTACACGAAACTTAGGCTGCATGGCGATGTCGCTGTCAATATGCAATGAGGGATTTGACAGATCAGAGATGGATAAAGTCACACACATGGCTTATCCATGGTTTATCTATGGCTTCGCTGTACATAAGACTGTAAATTATAGCCTATCACGCCATACCGGAATAGTGACACAAAAGATTGATCTGTCATTGATTGTATCTTACTCAGACTCTAGCCATGTCTAGCATATTGCATACGTGGTCAGTCGTCTTTTTCATGATTCATCTGCCCTTGTCTAGTCAGAGCGCCACAATGACATGGGTATATACAGACCAGCAGATGATTCGTTCGATTACCGCAAATGTCTCAGAGAAGGAAATGAATTCTTCCAAATGTCACACAATCAGAAATGTACTGCGCGTTTTGTCAGGGCGTTTCTCTTTCAGAGGCTGTGGGAGCTCTGGCACTGGAATGGCCAAAGCTGAAACTGCTGCTAACTTTAAGGCATTGGTATCCCAAAACACCATCCGCTCCTTGTACAGCACTTGACTGCTTGCAAGAAACTGTATGGTATTCTAAAGTTGAAAGTCTTTCATTCTGATCTATCCACACCAGTCTAACATGCCTGTGGGCCATTCCTGCACGCATCCTGACTTTCTGACATACAGCGGAGGCCGATAATACAGAGGCTGACTTACTTGACTTCTACCAAGCCATCTTGGCCAAAACACCATGTGGCCATCTCCTTACAGCGGCTTTGCGCAACTCGTCCAGGCCAAGGATTCCCAGGCCAAAGGCAGCCGGCAGGAAGTAGTGCTCAGCTGGGACACTGGTCGTGTCCAGCACCCGTTGCAACGGCGGAATGTACAGCCAAAATAGAGCAATTCCTAAGGCAAAGATCATCGCCGGAAACAAGAGCAGGTTTTGCGTTTCCTTATTGAAGGCGGGTGGGTGCGAGAAGATCGACAATCGGCGAGTCCGGATGGCCATCAGATTGAACCATTGCCTGGGAGAGTTAGCCTCTGTTGGTCCCGCGAACGCTCCATGGGTGCAGCATACATTACAACCAGGTTGATAAAATATACCGAACTCGCCTCGTTCAGTCGCGCGGTGTACCAGTCAGGATCGACGTTGGCTGGGACCTCGCCGAACTTGAACCACAGAGCTGAAAATGGAATGCCATTGCGCTCCAGGTACCAGTACGCCATGGCAAACGAGGCCACGGTCTCGAGCATGCCGATCACTCCATAGGCCTGAAGAATGAGCTTCCAGTTTACCAGGCGTTCCCTCTTGGGTTTGCGGGGCGGGCGAAGCAGCACGTCCGCTTCGGGCGCTTCGTACGCCAGAACAGTGGCCGCCGCGCAGTCAGTGAAGCAGCTATATCGGTTTGTCAGACAAGTGCCTAGCGGGAGTAGCCGGGTGAATTACCAGATAATGATCATCAAAAAAGAGGACAAGACCTGCGGAAGGCCAAAAACCACACTGGTCAAGACCGGCCAGAACTCGGACCAGGAGCCAGCTGGAAGCAGATAGATGATTGTCTTCTTCAAGTTATCGAAAACAACTCTTCCATACTGCACAGCCTCGACAACAGCCGAGAAAGAATCCAGGAGAACCATGTCCGACGCCTCGATGGCAATATCCGACCCGCTTCCCAGCGCAATGCCGATATCAGCCGCCTTCAGCGCCGGAGCATCGTTCACGCCGTCACCTGTCATTCCTACAATCTCCTCTCGTGCCTGAAATTCACGAACGATCCGCAATTTCTGTTCCGGCGTGGTTCTCCAGAAGACGATTTCCTTGTACTGGCAGAGTTGTTGCCACTGGTGTTCGTTCAGGGCCATCAGTTGACTCCCGCTCAGGGTGATTGCAGGCGAACGGGGCTTTTCGTTGAATTTGTCATTGACTGAAGGAAACCTTCTCAGAGCCTTTGCTTCGTCAACGGGCACTTCCGCGGTAACGATACCGCACTGCCGCGCGATCTCAAGGGCTGTCAGGCCGAAGTCACCGGTCACCTTTGCATCATTCGCATTTAGCCAATCGACGGACACAAAACGATAAATTAGATCGAGACAACTCTTACCATGAAGATTCTGATCCCTGCTTGCCTCAGTGTCCTGATCACGTCCGGAATCTCGTCTCGAGGAGGATCAACGATACCGACCAGGCCCACTAAGACAAGGCCGGTCTTGACGTGGTTCATCAATTCGGCTTCGAACAAGTGGGAGAACGGTGCACTCTGGATTTGGTCCGCTGGGAGGATTTTTCGGGCGAGAAGAATCACGCGTTTGCCTTCATTCGACCACTGGTCTTTAACTTGCTTCAACCGGTTGAGTGTACTGGCATCCAGAGCCTGTACACTGCCGTCAACACTCACGACGTGCGTGCATCGGTCGATGAGGATGTCAGGAGCGCCCTTGATCGTAAGCAATCTACAATTGTACATGTGGTCAGAATATCTCTCAAGTGAGATCCAGTGACGCTGAATACTCACGTATCATCACGACGAAATTGGGTCAACTCAGCGAGCGACATGGCGAGGCCGAGTCCTGCCCCATCCACCAGACTGAATGTCCGCACCATGAACTTGTTCTTGCTGTTGAATGCCAGATCATATGTCTTCTTCCACATGCTACGCAGCTCTGAGACAGGGCCCAATCCTTCGGCCAATCTTAGAATCGCCTGATCGGTTGCATCACCGATAACCTTTCTCTCGTGGACGGGCAGATTCATGGTGGCCGCATCAAATTCAGCGGCGTTGCAGAGACCAGCAACTGTACGAAGTTGATGCATCGCGGATGACTTTCCCTTGAGGACCATTTCGTCTCTTGCTGAGTCGGGGGTGAATGTGGAGATGGATACCGCACAGTCGGTGACAGACATCCTGTTCTTCAGTAGGATCAGCGGAGAATCTTGAGAATAAGGATCGGAGTCATTCAAAGTTCTAGAAATGACTAATTACCTTGGTCAAAGTACCGGTCTTGTCGCAACAGATCACTGATACCGAGCCCAGAGTCTCAACCGTCTTGAGGGACTTGCAGACAATCTTGTTCTTGCTCATCAGATTGGCAGTGATGGTCAAGTTGGCAGTCAGGGCAATCGGCAAGCCTTCAGGGATAAAGGCAATGGCAACACTGACGCAGTCCACTATCAGCGTGGGAACGTTGATCCAGTGCGGGTGATCTTTTCGCAACCAGGCAGCCCTATCAGCAAGTCAACGATCGGTGTGTCTTGCCCCGTCATGGTCATTTATCACTGACCAGACAATAATGATGACGATAATCATAGTCAGCATGATCAACACGACCAGAGCGACAAATCGTAACACTTCCTTCTCCAAGGTAGTCAAGCCGGTCTTTGGCTCACTGGTGAGTTTTGCAATTCGACCAAACACCGTCGCGTCTCCGGTTGACACGACAATCCCCGTAACACTTCCCGAGACGCAATGGGTGCCTTGAAGGCCAATGCTATGAGTCTCGAGATAATTTTCCTCCGTCGAGTCCATCGTCCCATTGATTGGAAGCGATTCGCCTGCTGTTGGTAAGCGACACACCTGCGGCACGCTTGACCTGGAGACACTAACCGGTGAGTATCGATCGGTCAAAGCATGCATCATTCGAGACTTCGACGAAACGTATATCCGCTGGGAGTTTATTCCCCGCCTTGAGATGTACAACATCACCCGGCACAATGTCTGGAGCTGATACGACGACGAGTGAGCCACCACGCATGACCAGGCAGCTTTCTGGCAGCATGGCCGTAATGGATGCCATGACTCGGGACGATGACCAGTCTTGCCATGCGTTGAAGGCTGCCTGGATGAAAAAGACGGCAAGAAGCACGATGGCCAGGGCGAGGTTTGCCAGAGCTGGCGGTTGGCCGAGGGGTTTCCAGGAAACAAACACAAGAATGCATCCGACCAAGAGAATAGCACCAAATCCCTTGAAAAAGTAGCCGAATATCTGCCAGAACCATTGATGCGGCAAGGGTGAAAGCGCGTTTTTGCCGTATTGATGGAGCCGTTCCTGGACCTGATTCGGGGAGAGACCTTGCGAGATGTCCACTTGCCACCGTTTCTGTAGCTCTTCGACGGAGATTGTATGCCAGTCGAGATGAGAAAGATCTGATGTTTATGCTGATTAGCATAGAGCGCCTCTTGCAGTGACCAAGTGGCTTTGAGTAGTCCCCATACCTGCTGCGACCCCACCTTGTGCTTTTGCTTTTTCTCGATCCTCCCGTTCGTTGGCTTCCTCGATATCAAACGAGCTATTCGGTCCGCATTAGACAGTTTCAACCCTCAGGCATAGCAGTAGGGAGAGGAGGTAGGTACATGGTTCGATAGTGAATTGGCAATGACACCGACGGGTCAACTATCGTCCTCCTATGACGACTGTGGACAGATACATGCGAGCTGGACGCAGCCGAAGCACTCCGGATCAGCTCAGGACGACTGCTCCTTGCCTGATTGCCCGATTCTTCGTCTTCAGCCCGCCATCGCAGACGCGTCACTTGTTCATCGGCAGACTTGTGCGCAGTTGGGTCCATTTCTTGCATGAAGCGATCTTCACAGAGCAAATTTGGGGCAAGAGCAGGGAACCAACGATCCTGACATGGGTCATAGAGAGTTGAATGAGGATTTCATTCTCTTTATAGCTTGCAGGCTGAGCTCATAAACCACTATCCATGAGGGAGCATAGCAATGAGACACCTCGTGGTAGAGGTACCTGCGCGATTAATGATGGCCAAAGCTCTTTACCTGAGCAGTTGTGGATGTATTCAAGCTTCTTGAGACGTCAATAAATCCCTCTTTGTGGCTTGCAAGGCGATTTCTGACCAATTGCTAAGATGTGACATGATCTTATCTGCAACCTTGTTTTTTCTTTGTTGGAAAAATGCGGGATTATTGAGGAGTCGTCCATGTTTGAGGCTTTAACCACCAACCAGATGATGGACTTTTGGGCTGTTATAACACTGTCTCTATGCGCGATAGAGGATATATCTGTCTCGATGGCACACCTTGTGTCAATATATTATCTATCTGCTGGAACTTAGCTTCTAGAGGACGGTCGGCTTGGATTGTTCATATATTATGTAAGATTGTTGCAGACAGCATATTTCAGGCTCGATGGTCTTACATTGATGGTTCTTCGTCCATCCTAGTGTCCACGCTTCTTCGTAGTTAAAAATGATGTGGACTGTTAGCAATCTTTCTTCTCTAATAACGGATGATGTTCTCTGGAGGACTTGGACAAACATGGGGCTATGGGAGTTATATATATCACTGTAAGTGTAGCTCACCACGACGTGACGGATTATACTCACGAGAGATATGGCCCAGCAAGCCTTGAACGGCGATATATCTTATGGCCATCTTATGATTCTAAAGCAATCGACTTGGATGAATGAGCGTTATGCCGCCATCTGTTATTGCTTCCGGTCGCTGCCAATGGGTCACGTGACCGCACACTGTCAACCTACTCCCAGGTTGTCTTCCCTCAATGTTCTCTCGTTCTCATCATCCAAGATGTCTCTACACCTGAAGTCATACCTCGGAATATCTATGTCCTCAATCCTCACAAGACATTGACTGGTGTTCAGCCTCCATATGATGGAATAAATTGTGTGAACTGATTCTGAATGGGACTGCTCATTTGCTGACCTGTATTCCCAGTGTCCCACTCACAGTGGAGAGACCACACCAGAGCCAAGAACCAGCCACAAATCATCGTTGCCAATTTCCCAAATTGTCCTTCCACCGCGCGTCGTCCCGAACTCCGACCAGCAGCAATCGTGGCGAGGACGTCCTATCAAACACATACAAACACTGCGAAATTGCGACCATATGGCACGGACCAAGCCTTACGGCGGGTGTCGTCAGCCACCGGCATCGACAGGGAATAGTTCTTGGCTGACGATTGTTCCCCGGCCCAGTGGATGATGGCTGTCTCGAGACCAGTTCAAGATCTGGAGGAGTGACTGTTGCAAGGAGTGCAATGAGGCACATAGGAGAGCATGTTCCCGAGAGCGGAAGGAACCCTAGGTTTTGATATTGACAATCAGCGACTCATCTGGGAGAAAACAGCGACCTGTGAGAAGTCGCCGGATGTGCGTTGCTCCACTGGACCCAGAATCGAGGATCAAAAGTGCCAAACTCTGTCATCATCGAGCAGGCTGCGCTGCTCTCACTAATCATACTAATAATAACTGTGGTCAATCAAGATTGGACAAATGACGGAGGTGGGACGGATCAACAAGCCCATCATAATGAAAATATCTGTCTGCGATGTTGCCTGGACAAAGCCAGTGTCTCTCATTGACAAACATGCCTCTTTGAGGCCTCATCCAACAATAGAATCCATTGTCTCTGATCCATGGTAAGGCCAGTTCCACAGGTAGCATATAATTGCGACCATTGGTTTCTTGGTCAGGCACAATTTCTCAGTCTTTCAAATATTCATCCTTCCCGACCGATTATTCCGACATCCAACCTGTCAAATTCCAGCACCCATTGCCAAAATGGGCACACCAACGCCCTATTCGGCCCATTCACCGCAGCAAAGCCGAAGCAGCTTCTACTCTCATGCCTCTCCATCGCCCACAGTGAGTGTTCGACCGAAGTAGTACGGCGTGGAAGGGCGAAAAAGTTGACTTGCTGTGTGCAGCCTACCTACGGTCGCGAAGACGCGGAAGATCAACAACAGACCCTCCTTCGACGAAATTTAGCAAGCCCTAATGGCGCATCATACGATGATCCCAACGTATCGACTGAATCCCTGCGTCGATACACATTGCACGATCCCGGGATAACCGCGTTTGCTCCCCCGTACCCGGAGTCCGAAGCTGCCGAGGTACACAGCGCACGGATGTCGGATTACAGTGGAATTGAGATGGATGCATGGCAAAGGCGACAAGGGGTGAAACAGAGCGCGCTACGGCGATATGGAACGAGGAAAATCAATCTCGTCCAGGGTTCTGTGCTGAGCGTTGACTACCCGGTTCCGAGTGCGATTCAGAATGCGATCCAGCCGGAGTATCGGGATGCAGAGGAAGCGTTTCATGAAGAGTTCACCCATATGCGGTGTAAGTATTTGTGCTGAAATGTGATCGCACAACGGTCAGCTAAGGATGTCTAGATACGGCTGCCACTTGCGACCCGGATGAATTCACCCTGCGCAATGGCTACAACCTCCGTCCCGCCATGTATAACCGTCATACAGAACTGCTTATCGCGATCACCTATTATAACGAGGATAAAGTCCTGACCGCGCGAACCCTGCATGGTGTGATGCAGAACATCCGAGACATTGTGAACCTGAAAAAGTCGGAATTCTGGAACAAGGGAGGACCGGCGTGGCAGAAGATTGTGGTGTGTCTTGTGTTTGATGGGATTGAGCCTTGCGACAAGAATACTCTTGATGTCCTCGCCACGATTGGTGTGTATCAGGATGGAGTGATGAAAAAGGATGTGGACGGGCGCGAGACAGTCGCTCATATTGTGAGTCATGCAAACCAGCGCTTTTCGTCTCGGGAACGTCACTGACCAACCGCTCAGTTCGAATACACGACACAACTATCGGTCACCTCGACGCAGCAGCTGGTCAGACCACAGCCCAATGATCCTCGCAATCTGCCCCCTGTCCAGATGATCTTTTGCCTAAAGCAGAAGAACAGCAAGAAAATCAACTCCCACCGGTGGCTGTTCAACGCCTTTAGTCGGATCCTGAATCCGGAAATATGCATCCTACTTGATGCCGGCACGAAGCCAGGAAGCAAATCCTTGCTTGCACTGTGGGAAGCATTCTATAATGACAAAACACTGGGAGGAGCGTGTGGCGAAATCCATGCGATGTTGGGCAAGGGTTGGCGCAATGTGCTGAACCCTCTAGTCGCAGCGCAGAATTTCGAGTATAAAATTTCCAATATCCTAGACAAACCGCTGGAAAGCGCCTTTGGCTACGTCAGTGTGCTACCGGGTGCCTTCTCGGCATATCGCTACCGCGCCATTATGGGCAGGCCGTTGGAGCAATACTTCCACGGTGATCATACTTTGTCCAAGCGGCTGGGAAAGAAGGGTATTGAGGGGATGAATATCTTCAAAAAGAACATGTTCCTTGCAGAAGATCGCATCCTGTGCTTTGAACTTGTGGCCAAAGCTGGATTCAAATGGCATCTCACTTACGTCAAAGCATCTAAAGGTGAGACGGATGTCCCCGAGGCCGCGCCGGAATTCATCAGTCAGCGACGACGATGGCTCAACGGCTCCTTTGCTGCGAGTCTGTATTCCATCATGCATTTTGGACGCATCTATAAGAGTGGGCATAGCTTGCTTCGAATGTTCTTTTTGCATATTCAGATTATCTACAACTGCTGCCAGCTCATCATGACCTGGTTCTCGCTCGCATCCTACTGGCTGACCAGCTCGGTCATCATGGACCTCGTCGGGACACCCAGCTCGCACAACAAGTATAAGGCGTGGCCGTTCGGCAACGACGCCTCTCCCATTGTCAACTTTTTCGTCAAATATGGGTACCTTTTGGTCCTGATGCTTCAATTTGTGCTGGCTCTAGGAAATCGACCAAAAGGGTAAGTTCGCGGAATCCCATGCAGACAAGAAACAGCTGACAAAGACAGAACCAAATTCGCCTACACCATGTCTTTCCTTTACTTTTCTCTGGTGCAGTTTTACGTGCTGATCCTGTCCTTCTACCTGGTCGCCAATGCCTTCACAGGTGGCATGATGGACTTCAATCTCGACCAAGGCGTGGGCAAGTTCCTCTCCTCCTTCTTCAGCTCAAGTGGCGGAGGTATTGTCCTGATCGCTTTGGTGTCCACTTACGGCATCTACATAGTCGCCAGCATTCTCTACATGGACCCTTGGCACATCCTGACTAGTTCCTGGGCGTACTTCCTGGGAATGACCACCTCGATCAATATCCTCATGGTGTATGCGTTCTGCAACTGGCATGATGTCTCGTGGGGTACGAAGGGATCTGATAAGGCGGACGCCCTGCCCTCGGCGCAGACGAAGAAGGCCGACGGCAGCAAGAACAACTTCATCGAGGAAGTCGATAAACCGCAGGCAGATATCGACAGCCAGTTCGAGGCAACAGTCAAGCGGGCGCTGGCCCCGTATCAGGAACCCGAAGAAGACTCGAGTATCAGCCTGGATGATTCCTACCGTAACTTCCGGACCAATCTGGTGCTGCTTTGGATCTTGAGTAATTTGCTAGTCGCGCTGCTGATCACGAGCGACGGCATCAGGAAGATGTGTCTGACGGTAAGACCTGCCGTCCCTGGATGCGCATGAGATAGTTACTGACCTTGAGCGCAGAACACATCCACCACACGGACCCAGTATTATTTCCAAGTGATTTTGTGGGCTACAGCTGGACTGTCGATCTTTCGATTCATCGGGTCTGTCTACTTCCTGGGCAAGTCGGGAATTCTGTGCTGTGTAGCGCGTCGATGATTGACAGTTTTAATGCATTGGCATAGAGAATGAAGTATAAATGGATGAATGGCATGTCTCTTCCACTCCCCATGGCGAGTGACATTATGGACATTATGAAAGGTTGCTGTTATCTTATTGGCCGATGTGAATTCTGCCTTGATGCCTGGTTATTTAGGCAGAAAAGCCCTCTTCACACCTTCCTGTTACGGTTAGCGTATTGCTGCCTCAGGCATTTAGCCTTAGTTTTCCCTGCGTGTCTGGAGTATAATGGAGTAGAACTGGAAATAGCTGGAACTGTTGTAGATGGCCGAAAATGGAAGTGTTAGATGGTCCCTCTAGCCGCCAGGATAGAACCTCAACCTTCTTACTGCGAGCATGACTTGTTGTTCCAAGAAATATCTGTGATCGGCGTTTGCTGCCAGATCATAGATGACTGCGCCCTCCAGAGTCCGTGGGGGCCAATGCATGCTCCGGGGCTGTATCCCACTGTCCTACTTGCGATTCGATATTTCTCTGCGAGGCTGAAACGACGATCGTCTTCTATGGCCGCATTTTGCTGCGGATCGACGAGAGCAAGGCTTATTTTACTTGGCATTCGATGCTCAGACAACCCAATTCGATGGCAAGGCTACTGAGTTTGATGGATAGCAGTAGTTTCTCAAACTCATGTCGACCGCAATGATGACTGCGCCTCGATTGTGGCATGGGGTAACTTTTGCTTGTCGACTTTGCAATAAATGGCGAGCTCTTATCCCGGACATAAGTATGATGGCTGCATCTCCATATCTCATCCAAGTACGGTCATCTCTGAATATCAATCATCACCATGCAAATAATCACGCCGGTCATTCGGGCCTTCCAGGTACGTAAGAACCTCGTCGAGCTTCTGTCGCGTTGGACTCTTTTGATGCTCATAGTGATACAGTTCCTCTTCGCCATCGTCGTCCTTGGCCTCTCGGTTACCCTTGCCAAAGGCCAACGATATGGCTCCGTGCCTGCTGCCACAGGGTACGCAGCTTTTGCAGGGGGTGCTGGTATTCTGGCGGCCTTGGTCGGATGCGCCGCTCTCTTTGTCAACGCTCTTGATGGCATTGTCAGCTGGACCGTCGACGCTGTAGCAAGCCTTGCCCTTCTGGCAGGTGGCATTGTACGTTCTCTTCCATCTTCACCGTGTAAAATAGATTCTGACCATGCAGGAATTCGCCGTCCTTCTCCGTGGCACCAGCTGCTCCAATATCGAAACGACTTGGGACAATGTGTTGCTGAGTGGAGGCTGCACCACCATTGATCACCAAAAGACCTGCATGTCCAGCCCGAGCAAGCTGAAGAGCAGATGCACATCCGCCAAAGCGGATGCTGCGTTTATGTTTATCGATTTCGTGGTATGCGTCGCCGTTCTCGCCTGTTCTTTCTTGCTATCGCGCAACCGCAGGTCGATCAAGGCTGGGGTTGTTTAAAGGCTTCTCGAAGTTCCCATATCGTGGTTGGATCTTGCTGGTGTGTATCAGAGTCGAATGTGTATCTCTTTTAGTTGTTAGGGACTGGTGGAAAGTCCTGGATGTCGGTTGCGAGTCTGTACCATGCTATACCTCTACACTTTGATTCCATGATACTTTGTGACTGTGAACACAAAGCAATAGCCAGATAGATGAGTTATAAAAGCGTAATCATGAAGGATTCAACCTTGCTATCCACACCAGCGAGCAATAAGAAAATAATCAAAGACTCTCACTGCAGAAATTCGATTCCAATTCATTTGTAACCCTCTTCACTTGCCCTACGACATTTTAGTGAAGTAGCAACCATCATTCCTGCTCGGAAAGATTGGCCAGAAGACTCTCGATCATGGCAGATAGGGGCATAACTCTAGTGGTGCCATTGTCCGTGATCATGGCTATAGCACGCCGTCAGTAAACGCAACAGCACTGGATGTGGTCAATGCCCAGCTCAGTAACTTGGGCCAATCTATGGAGCAATTTTAGAAATAAGCTCGATGAGACATGGTGAACACAATCCTTCACAGGTTGTACCGAAACAGCGGACTCTTCTCGCCCATATCCCTGAGCTCCTCATCGGTGTAGCGCTCATGGACCGCCGCTGGACTCATCCGTGCCTTTTCCTGATTCAATCTGTAAAGGCAAAATTCGAGCACGAAGCATGCCATGATCCCCGCAGACGCAAAAGCAAAGGAGTTCCCATAGCCAGTGGGGTACCGAGGAGCCTCTTTCTCTTGGTAGATGAAGCTGCCGATGATTCCTCCCACATTGCCCATGCAAATGAGATATCCAATACCGATCGCTCGCTTGGTGGGGTTGGGGATGTTCGAGACATTCCAGGCATTGACACCGGGTAGGATGGGATACATTCTGGAAGAAACAGTCTTCGATCAGACACTAACATCCCCCGCATCGTGGGCAAGCAGGAGCACATACCCAAAGCAGGCGAGGCAGACGCCAAAATAGCATAGAGCGACGTTCTCCTTGATTCGCGCTGCCTTGGTGAAGAGAATCGCAAAAGCGATTACCTGCGACAGTTGTGGCACAACGATAAACGGCATGCGCCAGCTGCAACGGTCCGCAAATACGGAGAATCCATAGGCAGAGAATGCACCCACGGCGTACGGGGGAATGGTGAGAAGCTGCGCCTTGGCGGACGTGAAGCCCATACTCTTAACGATCTGGGGCATCGTGAACTTCAGCGCGTAGTTGGGGACGGCATTGGACCAGCTGGCCCAGATGAGGAGGTATATCTTCCAGTCTGTGAGGACACCGATCAGAGCGCCCCAGTCCACACCTTTCTTGCGTGGGAGCGCAATGTTCTGGGCGATCTGGCGGGTCTCTAGGAATCGGATCTCGTCCGGGGTCAGCCATCCACTGGAGAGACCGGGAGAGTCCAAAAGAAGGAAAAAACACATGATTGCGAGGAGGATAGTGACGAGGCCTTCGATGATGAAGATCTGCACAGCAGTGTGGGGTAAATGGTCAGCGCATATCCCCGAATCGTTGCAGCAGAGAAAGAATATCGACAGGAACTGTATCTCACCCATCTCCAGCCCTCATAGCCCGCGATGCCATCCATTTTGGCAATCGCGTAGGCCAGAAGACCCGAGAACGCACCCCCAGAAGCGGCTGAGGTGTACAAAATGGCAATGCGCGTTTGTGTCTCGTTAGGGAGATACCATTTAGAGATGATCAGAACTGCGCCGGGGAGAAAGCCGGCCCTATCAGCAGGATACTGTCAGTCAAGCGTAGATGCAAGGGGCGCTGAACTCGCTTGATTGGAAACTGACTCAAAAAGACCCAAAAGGATTCTGATGATGATCAGACCGGAGAAGCTGTGAACAAAGCCTGTGCAGGTCATTATCACCCCCCAGGCGAAGATCAAACCTCCCAGGTAAGTCGACGGCTTCTTGAAGCGGTTCAAGAGGATGTTACTCGGCACCTCTGACGTGGTTGGCGTCAGCTATGTCATGATTGTCCCAATCCAATGAGCAATTGCTATACTGACCGGCCAGGATGTACGGGACGAAAAAGACTGAAAGAGCGATGTTATACTGATTTCCGGTCATGCCCAGGCTGGGCAGAAGACCCTCAATCTTCGCGTTCCCTAGAGGAGGACCGGCAATGAGACCGTCCTTTTCATGAACCGTCCTGCGAAGGTCTTTACGTACCTATATTCGTTTTATCGATGTAGGTGATGAGGTATAGAAGAACGAGCATGGGGATCAGACGCCACTGTCATAGCTTAGATCAGTCCCTGTGCTCCAACCAAAGACCTCTGCAAGGAAGCGGCAAGTTCATACATCAACCTATCGAGGAACATCATCAGCTTGACCACGGCCATTGCGTCGTGGGATCTATGGGCTCTTACCTTTCGAAGGACTTTCCTCCTGGCCTCATCGGGGAAGTCGGCGAGAAATGCCTCGTCTTCGGGAGAGAGACCAGTGGCCGGCAATTGCTCAAGGTGTATTGCGCTCTCCTTGTCCAGGGCCATTTCTTGCACATGCAAAGACCGAGTCGGAGTCATCGCAACTCGAAGCGGGTGGGTGATCGTCACTGTCTTCCTGGCTGTAAGGGCCAATGATTAGCATCCTACCCCGTGGGGAAGAAGGAGACTATATACCCATGCTTGCACCGTGCTTTAGATCTGGGGTAAGCAAGTTGACTTATGCTTGGATGATGGCATGTGTTTCAATTCAATCCGGCAAGTTCTTTCTCCTCTTTCCGCCACCCTGGTTGCCCTTGGCTTGGCGGGAGCTTGAACGTTATCCAAGAATCCGCGAAATCCGAAGCCCAGCTTGTCCGGTATTTCCGCCAAATCCGGCCAGAGACCCGAGTGTGTTTCATAGCAATGGTATTGTTGACCCGGGACTTTACATAGTGTTATTCTGCCCGAATCTCTCATCATCGTACAGGTAGATTACGAGAACAGGTCCTTACATGTTCAGCCCTGGCTCGCCTACTAGCTCTAATCAACTATGGGCACGGAAAGGTAAAGCAATTGGGTGTTGACTGGAGGTTCGAAGACGGCCATGACGCCAGAAGATCGATGTCGCTCAGAATTGGGTCGAATACCTGCTTGTAAGTAAGTCATTTGGTCGCCAAAGAGCAAAGAAAGCGAAAGGAAGAGTTTCGTACCGAAGAGTCAAAATCTAGCCAGTTTGTGTATTGCCACGCGTCCAGCGAGCTTACGGGAGTACTGTACGTATTTGCCTGCGAGGAAAGTGTCTCTGCCAATGACTGCCCGGGCAATTGTATGTTGGGAAATAATGTCTGATCACGACTTTCTGCCAATGCTTGCACGCAAAGGCTGTTGTTTCCTGCCATTTGCCGCTGGGCCGCGGTTTTCAACTCTTCTAGCACCAATCCGTAACGACGGCTGGGAGATGCAGTCGAGCCTGCTTGGAGCAGATGAGTGAGGCATCCTTCTGCGAGTCCGTATAGGCGAGTGTGGAATGATTCCCCGTTGTCCTCCGCGAGGCTATCAACTCTCCTACCCTGAATTTCCCAGACATACACGACGGTCAACGCGCAGAAGATGACATAGGGCATCCACCAGAAAGCATGGAGCAGGTTACTGTCGTCCGCCATCGAGTTTACCATCTCCAATGCTTCCTTTGCCGCGCGTATACACTCGTCCACTCTCCGTTCCACCTCCTGGTCACCGCCGAAGTAAGTTCTTGCGGCGAGTAGAAAGGGCCGGTTCGAATGAATGAGGGCGTGGGAGTAAGCCAGCTGGAGCGCTATGGCCTCGCGACGAAAGCTTGGGATCAATGCGGAGGGCCTGACGGTCCCCAGGTGCGGAGGGAGAGTCGCGCGCCACGCACGCACTTCTTCTGCGAGACGACGCGCAGTACACACCCGATCGTCATCTTCCTTGACGGCCACAGAGTAGACCTCTCTTGAGATACGGCCGATGATTCGGGCAATCTTGGCATGTAGTATCAAGGCCTGAATGTGACACTCCTGCACGGAATCGACGACCACGGGGCCTTGCGGGCCCATGTCCTCGTCATTCACCAAGTCGGGAAATTCCTGGTCAATGTCGTCGTCGTGAAGAAAGCGTGGGCGGCCGAACACCACGCTGAGGTACTTGTCTATTGTGTAGGTCACCCAGAAGACCCGTCGGACACATTGGAGGCTGATGTAGTCTGCGCAGCCAGCGGGGGGGCCGGCCTGTTTCCGGGGCCCCCTTCGGTGCAGACCGAGGGAAGAGATGATCTGGCATGCGTGGCCCAGTGTATACCATGCCTTGTTCATCCGCGAGGTTTGCAAGAGATAGAGCACCTGGATGAGTCGGGCCTGCACGGATTCCAGGCGGGGAAATCCTATTTCTGTATCGGTCAATTCCAGCGCGGCATGAAACAGGCAATCACTGTCCCTCAGACCGGACTGCTCGCGTTCTGCAGAGCCAGATCTGTGAATATTCTCCATTCGTAGCCGCGCAATCGCCATGATAGTCAAAAGGATTGCGCACTTTGCATTGCCAAGGGAACGGGAGATGGCACCACGGCGCTGCGGATCATCTAGGAAGAGGGCCAGCCAGCTCTCGACAGTCTGACGATGGAACAAGCGGTACGTCACGACACAGTTGTCAAAGTAGAAGGTCACCAGCTCCCGCGGATTAGCCTCATGAAGGAGTGATCCAAGGTGTTGTCCACCACCGAGGTCGAACGGTCTATCCCCAGCCGATGCCAGAAGCTGGTTCTTCTCCGCCTCGTTCGACCCGTGCAATGCCATAGTTCCCCTCTGCAGCAGTATCTTCTTCCATGCGCGATGCAGGAACGTCAGCCCGGAGGTGAGATCGAAATATTGGCCCTCGATGACGAGTTCGGGGGTTGCTCGCGACGGAAGCCCGTCGTCCGCAGCAACAACAGTCTCCCGCGCGTCCCTGCTGGCTTCACTCTCGGGAGACAACAGGACCGACCGATCAGTGGGTCGCTCCGGGCTCAGACTCCTCTCTCGGCTGGGCTCTTGCCCCTGTTCCGGCTGCGCGGGCGTCACCCCGGGTTGAGGCGTTGGCGGCCGTCCTCTTGCATATTTGCTCGCGTAGGTGCAATCCAAGTGTCTCCTGGCACAGATGTCACACGGAAGCGTACCCGTGCAGCGGATCTTCTTAGTCTTACAATTATCACAGGCCCGGCTGACCTTGAACTGCCTTCTCCGATTGTCCGTATCTCCGATGCTATCTCGTGCTCGCTTGGATGACCAGGACATGGCAGGATTCCTTCGCCAGCGCCAGATTGATTTTGACCGGAAGGTGTGTTGGTTAGATTAGCTGACAGCGTCCTGGTAGCGGTTAGGATTGGGAGACTCGGAAAAGACGGATTTGCTTCCTTTAAATAGCCTCGGGCAAAGACTGTGCGGGGTTGAACAAACTCTGTGCCAAAAAGAGCCACAATTACAGTTGTAGTGGGATATCGGTAATTGCCAAATGCCTGGAGTAAATATGGACTAGGATTATTAATCTATGTGTATTCAGGAACATGATACCTGGTTGAAAGGCACGGAAGTAAGCTAATCAAACAAGCCACTCGAATTTCACGATCGTCATTATGTACACATGTCTTGCAAGATAGAAGACAAAACATTGATTCCAAATCTAATTCGTCAATTCACGAGGACCGTCCGCTCACGCAATAATAGAAAGCGAGGCCTCGTTGATGGCAGCATGAATCTCCTGCTCCGCGCCAGGCTCAAGAGGCAGCAAGGGGGAACGGACAGTGGCGTGGGTCAGGATCCCACGAGCAACGAGGGCATGCTTGAGGGCGACTGTGCCCTCCATGTGGGATCCACGGTGATACACGCTCTTTGTGACTGGGAGCAATCGGTCATGGATCTGCCGTGCCTTCTTGTAGTCCTTGGCCTTGCCGGCCTGGATCAGTTCGATAAGAGGCTCGGGGGCGATGTTTCCGTACCCCACGAGGAAGCCGTCGACGTCGAATGCCGTGTGCAGCAGATACTCATCGTGACAGCTGAGGATCTGGAGATTGGGACGTTCTCGGCGGATGACGGGGATCTCGGTATCCCAGCGACGCATGTTGCGCACTCCGTTCTTCATGGCGAAGACGCCAGGCTGCGCCGCGATGTCGAGCATCGTCTGCAGACTGTACGTGGCTTTGGTGTTGTCCGGATACTGGAAGAGGATCAGCGGGAGGCCACTGACCTCGTATACCCGCTTGTATCGATCCTGAGGCGCGCCGTTCTGGTAGCCAAAGCGTAGCCATCCGTGAGAGGGATACAGGAGACCTGCCGCCGCTCCCGCCTCCTTGGCTCGCTTGGCTTCCAGGGCCGCTACCTCGGTGCCTTCCCCTGTGATGCCGGCAATGATAGGAATCTTGTTCTTGACGGACTTGACAAAGGCTTTGATCACCGAAACTTGCTCTTCGGGAGTGAGGAATGTCCCCTCACCAGCGTGTCCGAGAACGACGAGGCCCTTGACGCCGGCGATGCTACCAAGCCAACTGCCTAGTCGCTGAATGGCATCGTAGTCGACCTCTCCCGTAGGAGTAAACGGGGTGACCGGGGCAGGGGTCAGGCCGTGCATGTCGAATCCAACCATGGTGATGATGCTCAAGGAAGTGATCTGAGAGGAAAAGTCCTGGGAGCGATGTCCGATCGAGTGTTTCGTCGAATCCTTGAAGATAGAACTCCGGTCCTGAGATGACGCCGGCTGTACTTATAGGCTGATTCTGACGGCACCAGTTGATGCGCCTCTCCGTCCGTCCACGGAGAGATACTGTAGAACCCCAATTTTGTGTCGTAAGTCAATCGCCCACTGCTGTGCGAGTAGGAATCTGGTATGGTCCGCGATATCCGTGTTTTCCGTTCTGGGTACGGATACACGAGGCCGGATTGCTGGAACCAGGTCTCTTGGTGATCAACTCTGAAGTTTTATCATACTTGGTGATTCTGAGCCCCAAAAGCACTGTACATGGAATACATGAAACGAAGCTATCAAGGTGTATTGCCTGAGGGATTGATGTAACTGCTGACATTCGATTCGTATTTCTTTCTCCGTGTCCTCTTCAAAACTCAATGATATCCTTATGTGCTACAGCACACCTTCTACTCCGAACGACAGACCAAGAGTCCCCCAATGACAGCGATGACAGGAACATATCCCCAGTGATTCCATTGTCCATGACCATTGCTCCAACACACGGCCCCATCGGCCATCGCGACAGCACTGGTTGCGATCAACGTCCAACCAAGGGACTTGCGAGTGCCGAGAAATCCCGCAGCGTAGACGGCGAGGCCCATGAAAATATCTCTCACACCGTATACCACCATCAGACTGTCAACCAGCCTTCGGTCAAGAGGAGCGACAGGGGGTTCAAACTCGAAGAAGGTCAAGGCATGGGCGGGACGCAGGATGGCGTTGATGCCGAAACCGATGGGGACGATTCCCATGACAGTGGTGATGAGCGAGACGAAGGGTGATTGAGACGGTGATTGAGACATGGTGAGTTTGAATTGTCAAAGAGGACAGAAGAGTGTTTTTCCTAAGATATCTGGAGATGGCTTTGGGAGGTTGAGAACAATGAATCGTCTGTTTGAAGAATTTATAAGCATTCTTGCTGACAGCGACAAGGCTGACATTGTCTTGGCTCTAGGCAGCCATGCCATCAGTATTACATCAAGAGTTCATGGAGATATTCCAAAGAACCACAGCAGCCATCCAGGTACCCTCGCAAGACACTGTCTACGACACAGCATCTGCATCAAGGATCAAAGGCGGCAAGTGTGTATATCCTACCAGAATCATGTCCAAGAGTCAAGGCAAAGTCAATTCAGTTCATCTCTTATGTAGTGCTGAGCACGAGTTCACCTCGCATATTAGTGCCAATACATTCCACTGGTCATGTATTTAGGTCTTTCTACCGAGAACTGTTGACCACTTATTACTCGGCAAAAATAGCCACCAAACAAGAGAGAAGCTGGTAGTGGATAGCAATAGCACGCTATTCCTGACGCTAAAAGAATCCGACAAGAGACTATTGACTTTTGACTTTGGACTCCCGCCACATCGCTAGTTCTAGTCTTGCTAGACGAGATATCTGTCTGTCCATGATTTCATGGAAAACCCAATCGGATATAGCCGACGATGGGGCGTCGCCATGAATTTCCCTGGAATTCATACTCGCCTCAGCAAGCCAAGTCCAGCAAAGGAGAATAGGAACAGTCCTTCTCCTTATATAACCCATCCCCGCGGCATGCCTGTTTGACTGATGGTAGAACACTCGCTTCTTTCGTGAGGTTGTCAATACCTCGTCCTTTCTTTCCTGTTCGATCAATATGCGGTCCCTTTCTGCGGCCGTCGTGCTGCCCCTGGTGCTCCTCGGTCAACTTTCCCAGGCACAGACAGAGGTGATCACCAGTACCGAAGTCTCCTGTACAACCGAGTCGGTCAATCTATTCATCAATCCGTCCTTCGAGACAGGCTCCACCAGCCCTTGGAATCGGTTGACCAATCCCATCTCGGTCATCAGCGACAACTCGGACGACGGGGAGTACGCGCTGCAGATCAGCTACACTGGAAGCCCGAACTATGCGGTGTCGCAGACGGTGACAGGTCTCGACGTGGGCACGACCTATACCTTCTCTTATGACTACAAGATCAGCCAGTTGGTCGGACCTCAGGGGACGGCTACTTGCACATTCTATGTCGCGCACGATGTCACTTCCATACTCGGATATGCTACTGGATCATACTCGCCGTCCGTTCCTCCCACCTGGAAGACCCTGTCAGGGACGCTCACGGCCACCTCGTCTTCGCACACATTCACCATGTGGGCGTTCTGCAGCCTCTATAATGTCTATCATCCATACATCGAGTTTGACAACGCCAAGCTCCTGGGTCCTGCGCAGGAGACCTGCTCGACCGTGACCGTCAGCTCGACTGTCACGATCACGCCGAGCTCGACGCCGGTCTTTACCCCGACTCCTTCTAGCAGTGCCGTGATTACGGCGTCCTCTTCAAGTGAGGGCCTTCCTTCATCGTCGTCGGCGATTCCGTCCACCCCTGTGGTGGCTTCACCGTCTGTGACCCCGGTGCAGACTCCAAGTGCCACCCCTTCAAGCTCACCGACGGGCAGCGTGCCAGCGTCCTCGGTCATCCCGGTGCCTGTGGTTTCTTCTCCTGTGGCATCTCCATCCTCATCGGCTGTGCTAGTGACTTCCTCCGGCGTCATTCCGTCTCGTTCTGCCATCCCTCTGCCTTCACCTGGAAGCTCTTCTCCTGTGTTGTCATTCTCTACTATCCCGGTCTCGGTACCCACTTCAACCCCATCATCATCTGTTCCACCATCGAGCAGCGCCAGACCGAGTTCTTTCAGTCCTGGGCCAGCATCGCCGTCCTCGTTACCCACGCCGTCCGCCAGTCTTTCACCCACATCCCAGGCTTCTTCCGCCCCTGTTGTGACGTCCCAAAGCTCCTCGGTGTTGCCCGCCTCGAGCTCATCCTCGTCGAGCCTTCCTCAGACTGCGCCCTCATCCAGCGTAGCATCCTCTCCAGTCTCATTGTCCAGTGGGCTCCCAACAGGATCGAATCTTTCATCCGCTCCAACTGCCGTTCCAACCTCATCCGCCGCAGTATCTGAGCAGTCGTCTGCAGTTCCTACTTCTGTGCCTCAGTTCACCACATCGACTATCCTGACCACCCGAACTGCTACGGTGACTGCGTGCCCGTCCACTGTCCCCGACTGTCCTGCGTCAGCCAGAAGCACCTTTCTGACCACCGAGACCATTGTGGTTGCAACGACTATCTGTCCAGTCACCGAGGCCATCACGTCCGCCACCCCTACGGCTGATGTGCACCCAACATCACTCGGGGAATCGACCACCTCTACTATCTTCACCACTCGCACTGCTACAATTACCGCGTGTCCGTCCAGTCTGACCGACTGTCCCGCGTCCCATAAGAGCACATATACCACCACGGAAACAGTCTTGGTCTCCACCACCATTTGTCCCGTTACCGCTGCTGAGCGACCTACAATCACGGGAGTCCCCGGATCCGCCACAACCGCTGGCTCACCCGCCTCGCCAGGAGGGGATTCTGGTGATGTGACCACCTCGACCGTCTTGACCACCCGTACTGCCACTGTCACGGCGTGCCCGTCAACGGTCGCCAATTGCCCCGCGACGGCAAAGAGCACGTTTGTCACTACAGAAACTCTAGTCGCTTCTACCGTTGTGCTCACAGTCGAGAGGACAGCAACTCCTACCGCTGTCCCCACGATCCCTGGCGCGGGAGTTTCTGGTGCCGCCTCTGGACCTCATGGCTCGTTGACTTTCGAGTCTGGCTCTACCAGTGAGCAAGATGCGGGCCGTGGATCAAGCCCGGGCTCCACCGGCTCTGACACTGCTGTTGGAGCGCAATCCGGCCTCGATACTGGAGCTAGTGCACACGAATCCGCTTACAGCACTACCGGCTCTGCATCATCCGGTGGAAAGGATGTCGCTGCTTTGGGGGGTCATGGTGATGCCCCGAACTACACCCACACCTTGCCTTCAAGCACTCCAACGAGCCTCCAGACATCGACCTCATCCAGGCCCTCTGGTGTGGCTTCAACAGGTTCCAACACAGCCACTCTTTCTACGTCTTCTCAACCCAGTGGTTCTGTCACTGTGACGGATACCGCGGCATCAGCACTCTTTACCGGCTCTGCATCGCCTACAGCGACAGGATCTTCCTTCGGTCTCCTATTCGTAGCAATTGCTACCTTGATCCCTTTCCTTTTCTTCAGTTCGATATGATCATCTCTTCTACTTGGTCCTATGCTCGACCACATTCAAATTATTACGTTATATAAACGGATTGGAAGTCCGAATGCGATTCCATTTCGTGTTGGCCCTCTTATATAGATCTTTGTAAATAATGATCCCGTTTGCAAGAGACTGTCATCCTAGAGAGATTCTTCTCTTCTCTTTTGAAAGATAATATGTACCGTAGATACAGAAAGCTGTTCTAGCCTCCTACTCGACCAACCACACATCCCACGTAGCAATCCTCTGATTCAGGTAGCACAGTCTTGTCTCACCACGTTCCGCCCCCATGAGGATAGGTATACCTCTTCTCCCCCGTCCTCTCCTTGCAATCCATATACTCAACCACTTTCTGATCGACCAACTGCCTTAGATCCAAACACTGCCCATGCACCTGGTCCTGGTCGATGGTGAGCGCATTGACACTCACATACCCCGTCTTATGCTCCTGGTACAAGGCCGGATCCATCCTCCACACGCACAGCCTATCTCCCCCTTCAAATCTCTCCGGCAAAATGGCCTTACCCACCAGCTCCCTGTCGATCTCATCCTTCCTCCACGGCCCCGCAGCCGCAAAGCACCGCACCCCGCACTTAGGGCAAAAGAACCACTGCACCTGTCCACTCCCACAGCGATAGTCACCCATTGACTCGAGATCCGTTGGAGCCAAGACGAAAAACTGATTCGCTGCGTCCGGGAGGCGCATATGAAAGTAGCCCATTTTATGGCAGGTGGTGCAGTTGCATTTGTAGAAGCGCGCGCCCGACGGCGTCGATTGGCCGGGGTCAAGCGCCTTGGCTGCTGGCAGGGGGATTATCGCGACATATTGGATGAAGCCACAGTGGCAGGCGCCAGCGTATGGGAGGGTTGACTGTGATGGGGTGGACATTTTAATTCAAGTGGAGGATTGGTATTCCTGGGCAACGGCATCCTTTATATGCGTCGGTCGATAGTGCTTCTGTATTGCTGCCTAGTCTAATCTAATTTAGCGATAGTGCAGAACGGAAATGTAACCCTCAGACCACACTATTCAAGGAGCCCTCAAATCTATGTCTATATCCACAGACCGTGGCTTGCAGTCCCTTCTTCCCCTTTGGTATCCGACAAAGCCAGTAGAGAAACACCACGCTAAAAGTGTTAAAGGCCACATACCCTCACGGACTGTCGTATAGCCAGGTGGAGGTCTTGCTGCTGGACGTACCCCGTTTTTCGCTGAAATGAACTGTCGCGCTGTCGTCCGTCAACCAGCATTTCGCCTGTGACGACTCCGACGGTCGTTCGACTGGCCAATACATCGAGCAAGGTAGTCTTCCCGCCCTAGGTTACAGTATTCTTAGCCCTCTCGAGTGTCACTGACAGGCGCAGAAAGCACCTGCCATCAGAGCAGTCAGTGTACCAGGCTTGATCCATTCACGTTGCATGTAATGACTTGATGACAGGGAAGCAGAGCTCGATCAATCCCCTTCAATCTCTGGGCATGCACCAAGGGCCAAGGGTGACTGATTTATACCAGGACTGCAAATGGACGTTGCTGCCGGACGCTGCCATCGTTCGACTCATTCCGTCTACTGGGTCACAGAGGAAGGCCAGACAGCAAAACTAGAGGACAAATGCCCGGCCATTGGTTCAATAGATGAGAATTCGAAGCGTCCTGCGTCGTTACATGAAGTCCCGAGAAATACGAAAGGGGGCAGGACAACATAGTCAATTCTGATCCATACAGTGGTGAAGATTGTGCTCGTGCAAAACGCTCGAGAGGAGACTGGAGGGAAGTGCAGACTATGTATCATCCAGAATACGAGGACCAAAGAAGCTACGGTCCTTCTGTCGGGGCACGCATCCATCTGGGGAAGGACATTGCTCTCAATACGAGATCCAAAGTCTTGGCCAATATATCAGAGCGCTTGAATCGATCATCGACTTGTCGGCACAATGCCACTGGTACGCATCACCGGTTGGCGCTGAGTCTGTGAGGGACACCTGGGAGAATATACCTATATAAGGCCTCTCCTGTCCCGTTCAAAAGTGACATTCTCAAGCCAGCACAACCCAATCAACAATACTCGGACAGACAGGCATACCGACTTCCATAAGAAGTATGCAACTTCCTCACTACAGTAAGACAGGACTGATATTGTCGCAGGCATCATGAAGATCACAGCTCTCGCCGCCACCCTCATCCTGGCCCTGGCCCCCAGCGTATCCGCCTGGCGCGTGTACTTCTACCAGCTCCAGAATGAACAGGGCCCATCCATCACCAATGCCGGACCTGGAAATCCCGGATACCGCTGCTTCTCCAACGTCGACCCTCTCAACCAGAAGATTTCGTCGATGAGATATTACTCGGACAATCCGGAGGGCACCACCCGCTGCTGTATCCGTCTCTATGACAGCCCCAACTGTGGCAACTACTTTGGCTATGAGTTCTGCCACAACCAGTTTGTCAACTTTAACGAAATTGGTTATGACAACGATGTGAGCTCCTACTCGACCGATTGCTACAAGATTTGAGCATCCATGGCCTACATTGGTTGAGCGAGGGACGAGTGACGTGAGGATGTGGACAGATGCAATCGAGTTATATATGATCAGTCATGTTCTCTGCTTAGCTATGATGCCTCAAGGTAAATGTCTATCTTCCTCTCCTACAAGCATACCATCTGTATTCACGTTTCTCTGGTTTGGTTTGTCTCGCTTTGTGACCATGCTCGTCATAGGTGCCGTGATAAGAATGGAGTACTTTAGTTATTTATGAATGCACAAGACCTTTAATGGCACACTAATGGGTATTGCATGAAGTGATTAAAACATTGTGCAATGTCCAATAATAGCGCCAGTGGTGTCCTTTTATCTATATTTCCCGCTTCAGGGCATCTACCTCAACACAGCTAGCAAGGAAACAAGCCTCTGGAAGGCCTTTATACCCATTTCATCGGCAGTATACAAGATTTGAACCAGGACGTGATCATTAGCCCTGAAGAAAGTATACCACGGTCAGTCACGTGCTCACCCGCCGTCGACATACACGTACAGCACCTTTCCCTGCATGATCAGTTCTAGTCCCTATTCGCCATTATGTCTTTCCAGATGTACGATGGAGCCATCGCAGTCAACATAGACACCACCCCTCTCGCCCTGGATGAGGCGACGCGGACACTCTACAACCGCGCCATCACCGACCCATCCTCACTGACCGATGCGGAACGAAAAATCGTCACCCATCGCCCGCCCGCAGAGGAAGAGGATGCCCTCTGCCAAAGCGCCTGTGGACAGACCATGACTGAATTCATTACAAAAGCCATCCGCAATGGTGATGCTTTCACGTACAATGAAGCCCACCTCCTAACGGCCAACCAAGCTGGACGGCTTCTGGCTGAACGGGCTCGGCTCAGCGCCGCGGACCGCGATGTCACCCACAGGGCGGCCGCCGCTGCCACAGCCGAGGAGATGAAGGCCGCGCGCGCCAGTGCCCAGGCCGTGCAGCACCGATGGCACATGGCACAGAACGCGGCAGCCGAGGCCCTGAGCGACGACGATATCCGCAATATCCGCTATGCGATGCGCATACCCTGGCAGGAGCATGTTCTGAGTTTCCCCGAGGCGACAGTCTGTGGCCTGGTGTTGCTCTACGTGGATGGGCCCGAGTGGCCAGTCTTCAAGGCGCAGATCGAAACGGCCATTTATCACGGGTTGCATTATAAAGCGCAGCTTATGAATGAAGCGGCCATTACCAAGTTTACCCTGCACTGGGTGGCGGTTGTCGAACCCAACTCCGGTATACCTTGGCGTAAATTTCAGACAATGCGCGACAACAGCGAGTTTCCTACGGGCCTCCGATCGGATTGTTTCCTCCATGTGGACGAGGAGTCTCTGCGATGAGGCCAGATCGTACGTCTGGTTGTACGAGCCTGAGGAGACGGCAGAGCCGCTCAAGGTGCACATCAAGCACATCGCCCCGACGCTCTTTGCGCGTCTCACACAGCGCGATCTCTCGGATGAGGCAAAACGGCGACCGTATCGCCATACCTCGGAGCTGCGAATGTTGCATCAGGCGGCGCGTCACTCGCGGAATGCAGAGGGAGACCCGGATGGTATTTGGCCGCCACCTGCTCGATATATGTGATTACTTTTGATTGAATTTTCGGTTTCTGATACTCACGACTTTGGCCAGACACGGCAATTAGAGACATAGTGGCCCCACCTGGGCCAACACGGATGATCTACATTCAAAGGGCTCTGGTCGGTATCCCAGGAAAGACTGGTAGATTATCATCTGGGCCTGGAGCTTTGCCTTGTTTGTTCCTTTGGCCAGGAGTCTACTGATCTACCTTTCTTAGTAAAGTAGCCAAAGAACTAGCAGAGATAAAGAGAGTACGGGTAAGTACATAGAACTAGAAGGAGTATAGGCGTTAGATATGTAAATGATTACCATGAATAGGTGACCAAGTTACCTTATAGGGATGAGTAAATCACTTAAGGGTGAGGGGACCCTCGTAGTTCTCTCACCTATAGATTTTCCATATGTAGATATCAATCCTTCCATGCATGTTTGAGGTGATATCAAACCCATGTCCGGACCGGCCCTTGCAAGCAGCACGGCATGGCGTCGCTTCATGGCAACATCAATCCCACTTGCTGCATTGGTTCTTTTTCCTTATCTTGCCAAGAACCAAGTATATTGTTGACGTGCTGGAAGCAATGGGATGTACTCCGGACACCCACTCCAGCTCGCAGGGTGCACTGGTAATGCCTCTTACTCCCTCGACGTCTACAATCCTGACTGACATTGCTGTACAGTGGAATGTACCTACCGACCCAGCGGCGTCATCAGCCAAAAAACTGGCGGCAATGTCGTCAGCGTCTCTCACTGTCTAGGCGAATTCGCCTGGCACACAGATGGCTGCTTCGAGGTGAACCCGACCAGATGATTGTCTGTGCTAAGATAGAGTGAGATGAACAAGCCTCGCATCGGAGTCTCCACTACTCACGAGGGAAACTAAACAATGAATTCTGAAGATGACTTCTACGACACTATCACAATACATGTCCCTTTTTCATGATTTCCTCGGCTGCACCAGACTCTCCGTACTACTGCCCTGATTTATCGGCCGTTCAGACCCAGACTCATGCCACTGGACTTCCATCTCCGTAGTCATGACAATCCCGTTCTTATCCCCAGAAACCCTGGCTCCCCTTTCATCCTCCCCTGCTTCGATCATTGTTCCTCCATGTCCTCGCCCGGTTGCCCGCGAAAGGTGATCGAGATCATACCCCATTGGCCCGCTTCGGCTGGCTCCGTACCTGTTATACTGCGGACCACTCCGGCTCTTGTTGCTGCTGAATACTTTGGGAATAATCATGACGATGAGTGGTTTGAGTGCCGGCGCGCATGCTGCAATAATGGAGAGTCCCACTTCGATAGTGGAAATGCAGAAGAGGACGGAGTAGGTGTAGTCCTCCGGGATGTGGCGGTCGTAGTTGTCAAGCAGGATCACTCGTACAATTCCGGATATCACCGATCTTGTACACCGTCAGTCCTCCAGCCCTTCATGGAAGAAACAAAATCACTCACATGAGACCTAAGGACAGAATCCCAATCAACATCAACTTTTGCCCCCGCGCGATTTTCAGGTTATACACGATCCAGGTTGGCAGGATCAGCACAAGCACGTCGGTGAAGATGGCCACACAGGCGGTTCCGGTGACAAAGTTGGCGAAATTGATACATTTGGCGTTTGGATAGGATGCAGGGTCCCAGTTGGAAGCAATGGGGACGCAATGGAACGTCGTGATGAGGAAGGTGGCCACCATGGCGACGCCGTTGAGGATCAAAAGCCCATAGATCGCTCTCCGCACGTTCACCTTCTGGCCGGTCAAGCGTAACAGGAAGAGTAGGATGGAGGTTTTGATGAGGGCGAGGATGGGGTTGTACAGGAGCTCTGTCTGAAATGAAAGTTAGCATGTCGTTCACGGGGAACAGATCGCAACATACCGCATAGGAGTACTTTGCTGCCAGCGCAGCGGGATAGTCCTTTGGAATGTCCCAGGCATGGTAGCCGATATACATATACTTGATGACTGAAATATGTTAATTGATGTAGTAAACAGGCAGACTCTCCACAATACCATAGTAAGAAGTAATTGTCTCAGCCCAATAAAGGACCTTGGCTTCCAGTCAGCGCAACAATCCATGGCCAAAAAACATGTCACCTACCCCTGCAAAACAAATCACCCAGTCATCTATAAGCCGCGATCAGCATCCCTGGACCCAATGTAGGACTATCTGGGTACATACCCGCAGCAAAGGTCCGTGTGAACAATCGACTGTAGATTCGAAGACCCACCACGATCGTCGCAGCAGCGGGAAACGCAAAGATCAGCGCAATCGCCTGGGGCTGCAGTGTATCGCTTGGGGCAGTCATCGAGGGGAGTCACACCACATCGGACGAAGATGACAGAGGAACAGAGGAAAAGGAGATTAGAAAGAGGCCGTCAGATCCTTATGAGAAGAGCGGAAATTGCTCAGGTGAAAGGAGTAGGAAAGTTCTACATTAGGGTTTCGGAGGCCCTTGCGGAATTTTCTGATTGACTCCTGGAATGCAGCCTGTTGCTTCCAGTCGAATATCCTGCTCAAACCATCAGGAACATGTGTATTATCCCTGCTAGTTTGGCAGGGGCTGGCTCGATAACAAGGACTATGAGAGCCATGCCTCCTTCGATCTTTGTATGAAGTTGGAAACCTCTCCGGCATTCTGGCCACTCTTCACGCTTGGATCAAATATTCCCATGCCTTTGAGCCGGCTTCGGGGGCGAACGAGGACGAGTGAATCCAACTGATTGGAATATTGACTTTGGAGCCGAAAGGCGAAAGTGACTAGATCCGAACTATCATGGTGTGGCGCCAATGAAATCCTACGAGACTCTTCCTCCATACGCGTCGCAGGATTCGTACTCGGAGTAGTCTCGGGGATATTGTCGAAAGATGTCACTCATTGGCCACTTACTATAAAGGCTCGTCTCTTGGAAATTCAAATAGATTGCCCGGCATATTAGTACGGTCAGACTAGGTACCTCAGCCGAGAATCCATCTCCTTCTTTGGGAGAAGTGCAAAGTCTCGGGGGATAATTCAAGACATAGACTAAGGGTTTCGGACGACGACTTCCGTCCTGGCTTGTCTCGATTTAGCATTGGCAGTCCTTATTGGCATTGTTCTTGTCTTCTTTCTTGGGAATCAACGGCCCGCTTCTGTTCCCTTAGCAGCCAGATGATATTAGCAGCATGGCATCCCAATCGAATGGACAATGATCCCCAATGTCTTTAAAATACTTTGGCGCTCTTCTCGTCGTCCTGTCTTTTTCTTCTTACTCTCATTCTTCTCTCCAAAGTCAATTACCGATATCCGGCGCCCGCGGGCAGCAGGAGTCGTAGTCTTGCAGCCACATCGATAGTCCCTGTTAGCCACTGCCACCAAAACGTGGCCGGACCGGGTTCAATATATTTATTTATTCTCGGCCCTTACTAGCGTGGAGCGGATATCTTCTTTTGTATTGGTTTGAACAGATTTATGCAGTAGTTCATGAGCTAAAGCCCATCGTCGTCCCGCTACTTGCTAGCTCTTTGCACCGAGTCAGAATCTATCAAATTCCCCGAGATGAGGATCCACCTGCATTGCACGATGGCAGTCAATTCGCTTCGAGATCAAGATTCGACATCCGTTGTCTCCTGATTGCCATTCCTGGAGGGTTTAAATATCGCCCACATGGCACGAATTGTGCTGAGATGGCAGGCCACTTGCTTCCTTGATCCTTGTACCCGGACATAGAGAATGAAGAACGTTGTACGGTCTGCCCTGACCATCTTGGCCGTGGCCTCTGTGGTCGCAGCGCAAGATGCCAATGTCACGGCATCGCTGACACCGGCAGCAACCACCGTCTCACCATCGGCTACTCTCTTCCCAGCAGAAACAGTCCAACTGACCGACGGGGTCCTCGCCGATGTGGCTGACACCATTCAGAATGACACCGTCTCCAGCCTGTTCACCTTTGCCAGCACCAACTCCTCTTCCGTATCGAAGAGAAGCTTGCACCAGTGCAAGGTAATGCCTGGAGATCGCGCCTGGCCGAGCGACCTGATCTGGGACATCTTCAATCTCCTCCTCGGAAGGCGTCTGGTGAAGACGACACCGCTGGCCGCATACTGTTACCCTGACTGGCCCGAGTATGATGCGCAAAAGTGTGCCACCGTCACGGCAGAATGGACCAGTTCTAATCTCCAGTAAGTGCTTCAGCAAACTGCCCTCGATCTCGGCTGATGTGGGATAGCATGGCCGATCCGGCTTCCATCATGTTGCCCCTGTACGAAGGCCGCACATGCATGCCCCCCGGCTACAACTACACGAACACCTGTGAGATTGGTGGGTATCCGACCTACGTCGTCAATGCCACCAACGTGGCTCAGATCCAGCTGGCTGTCAACTTCGCCCGGAATCTCCACCTGCGCTTGGTTGTCAAGAACACCGGCCATGACTTCAACGGCAAGGCGGCCGGTAAGGGTGCTCTATCGATCTGGACGCATTGGCTGAAGGACAAGGCCTTCTACTCGCACTACAAGGCCACTAATGGCTACGTCGGCCCAGCCATCAAGTTCGGCTCTGGTGTGCAGGTGTGGGAGGCGTATGAATATGCCAAGGCCAACGGTGTTACTGTTGTTGGTGGCGAAGCCGTCACCGTTGGTCTGGGAGGGGGTTATACCGCCGGCGGTGGTCATTCGCCCTTGAGCAGTCTGTACGGCATGGCCGCGGACCAGGTTCTTGCGATGGAGGGTAGGTTTTGTCTTTTGTCACCCCGAGATGTGCCGGCTAACTTGGCTTGATAGTGGTCCTTGCCGATGGCCGTTTCATCACGGCCACATCCACACAGAACTCGGACATCTTCTGGATGCTCCGTGGTGGTGGCGGCAGCACCATCGGCGTCGTCACTTCGTTGACAGTCAAGGCATACCCCAAGCTGCCAACAACGACCGTTACCTTCAATTTCACCATCAAGGACGCCCCTAGCGCCGACGCCTTTTGGAAGGGCGTCGAGTCCTACATTGACAACTTCGAGGCCTTTGTCGATGCGGGTACCTACGGCTACTACTACCTCGGCGCGTCCGCGTTCGAGATTGGTACCGATTATGCCGGGTCGACCGATTACTATTTCCGCATGGAGTCGTTTGTGGCTCCCAACATGACGATCGACGAGACAAAGGCCCTGCTGGCTCCCTGGTTCGATGTGCTAGACGGTCAAAACATCACCTACACTCCTTGGTACAACTACGCCGACAACTTGTGAGCTTTCCATACCCTCGTGCAGGAATTACGACTGATAAACCTGTAGCTATGACGTCTGGGAGGTGGCCTTCCCTCAGGAATACGTTGGAACTGCCCTGGTCAAGACGGCCTCCCGTCTGATGCCCCGAAGCGTCTTCCAGGACGACAGTCTGCGTAACCGGACCTTCCTTGCCCACAAGGATGCCATTGAAAATGCAAGCAATTCCGCCCGTTGCCTTAATTCCCACTAACCATCTCTAGGGCCTCTTCATCGCTGGCTTCCACATCAGTGGCACCGGCAAAGCCGTCACCCCTCCCACCGACACCTCCGTCCTCCCAGCCTGGCGCGATGCCCTCGCACACGTCATCGTCGGTGCCGAATGGACGTCCGACGCCAGCTGGGCCACGGTAAAGAACTCGTCTCTGTTCGTGACGAGCTGGATGGACGTCCTGCGCGACATTGCGCCCGACTCGGGCGCATACATGAGCGAGGCAGACCTGCTCGAGCCGAACCTGCAACAGGCGTTCTACGGCGCCAACTACAACCGACTCTACAGCCTCAAGCAGCGGTATGATCCGTGGGGATTGTTCTTTGCGCTGACAGCCGTTGGCGCGGAGGATTGGGAGGTCCAGGTCACGGATCCAGTGCCCTACTCGTGGAATAATAATGGACGCTTGTGTCCTGTTTCCTCTTGAGATGGCTTCGTGATGAGCAATGGATATAATACCACTTATAGAGTGATAAGATTTATAGAATTCCCATAATATATGATATTGTTGGAGCAATGACTCGACAGTAATTTTCTCTCACTCACTATACTTTATACAGCGGCGTCTCATGACTCGTGTGCCAGGGCTCCACTCCTCTTGATTAAGAGAAAGTATTCAGGAATTCTTCTTATAATCACCGACAGCGTAGATTAGAGACAGACCACTGTTTCAGATGTCTAGCAAAGGCCCACTTGGATGTTCGAAGTAGATCAGCCCTGTATGCTCAGGGGCAACATCTATGGTTATAAGATTCCCTGGACTACTCTGCAAACGTGGAGATGTGTTCATCTTATTCACTGTGCTGGTCTGAGAGGTTACAACTTCAAAATGGTCTTCTTCAGACGGTGTCTTGCCCTGGCGGCCCTGTCCTTGTCTCACGCGGCTTTCGCACTGCACGATCTTTCCACTCGGGCTCAATCCCCGACTAATCTCTGCGGAGACTATGATTACATGATCCTTGCAAATTCGCCATGGATTGTCTACAATATGCTGTACAATGCCGCTCAGATGGTCGGCACACAATGTACAACTTACGAGGGGGTCACCACAAGCGACAGCGGCACCAAGGAGGTTCTATGGAGCAGCGTGACGAACATCGACTATGTCGAGAGCACGTAAGGTTTCGGATTCCGGGTCGACATCAGTGGCTTAACAGGAATGTATTGCAGGAACAATGTCCCCAAGGGGTACTCGTTTGTCGGTCTGACGCAGAATCTCGAGACCAAACTGTCCGCTGTCGACTCAATCCCGGCAGTCTACAACTGGACGCGTACCAATACCACTGATTTTAAGGGTGCGATAACCCACTACGCCACAGAGTCGTCTCCAATGCTGATCATCCAAGCAGGAAACATTTGCTTCGACTTTGTGACCAATGATATCAAAGGTGACTCGACTTCGTCTTCCTCGCGCGAGCTCATGCTGTGGCTGCAGTACGAGGGCGGCCAGCTCCCCATCGGCTGGACCAATGGACCTGCTGCCACCATTGACCATCTCTTCGGGACCTCGTGGACGCTGTACGAGGATGTCAATACCGACACCGGGATAACGGTCAGCACCCTGATGCCTACCAAGCAGTTTGAGGGCTCTTTCTCCGGCGATCTGAAGGACTGGTTGCTCGCGATGGCCGATCTGGGCCGGTTTACCGAGTCGACATATGTCAATGTCGGCAATGCTGGGTATTTATTGTTGGTCCTTTGGCGCTCTATATTCAACTGACATCTGTAGGACGGAGTTCTTCTACGGAAATGCCGTGATGAACGCGACCCTCGGGTTGCAGATTAACCTGGCGTGAAATCGATCAGTATTGACAAGGAGTCAGTTTTCGGGACATCGTGGGCAGGGTGCATATTTGTACGTAACTTAGTCATAGCCTCTCGACAGTGACCTGAAGCGATTCCTGGAATCATGCCCAAAAATACTCCCATCTCTGGACTAGTATACAGACAAGGCACGTCTCAATACGGTGATTAGCAAGAATCACGGGCTAAGCCACATCAATTGGCTATAGACGAATACGGGACTTGCCCAATGGAGATTAGAATCGACCCTCGCATCTCCCGTTCAGGCAAAGTGGCTCGTATTGACTGGGGCATGAAGCTTAAGTCGTTGCTCCGCCCTGTCCACCAGCATCCCGTGTAGTTTCGCATTGAGTATAAGTAGCCCTAGAAGTTCGGATCAGTCTGCCATCCATTGAGCTAGGTTTTCGTTCACAATGACCTTCCAGAACGACCATTATCCCCTCTTACCAAACGACACTTTACAACAAATCCCTCTCGAGGATATGGCATTCCCCGAAGATCACAACTCAACCTACTACATCTACCGCGAGCGAAACGACCACATGCTCATCACCACGACCCAACAACCAAAAACAGAAAAGGAGCGCCGCAAGAAGCAAAAAGAAGACCCTTCCAGCGTCCAAGACCCAAATGGCTACTTCGTCCACAGACCTTACCTCAGCTTCGCCCACCCGCCCCGGACCCTTCGCTACGGGGGCTCAAAGGACGGACGGACTATATGTCTCATCCGCAGTTACAGTTTCTGGCGTCGGTGGCAACTGCAATTTGGCACGGAGCTCGGGGACGCAATTGACCCCAGAGGAGTCGTCCAGTGGCAAAGTCGGACCAATGCCGATAACAGTGTAAAGGCCGATGGTGACCTGAAAGGGTATCGGGTCCGCAGTTGGCGACTATGGGGCGAGTCCGGCAAGCAGTATCATCGCGAGGTCAACACAAAGCGGAAGCAGGGGCTGTTTGCCGAAGATGACGCCACCGACCATCGACCTCTGAGAGCTACGGAGGCAGTTCAGTTGACCTGGAGGGCGCCGTTCTCGAAACGGACGAGAGAATATGCATTCCGCTACGAAGGGGTTGATTTCGTGTGGAAAGGCACCAAGGACTTGCCAGGGGATAGCAAATTGGCAAGGCGGTTGATGCCGGTCCATCATCTGAAATTGGTGGCGATCATGCCGTGCAAGGTGGCCGATGAGGCTGAGGAGGTGGCTGTGGCGTGTTTTGTGTGCAGTGCTGAGGAAGACGAGTACGGGACTCTCGTCATTCAGGACTCGAAACTGTGCAAAATGCTTGGGATCAGTGAGATGCCGCAAGATATGGCATTGGCTCGCGCCGAGGACCTGAGTCCGGCAAGAGTCCATGATACGATTATGGCCACTGCTGTGTGCATGATCATAGGCGAGTGGCAGAAGCGCAAGACAGCAGTCAGCTTGGTCTTTGCACTGCTTTTCGCCGGGGCGACGAGTGGGGCGAATAAATAGACGATCGATGTATAATATGCTTACCCGGTTGCTTTGGCTGTATACTATATCGTTTCTCAATGCATAGTCAAGACGTTGACAAGAATCTCCTGGGAACAAACACACCATCTCCTCCCCTAATTCACATGGATGAATTGATGAAGCCGGCCGAAAGTATATACCAAGATACTGTTCACGTATACAACATTTGAAACTGATAAAAATGTTTCCATTATGACAGTGATCTGCTACGCAGATCCTGCCGGGGTATTTGACATAGAAAAGACCATGGACCGATGGCCACACGCCGCACCATCCAAGCCGGATCAATTAAAAACGTTAGAAAGAACAACAAGTCAGAAAAGAAATGCATATCCTTAACACCCTCGGACTAGGAGCCAAGGTTCGAACGCCAACTCCTCAACACTTAGTGGCCCATGGCACCGGGGCCACCGTGACTAGCAGCGCCTCCCATGCCACCGGGAAAGCCACCAGCGATGGCATTACCCTCAGCGCCCTTGGGATATTCTTGGCTCTCAGCACCGGGACGCCCACCACCAAAGGAATTGCCCTCAGCGCCCTTGGGATATTCATCGTCCTCATCCTCAGCACCGGGACGCCCACCAGCGAAGGGATTGCCCTCAGCGCCCGTGGGATGTTCTTCACCCTCAGCACCGGGAGCCTCCGGGGGAGGGCCATGGGGGTGGCAAGCGGGGATCTTGAATTCGTAGTCGCAGACACCGGTTTGGGGGCAGTAAGCCGTGCCGGGACCGCAAGTCTTGAGGACTGGGATGCCGCCAGCGGCACATTCGAAGAAGTTGTGGCAGTCATGGACGTCAGGCCAGGCCGCTCCGGGCTGGCATTGAGGGGCCGCCGAGGCCGTGGAGAAGAAGAGAGAGGCCGCGAGGACGGACAGAGCCTGGATGGTGAACTGCATTTTGATACTGGGTGGAAATTAGCATAAGTGATAGACCATTTTCAGCGGCCGGACATACATGGATGTGTTGATTAGAATATAATCACAAAAGTAGTAAATATGGACACCTTGAAGTCTGAATGATATTCGATAGAATTGATGTCGGCTTGGAAGGCGGCGGTTGTTGGCGAGTTGTCGTCTGTTGAGTTGATACTTCCCAGGACGATTTGACAGAGGTTGAAGCTGGCTTTATACCTTTTTTCGAAGCTCCAGAGCGCTCCGACTATCGAGTTCTATCCAGATAGTTGAGTCGTAGGCGGTCCTTCCGAAATCATTCTTTGCATGACGGCTTTGACGGTATGCAGTAGTCGACTTGTCGATCAATGTAAACAAACATCCGTTCTCAACGAATTCCAATAGGATCAACACTGCTCTCAGGCTCCAGACGTCATGTAAACAACCGATATGGCATTCCGGGGCTCGGATCTCGGGATCCCTACATTTTTGCCCCTGGAATCTGCGGAGACATTACCCTCTTGTCAGTAAGGCACACCGTTTGATTTGCTGCATTCATTGTTTATTTGTTATGCCTTCCACGTGGCAGTTCCTGTTTCCGTCTAAACACTTCTATCATGGCTCCCTTCATTCGCTGCATGTACCACCGACTCAACAACCACCATTAGTCGTTCGGGAAATACCTCTGTTGAGGTCTGACTTGTCCAATGTAATGATGATATGGTGCTCCAGCAATCCTAGTATGACGGTTTCCCAATTCTGCTGTCTATTCGTAAAACTACATGTCAGGCCAGAGTAGTGGCGAGGATTAGTCCGGTCAATCGCTACTCAGTGGTCAGTCTGGAAGCATATAGATACCTATTGACACAACGATCAGCTCTCTCTGCTTTCACCATTCTCTTCTTACCCAACTGACATTGTGTCGTGAGCAATCCGTAAGCAGTTCGGTGGTCGGTGTTGTTTGCACTCGGTTTCAAGGGATATTGGCAGGGGTTTGGTGGCTGCCGCGAAGAATGCCACAGGCCCTAGGCGCATTCAGACCCGAGAAAAAACTGAAATACGTCAGACATTGCGCCTATACCTATGCCCCAGGGAATGAAAACAATCGTCATATTTTTGGCCAAAGGGTGTGTGAAATGGCCTCCTTGACTGTATGCCTGCGGAAGTGGCGACGCCAGGACTTTCCCATATCCTTCTCCATGTAAGTTTGATGCATCCCTTTTCCCGCGCTTGCTCATTATGCAATGCATGGCTTTGGTTAACTGGATTTTCTAATTATATCGATACAATCGAAGCGTGAAGGCGTTCCGGTCCAGTCAACATCCGCAGCTGACAGACTGCCCAAATCAGTAGCGGAGGAAATGGTTATAGGAAACGTCCAATCTGCTATGTAGCACTGCCACTGTCCTGGGCAATTTTCAGAGTCATGGGGTGTAAGACCTGAGGTTCAAGTTGTTCCTTTCAGCCACTATAGTCATGCATGCATGCACCCATTGCAGTACAGATCCCTGATCTCTCAGTCTCCTTCTCATAGCAGTCACTATGGGTGTCCTATTCATTCCAGGATCTATCTGCGTAGACTTTGTCCATTCTTACTTATACTGTAGTTAAGTGAACACTTTATAGCACAGTAAATGCTTCATATTTGTTGGTTATTGGTGCAGAGTATTGCTTAGTACCTTGAAAATCTGATCAAGAACTGAAATATCACTTAGTGATAATGATAATTATCTTGTAGAAAGGAATACTGTACGATCATGAAGTGGTGAGCATATAAGAAATATGGAACGGTGACTTGTCTAGAGCGCGGTTACTACTTCAAACAAGTAGACCTCCAGGATCAAGCCTATCGGAAAGATTTTCGACGAAGAGACTTAAAGATTATAAACTGATAACATGACTTGTAGTCTAAGTGTATTTGGTACAAAAACATATCAGAGTGCAGTCTTGTTCGGTCGACTGCGGATGGTCTTCTCATGATATCACACTTCCGTTCAGGTCAGAAGATGAGCTGGTCTGACACATGTTGTATTACCTGACCAAATTGCCATAACCCTCTGATAGTTCGAGATCCTCTTTAAGGTCCATATACTGGGCAATCTCACTGGGATGAAAGAGGTTGAAGACGGCCATGGCGATGAAGATCAACACCGCGTCGAAAATGTAGAGATAGATCTCGTGGTGTAACAGGAATCCATCGTTGCCCTGAAGATACTCTACCAGGCGGAAGACGGACCGGACCAGGATCAAGATACTAGTCACGTAGAGGATGTTGAGGTGCTTCCTCCAGGGAATTTGACCATCGAAGCAGCGCGGGATCGGATACCGCTTCAGCTTCATGTCGAAACTGCTCGCCGTTACGATGAAGAATCCGAAGAACAGTATTTGAACGAGAAGGCCGGCCACGATGATCTTCTGCCCGAGCTTCATACCGTCGAGACCGCCGCTGCTTTGAATACCGCCACCTAGCAGTCCACGTCAGACTGGACTTTCTGACGAGGTTAAGTAGGGCTACTCACCTCCACCTTGCAGAAAAAAAGAGAGGACGTCGCCGGTGACAAAGACCTTGGTCAACCACTTCTTTCTCAGCATCGCATGGGATTCCGCCCGTAGAATTAGAATTATCCGTCCCAGCAACATATACACCGACGCCGCCAGAAGAGCTGGAGCGAGGAGTAGAAACAACGTCTGAAGGAGGTAAGGACCGAGAGTCCAATTGGGCGACTGGCTGCTCGACATGGCGCGCCCAACATATCCGATTATTTCGACTGCCATAATCAGTTTTCGAATATGGTTTGGACTCGCTTTGCGGGGAGGTACTAACAGATCCCTCCCATCAGGAATGGAATGAAGAACCACGTTCGTGTGTGAACAAGCTGAAAGGCATGCCATATAGTCGTTATTGAGAATAGGATGACGAAGATCACGGCTCCTGCCATGCTAGGATCATATCGGTAAAAAGCAAAATCGATCATGGCGTCAGATGTCGCATTTGTGGTTCCACTGCGCGGCTCCATTTGGGATTCGATTAGGAGCAATAGTAGTTTGTTGACTTCGACAATCTGGCGTCAATGTATCTCTAGCAACATTCTAAGAAAGATGGCAATATGCATGACTATATGACCACTTGCCAAACCGTGGATCCAGGCACCCGGCAATCTATACATCAACGACCACGAATAAAATGGTTCTGTTCTTCTGGCCCTTAGTATAGTATCAGCAGTTTCAGCTTTGCGCCATTAAGATCACTCTGACCGATCACTGCAACTCAGCCTGATCCGAGGCGATGGGAACGAGGGTACGAGATGGGTCTGGTCCTTTGGAACATAGACCATGATGTATCCATACATAGCAACCAATAAGGAGGGTAGTTGGAGATTCTAATCTCATTAGCGCAGCAACTAGATAGCGGGACTCTGTGCCTGGCAGAATGGCATCAGCTATTAGCGGTTCGGTCCTCGGATCCGTATTCTATACGCCGTTTTCGTGTTCGTTTATGGTACGAGCAGGCTATTATTCAGGAGTTATGTGAGCACGTCTCCGTACATCATGCTCTATCTGGACGAATAACTAGGGGGCTATCTTCTATGAATCCTCTCTCCGGGGCCCACTGATTCTTGAATGAGTGCGAGCGAATCTTGGATGGTTATGTGGAAGGGAAGTTCCCTCCTGATGAACGTCTGCAGTATTATAACTATCCACCATACGACAATGGCTCACAGTTGATTGGAAACCATCTACTGAGAAAGATCATCGCAATGCGAGAGTCGTGTGCGGACACCCCCCAAAGAATTATGCCTCAAAATATGCCACCATAACCAGCGGATCAAGTCAGGCTCGATGAACGACGTGACCGTGCATCAGCGACCCCCAAGAACCAGCCTCCAGTCGAACCTTGGACACTTTCGCCATTTCATCCAATTCCTTCTGGCCCGGATCTATCTTTCCCGACTTCAATGGCTCTACCGAGCCATCAATCTGCAGGTCCGCGCACAGCAGCGCCAGCGGAGACGACTTCCAAATGTACTGGTTCCGGGTATGGACGACAGTGACAATGAGAAACAGGATACTCAACACCACCAACACAATGGGGAGCAACATCCACAGCCAACGGACGTGAATGTATGATTCATTCGCCCACGCGTCGCCGGGCACTGTTCCCTGGCAGACCCGATTCCGGGCATTTGTGCTGAGCGCCGCAGCGAGAGAGGCGAAGGTCCCACTGATCTGTGTCAAGTTGCCAGACCCGCCGTACAGTGCGCGCAGGGTATCGGAGGTGAAGTAAGGTCTATTCGACACGGGCAATGTCCCGAACCCTGAAACCAGGGGACTGAGCGTATTTCGCATTGCAAGGATGCTCAGCCACTGGATGGCGTAGTTGCACTGGCCGTCGTTCAGACAAGGCTGCGCCGATGCTACGGTGTTCAGAGTCAAATTGGTGGTGGAATGATTGGATATGGTCGTGGTGGGAAAGTTTTGCTCCATCAGGTCGCCTTGCTTGACAGTTGCCTGGTATGTCGAGACGCAGAAGTAGAACACGCATTCCATGGCGGTCGCCTTCGGTGGCAGGGTCTTTCCCGGAGTGGTGATAGCAGAGAAATTGAGAATGAGCGGTAAGCCTGATGCATTCAGGCGGACGAGGTTGACGTTCGTCGCGGCCTTGATGGTATACGGCATACTCCCCGTGGTATTGAAAAAGAGGCCATTCGGAAGCGAGTAGTTGTATGAGTATGTGGTCTCGTCAGAGCTAGTGAGAGTGAGTGCACTGGTCAGGTCGCCGCATTTACCGCAGAAGCCGAGCGATTGATACGGCGCAAATGTGCAATTGCCTGTTGGACAAGTCACCGAGGATTGATCATTGAGCGATGTCTGCATGATGCCATTGTATATCGCGCCTGTTGTCTCCAGAGGCACTAGGTTCATCCCAGGCGCTTGACCTTCCCACCAGTCTTCATACATGCTTGTGTTGCATACCCGGATGGCCGCGCCGCCCTGGCGCGAAACGGAGCGGGATCTGACATCGATGACCTGCTGGGTGAAGGGACCGATTGCCGCAGCGAAGACGAGAACAAAGGCTCCAAGAGAAGCAAGGTGACTGTGTCTTGTATTAGCCTGGAATAAGCGGGAGGGAAGCGTTGCGCACCGAGGCACGTATTGAACCAGGAGCTGTGCCGAACCCCAAGCACCACGGCTGGCCGAATCGAGTGCAGCAAGATCACTCAATGTGCGCGCTTCCCTGAACCAAGACCATTTGAGTTGGGACAGAGCTTCCGCGATATACGTGGCCATGGCAGCTTTCATGAGAGTCGTCAGCAAGGCGATGATGGCGTTGAGATTGATTCCCGCCGGCCAGTTTGGCTGCGTCTTGCCGTCGTAGATACGCAGGACCGCGATAATGCCCCCTAGGGTAATGATCGCGACGAGGCATGCTCCAAACTCCCATGACCAGCTCCAAAGCGACCATCTTGTCTTCTCTCGGTCCGTCGGTGGTCGGTTGTGGTACAACGGGACGGTCTGCTGGTATGAGGCTTCGTGCCCTGCATCAAGGTTATGAATCTGAACTTGATAAGGATCCGATAGACCCTTTGCCTCTGGCATTCTGAGTTATAAAGGTGTTACATCAGATGTTGGGACCCAGTCAACAGGAATATGACCACGAATCGAGGGGAGCTGTTTCCAGTCAGCTCGAACAACAGAGACACGAGCCATGATTTAAGCTGTTGCTCAGTCTTTTTTCAGCTGGCACCAGCTGTCAAAGAGTCTGCCGTAATACGAGGAACAGCATGCTGGTGGCTGAACCTGGCAAATGAGCGGACGCCGGGAGCTACATGGCGTCCCGATGGTCCCTTAGCAGGCAATCAGGGTCTCGAATATCAGCCCCAACATTCGAGAGGCTGATAGTTCAAGGCAAAAGCCCCCCATTTTACCTTGTGACTACATGCTCAGAAGGCCTCTGATAAAAGCTAAATACAGTGCTCAATAGGCGTGTTGCATTGCTCGGCTATGATCGCCTAGTCTGCTCTGACAAGGCTGAAGTCTGCGCGGCTGAGGATCTCACCTCATCCGACAGACACTTGGCATTATAAAGATGCTCCAGATGTTGAACCCATGCTACTCTTGGCGACCTTTGCTATATCAGCCAGACAGGCCTGGAGATACAGAGAGGAACAACGGACACATACAGATTAGATACATCCTCAACCGCACGACGACCCATCGGCAAAGACGCTGCGCCATCGTGTCCGAGAATTGCGCCGCTTGCCTTGGCTACGCGCTGATTGTCCGAACAGGGCAGCCTTTCACAACGCAACGATTACATTTCTGAGATGGCCAGGCACGGTTCGTGGGATGTCCGTTCTTAGTTCTGTTCTCCAGCGGTGATTGCACTCTCAGACCATACTCTTTTTTTATCCCTGCGACAAAACACACATTTATCCCGACTCAGACGACGCTTTTTAGGGGCTTGTTGATCTATGGTAAGTCGAACGATGTTGATCTAGGGTGAGGAATAGTGTCTCATTATTCTCAAGGGCAGAGAGGAGGCATCTTACAGAGAGGGGTTTCCTCAAGACTTTTATATTGTTGCGAACCCGCCATAGCCTCGTATGTACAGCCTCTTCTTCTCCGCGCCACCAAGATGAGCAGGGGTTCGCACAGATCTTCGCACTTGTCGCACTTGTCGCACTCATTCCAACGGCCAAGTGCGATGTTGCAGCTCTGGTTCACAGAAAGTAGGATATAAGTTGCAACACCACCATGCAGGGGCCATGGATAACTTGAGTTTTTCCTCATGAGAGTCATTGCTGACGCTCATATCCATCCTATCCGAGCCATGGCTTCATTGTCACCAGAGGCTACTTTGACTTTAATCGTCGGGATACCGTCCTTGGTCGTCGCGCTTCTGACGCTGTGGGTAACGTATGGCATGTGGAGGTATCCACCATCTCGAGGTCTGAGGTTCTCTTCTCTACATTTCAATAGTATGAAGAATTGCATGTTCTGAGGCACTGATTGCGTGTATTGTTCAGCAGGCCGCGTTGGGAGACAGCATTGTCCAGAAGCCCACGTTTCTTGGCCATCGACGATAACACTACCAACAGCACCGATCGCCCTCGTTCAGGCATTCCATACTGGACAAATGACTCAATCTGAAATCCTGAATGACGATGCAGAGGACAAGAACTTCCATTCAAAGCTGGGAGAGTGTGGTGGTTCTGTTGATGTGCAAGAGATTCTTCATTGTGTATAAGCGGTGCCTTTGGATAATGAATGTATCTTGTTCGTATGCATAGGATGGAGATTGACTCTTTTACAAAGGATTCAGTCTATCAGCCCCAGTCAAAATCTTCAAGTAAATTGAGGAGTCCCGTTGAATAACGCCTGAGGTGGCTCCCGCACCAAACTAAGGTACTCCCCCTTCCTTCAGAGGATCCATCTCCACCAGCCGCACGAAGCTGTTCGAGTCCCTTTTTTGAGGCTTGGTCTGATAGTCGACCGAGTATGACATCGTCTTGGCAATCTGACTCCTCCCAGCCTGCCGACTGGGACCCAGACCTTCCCTTCCAGAGGGCGTGGTCGGCTGTGGGTACGACTGTCCGGAAGACGCACCCAGCAGACCAGGGAAAAGGTGGGCCAGCATGGCGCGGCCGGTGGGCAGACAGGCGCAGAGAACGGCGATGCTGACTTCGATGACGGACCAGTGGACGATTGGCTGCAATTCCACTACAAGATATGAGTTAATTATATTAGTTGGAGGGCAATGGTAGGGGATCAGGTGCACCAACCGGTGGGATTCTTCCCCCAGCGATTGAGATAGAAGACAACGACACGGAGAATAGCGACGACAGTCAAGCTTCATCTTGATCAGTTGACATTCATGAGAGTTTCAAGAGGAACACTTACACTAGACCCATTGCGAACATGACGCCCACACCAAGCTTCTTTCTTCCGGAAAGATTCAGCTTCACAATTTCGTAAACAGGCATCAGGACCATGACGGTATCCACGGCGATGTTGACAAAGGCATTGGCGAATGTTGCGCTGGTGAAATCGATGCATTTTCCCGGCTCCTCTCCTGTCCAGCCATCCCATGCGAGATGGACTGGGTTGCACCGCAGTGAGTCGACGAGCACCCATGTAACTCCAATGGCAGCATTGAGTCCGATGATCGTGTACGTAGTGTATCGGAATGCGGGGGACTGGAAGATGCGGAGGAGGAAGAGGCAGACTGATATCTTGGCCAGCGAGATCTGCGTCTTGTATAAGACGACGAAGCCGAAAAAGCGCTGAGACGATATGTGAGTTATGCTGGGCAGTAGCGTAAGCGGACAAAAGGGCATTGACTTACCTTGTACACGTCGGTGATGTTGTCCATGGGAATGACATCCCACATGTTCTTGCCGAAGCCGACTTGGATCACTGCAAGCTAAATTAGCCCACGAGGTAGCTCATTACGTGGTATCGCCTTACTGGTGATGTTGATGGCAAAGATGGCTACCGCTAGCACCTGCAGATGGTCAGTTGTGGTCTTGCCCAGCTGATTCAAAGAAGATACCGTACATAAGCGGCAATAATGGTGTAATCGTCGGCGCCCCAACCACCCGCCAGGCCCATGGATTTGGCGGCCATTCGGTTGAAAAAGAAGATTGACGCAAGTATCAAAGGGACGAGTGTGGCGGCTTCCACCTCGGGCCGTCCTTGGTGAACAGGGACATTGCATGCTCGGTTGGTCAGGCGTTTGGCAACTTATTGAAGTCAGCTCAGACCGAGGATGATACTTGTCGTTAGACGTACGTAATGATTCTCTCACGGTGCATGAGGTAGAGGCGCAAGTCGTGAGCGCATCCTGATATTTGGTGTCACCGCATAGACACAGCGAGTCCGAAGAGCTGCATGTTGTCACGTTGGACGCGAGGACCTGCTCCTGACACGAGACCTGTTCCTCTTAGTCTTCGAGCCCGAATCATTAAGCAATATGCGGGGACATACGGCGCATTGAGGCAGGCTAGATTGCGCTGCCGAAGCCACAGCACTGAACCCTACACCGACAACAGCCGCAATCAATATCCGACGAAGAATCATATTGACTGTGGACAGAGAAGGGAGAAATCATATGATTCTTCTGACAGAAGCTTTCAGTTCTGAGACAGCCGTCAAATATGGAGCACGAGGGCAGCACGTCAGGTGAAAATTTCATATGGAGCGATCCACCCTGCGCATAATCATCCTGGGCAAATTACTGATCGGCGTGTTTAAACACAAATACCAGTTTGGAAAGAGGATCTCCGTCTCAAACAGTCAATGATCTTCATCATTGGCTATGTTTGGCGTTCGAGGCACAACCGTTGTCTTTTCTGGGAATCTTGTCCCTACGCAAAAGTGATGATTGTCCAAGGATGAAATCCTCCATTAAGGAGTCAGGGGGACTTTCAAACAAGCAGGCACCAATCATCTTGCGCGCTGCGTAACTTTGAGCTCGTATCCAGCAATGGATCAACAAGATTGTCTTGGTGCCATGGCTAAGTGGGGATAGTATCCCTTCCTCGTCCCGATCCCCACTGTTCAAATAGGCTCTCTGTCCGCGGGCGAATTGTCAAATTCTGCGTATCTCACATGCTCTAAACAATGAAGAAACTGAGTCCGGCCAGACCAGTGGGATCATTGCAGAAGTGCAGGGGATTAATGACAAACAGTTCTCAGGGCTTGCTTCCGTGTCCAACTCTCCTGAGCCACACTGTCGAATATCAAGAGTTTATGGGCCCTCTACATTGGCTGCTCAAATTTTGGCCGTTGAGAAGATCCACTTCAAAAAGCATGGAATGATGAGACAGGAAAAGATCTCCACATGTGGCCATGCTCAGTCACGGTCTGGATTTTCTGTCATTCTCTGTCTGTGGTCCTCCAGTACTTGCTGGAAGTGCTTGGCTCAGTATTAATGGCATAACTCGCCACGGCACTACAATTCTGCCAAGATTCGTAAAATCTCCCTGTCCTGTTGTCCATTGTTTCTTTCAAAGGAGTGATATATCGCAGGCTTCGTGGCATCTCATTCAGGCTTCTTGGTGTCACTGACTCGCTTGATCAATAATAGTATCTGTATTAAGCATGGCTCGAGGGATGACTTGGGCTTGATGCGCTAGTTTCACTTGGAGACTCCCTGATTTCCGATTCATTGAGGTCAACTAATATACCCGGCATATATCCTTTGACTACATGCCGGTGTATTCCGGGGAAGGTTTTTCTCATACATTCCCTGGATTGACATCTTGATACAATCTCTCAACCGAGGATAGCGTGCTGGAAACGATCACCTCCTTCCATATCTACCTCTCGCTCTATGAGCCATCTCACCATCTCGACGTGTCCTTGATCCGCAGCGAGTGATAGCGCCCAGCGACCAGAGTAGTCTTTCTATGGATGTCCGCTCCTCTTTCTAGCAGCAGCTGAGCAATCTCACAGTGGCCTTACAGGCTACCATAAGGGATGGGGTGGGTCCACGGCGATCAGGCAAATGGATCCTGCGTCGAGGAGGATTCTGATGATCCCTGTCTTTCCTCGACTGGCGGCCGATCTCGTCAACTGGAGCTCTCGACTCCACCAGAAGGGCAGTGATATTATCGAATCCGTAATGCACAGCTCAGTACAAAGCATCCATGCCACTGAGGTCCAGCTGTACCTTAGCGCCATGGGCTAGAAGCCAACGCACCATCTCGACACTGTGGCCTACAACAGCCCAAGTCAACGCCGTATGGACGTAGACTCCATGCAGGCGTTGACATCCACATTAGGAGACAGCAGCGAGCGTACGATGTCCAGGAACTTGTACCACACTGCACTGCGTGTATCAAAAGGGATCCCCCATCCAGGTCACCTGCAAATACATCGGTGTTGCACCAGCTGCCAGCGAACACTGGACGACTCCATTGTGATCGTAAACGACGCCTAGTGATAGCGCTGTCTGGGAGAACCTACCTGATCGAACCTCCATATCAACCCCTGCGTTAACAGTGTGAAGTTCCGCCTGTCCCGACTATCCGGCCCTATCTCTTGCTCGATGATTTTCAGAGCAATGTCAATGCCCCGATTGTCAACGAAGAACATAAGCGGCACAGTCACCTCGGGGTTGTAAATCAGCCGGCTCCATGTATTTGAACAAAATCGGAGGCGTGTCCGCGATGGCGTCCCCATTCAGGGTTTCGAGCACTGTCTCCCCATCGATCTTATGATTTGGAAGCTGATGCCGTCTTGATCCAGCAGGCTACGAACCACTCCGGTTCATTGGCGCCGTGCTGCGTGCGTGATGGGGATCTCTTGGAGGCTGTTAGAAATCTCGATCCCTGCAAACAGTGGCGGTCGGGTCTAAGATTCTTATTCTAGATGAAGATTGGATTGCACCTGGATTTGGCTATGAGTGATGTTGTGGTTGGTATCCGATTGAGCCTTTCCTATCACAACCTCTACTGACCATTGCTCAAACCCTTGGACAATAATATGACGCGAGCTTTCAGGATAATATTCCTCGGCGTCAGTTCTTTCTTGCAATGACCACTGCGTGTGACAGAGAATGGCAATATAAAGGTCTCGGATTATAAGCTCAGCCGGTGGATGTGTTCTTCATCGTACTTGGCGATAGTTGGCAGTTACAGTGCGCTTCATCATTTGATAGGAGCTTATAGGTATGTGTCCGAGACATGTCATTTCCCAATTCAATACGGGCCATGGTCCTGCAAGTCGTCGCTTTCGGCGGTGGCATCTACGGATGGACTCGTCAACATTGTATGTTGTCTTTCAGCCTGAAAGGCTTCCCCTGCTTTTCCAGATTGCATCAAAGCTCTCTTTACAAATGCCATACGAGACAAACGCTGGTCCCTACGGCAGGCATTTCTCAAGTTCCAGCATGAATCCATCAATCCTGAAGCTGTGATAGTTGCTTTCATCTCCTTGGTTTATGACCACTCATGCCTCGTATACAAGGAAGCCGTGCATCATCGAAGTCTGGATCCTTTCCACGAAGTATATTGGCTGATATGACGCTGCTGCCTAACCTAGACCTCGTATAGCCATCTCAGTGGCGCTCTCGTGCTTCTTGGCCGTCAGCACGTACATTCAGTTCAAGAATCATATAAACCCCGCAATCCTGTAGTCCTCCTCTCTATCAAGCATATAGGGAACTAATCATTGAACACGGGACTCTCAGTCCAACTATCAACCATCGCGTCTTCCCAGTGCCTCATCGTCCAGTCATCATGCCTAGCACAATTGATCATGTAGGCATCTACGCTCCAAAAGATCAGTTCGAGAGCATCATCGACTGGTACAAGAAGGCTCTGGCTCCGCTCAACTACAAAGAAATCATGCGCTTCCCAGGAGCTGTCGGATTAGGCTCTGAAACCCCAGATTTCTGGATCTCAGAGACCGACGAGCAGTACCGGGGCTGCCACTTTGCTTTCATAGCGCCTGGTGTGTTTCCTTCCGGGTCGACATTTTCATGTGCTGGGGGGACTCTCTTTCGAACAGGACTAATATGATTACTCCGTAGACCACGCCACTGTTGATGCCTTTCACCAAGCTGCGCTTGCAGCTGGGGGGAAGTGCAATGGAGCTCCTGGAATCCGTTCAGAGTATCATCCAAACTACTATGGTGCTTTTGTGTTGGATCCACTGGGGAATAATGTGGAAGTGGTAGGTCCAGGATTATCGCCTGATGGGAGATAGTTACTCATATTCGACAGGTGGATCACCTGGCGCACTGAGAGCATGTCTTGGAGCCGAGTCACGCTTAACACGTATGCAAACTTTTCATTTCTGGTGAACTCGGCTGTGGCTGGGGCCACTTTCTGATTGTGGAGGGTATCCTGACACATAAGGAAGGTGATATATCCTGCCAAACCCTGGACCATAGTTTAACTGTGAACGACGAACCGGGGCTGCCTTCAAAAAAAACTCTTCACATACATGGATCAAATACCCAATATCCATAACTAAGGTAGTATTTGTATCCTAGCCTTATCCGTCAAAATCAAGTGTTGACGTAATGCCCATAATGTTGCAACGGAAGAGACAGCCATCCAACCATACAGCAGACTCGGCATCATCCACCCAGACCAGACTTGGAGCAGAAGGTTCCATCTTGCCGGGATCGTGTGATGACCCGAGCCTTACTTATATCATAAATAAGTTTCCGTAGCGCTGGGAAGTGCGCGTCGCAAATTACCGATTTTGCGCAAACACCGTTCTTATACTTCGCGACCGCACAAAAACCATGCCGGATATTCTGTCTCTCTGCCGGGCCTTACGACTATGGTGAGTGGCCGGAGTGAGGCGATTGTGGTAGTCACGGCCGTATTCCTGGGTCTCTCTTTGATCGCAGGATGCTTGAGATGTTTCGTTCGCTTTCGTCTGACTCGCGCCGCGGGATGCGATGACTGCGTGATGGTAGCTGCGATGGTACGTCCATTGTGAATTTACGAAACAGGGCGATGCTGACCCGACTGGACATGGCAGTTCTTCAATATCGGTTTCGGCACATGTACCATACTCGGCGCGACATATGGCATGGGCAAGAAACTGGTTTACTTTGAGGATCAGCCGCAGAACTATCGCAAGGCCATGCTGGTGGGTGAGATCGAATCTGCAGACTCAAGCTCGGTGCTAACAGGAGGCGCTGATCAGTGTTTTCGGCTGGGACAACTGTTCTATGTCGTCACATCCGTCATCGTACGATTATCCATCACTATCACCCTCGTGCGCCTCACCGTCGATATCCTCCAGCGTCGCATTCTCTATGCCGCCACCGTGCTGTCCATCATCGCGGGGTCCATTTTCTTCTTCTTCACTATCTTTCAATGCACGCCGGTCCCATGTTACTGGAATCGACTAACGGAGGAGGGGCACTGCATGGACATGGATAGCCTCGTGGGAATTGTGTACATGTACAGTGCGGCTGCTGCCGTGTGCGACTTCACTCTTGGACTGATGCCTGTGTTCATGATTGGGAAGCTAAAGATGGACCGACAAACGAAGATTGCGGTCATCAGCCTTCTGTCCATCGGATGCGTGTACGTTCTCTCTTGCAGTCTTGAACTTGACAGAAATAACGTTGGCTCGATAGTGCTGGCACTGCAGTCATTGTTCGTATCCCATTTGTCCAGCTGTCAAAGAGTCGGGAATTCCTATGTAAGAGCGCCCCCAGCTGGTACTGATCCGACTGAAGCTGATATCCACAGACCAGACAACACAAGTTGCGATATGGTCGAACATCGAGACGGGGCTGGGGATTACAGCGGGGAGTTTGATGACGGTACGACCCTTTTTGCGGGCCATTGGATGGTTAGGTTTAGACTAGCTAGATGCCCGTTGAATAAACTCGAAACAGAGCACCAGTGGAGTATTCCGTGAACTAGTGTAGGCCCAAGCGAGCCAGCAAGAAGACTGGTCAGCAGCTTGAAACCAGCGTGTCATTGATGGAAGGCAGCCCCATCCCCTCAGATCCCCCCGAGTGAACCATGGGATGGGCCTCCACTTTCATCATTGGCTGGAGAGCTCCATGTTGCTTTATAACGAGTAGAAATGCACGAGACACTGCGAGGAAAGTGTTTTACTCTCCTTCATGATGTGCGAGCCATAGACCTTCCTACATCAATGAGGAACCGATCAGGCAGTCTATACCACCTCCAGCCCCGACTCGATGACATCCTAAACGATGTGGCCCCCTTCCCCTACACCCTCGGCGCGTTCATTGCCTTTTTATCTGAGCACCAATGTCTAGAAACAGTCGAGTTCCTGCTAGAGACCGAACGCTACCGGCGCATCTACCACTGGCTCGAGACCCCGCATAAACCCCCGACATGCGACGGTTCCCTCCGCAAGGTCCATCTCCTTGGACTCTGGAATCGGCTGATCAACCAGTACATTTGGCCGCACAGTCCGCGCGAGATCAACGTCCCCTGCGACATACGGAAGGAGCTGATGCAGCATTTCCACAGCCAAGAAGATGAGCCTCCCCCGCCAGAACTGCTCGACCGAGCAGTGAATAACATCAAGGAGCTCCTGCGAGGGTCGATCCTCATCCCCTTCCTGCGGAGATCATCTGCGACTGCGCGCGTACAACCGCTCTCTATGCCGTGTTTGAACGAAGGGTTTCCGGGGTCCGATACGGCTGCGCCATGTGTAGCTGATGATATCAGGGTGAAGAGATCCCCGCGCGAGGAATATCCTTCCTGTCGACAGGACTCAACTCGTCGGTATGGATTCTACGGCGACCCGGCCTCGAGTTCTGCGGACGACGATCACGCGTATGCGAGTAGCGCGATGGTGTCGTCTTCGTCGGAACGGTCAGCTGTACAAGACTTTGCGGTCAAAGGAAGTAGTGGGACGGCCAGTTCGCATACGAGGGTGGTTCCAGACCGAACTTCTCAGGACAATGGTAAATCTCGGGGCTGGCGACAAAAGTTCAAGGACGGGTTGGCGAGGCATTTCCCACGGTCATCGGATTGATTCTCGAGGGGCGACGAATGGCTCGTGTATAAATACCAGCATGACGACTCTGCTTACATGGCGTCAACGGTGTTTATTGGATGCGCATTTGGAGGAGATTTTAGAAGTTAGGTTTATTGCTCTTTCATCTCGACATCATATTCGTGGGTACACGGAACATGGACTCAAAAGCGATCTGCATAGTAATACAATGAGCCACGATGACATCTACTATCCCTCAGCCAGAAGTTACAGCAATATCATAGACAGTCATGCAAGCTAGGCGCATTTTGGGAGTTTTTCTGCACATCATCAGCCCTGTCCCACGATCCAAGCAAGAGAGGAACATACTGCTTGAGCAATTACTATCCGTAAAGTACCCATTAACGTAGCAGGTCGTCTTCAAATAAGTGACTTGATCCCAGGTGCTACTCTCATTAGCATTTTGCTCGTCGTGCAGCAGGGATGGGACTCACCAAACACCGTTGAAGCAATCGCCGTGCTTGTAGCACGCAAAGGTGAGTTTGTCCCCCTTGGGAAAGCCAAAGATCGCCCCCGCGTCCAAGCTCGCGTCGGACCGGCAGTTGACATAGTGGTCAACATTGACGATCTTGCAGGTCTGCGCGGATCTACGCTTCTCAAGTCCCATCTCTCCATCGGCTTCGGCTTCGGGGTCTGCGACGGGGGCAGCGGCGGCCAGGAGGGGGAGAACGGCGACTGCAAGACTGAGGAACTTCATTTTGCTTCCTTGTTGACTGCGATTATGCTCTTTGTCAGAGGAGGAGTTCGCAGAAGAACTGCGTACTTATACGTTGGGATCTTCATGGCTCGTATTGCCCCAGCCCGCTTCCTCGTGTTCCTCGCCGGACACTGCTATTCATAGGCAGACAGCGTGATTTATCCGATGTTGCATTCTCGTATCCGGGTCCATTTTTAGTATCATTAGTATCCCCCAGTTTTGACATCAATAATGAGTTAGTCTAATGCCATTGTTGTAGAGAGTGCTTGTTTACTCATCTATGATTTGATGCGGACAGCTTTGATGCTTCGATAGGCCTTCATTTGGTCCTAGACCACATTTCAAAATTAAAAATTTGAGCCAAGCTCATTGTAGATAAAACATAATAGCAAGTTTTAAGTCAGTTCTGCATTCTGAGTTTCAACTACTAATACAAAACTGCAGTGCAAAGCACTAAATATGGATGATACAGGATCTAATGAAGCCCACCACTCCCACTACTACTAAGACCTAAGAGAAAGAAAGGGTCAACAAAATGTGAACAGGATATACATATGAGCCGAGTGATGTAGGCACTCTATTTCAGAATCAAGAAAGTACTAGCTGGATAGGACACTCTATTCGGAATACATGAAGAGAAAGTCATTAGATGAGCAGCTCCTGTCGTAAAAACCCTCAACCGACATCAATGGTGTTTCGATTAAGCAAGGCTACAGAATTTCTCATCATTGGCTAGTCTAGGCATCTTACTCTCATAAGCCTGTGACTGCTGCCTGGTGGGAATCAGCATAAAGCATTTTACCTAAGTTGAACTATCAATATATAGATGGTCTGCTTTTAATTAAGTTGTCAGGTCCCATTTAATCAAGTAGCAAATCTACACAGGATTGGAGATTATATACGTCTAGTAATGACTTGTGCCAAAGAGTAGACTAGTGCCTATTTATTAAGCTTTCTAATGGATCCTCATACTGATATTGATCATTGTTAAACCTGCTTTAAAGGATGAAGCGTGCACTAATACCTACTCGCGGACCATAACTAGTGGTAGCTGTTATAAGGAGCAGATGATTTTCTGAGGATATATTATCAAGATGTTACACGCAATCCTGGATCCAGCTAAAGGAATCAGCTAAGGAAATTACAGGTGGAGATGCAGTAAGACATGACTCACGCAAATAGCGCGAGATTGGACAGAATCCTATGGAACAAGGAGATAGTGCTTTAGGCTAGGTACGTGGTATAAATATGGGCTAAAGTAGTCCCTGCCTAACAAACTCTCTCTCCAATCTTTTCTCAACCAAAAACCGTTTGTTTGTTCCCTTCAGCATGGTCGACGACATCGAGACTAGCTTCCAGGCCGCCATCGATGCTGGCAAAATCAACGGCGCCGTTATTTGTGCCATGGACACCGAGGGTCACTTTGTTTACAACCAGGCTCTTGGCGAGCGTACCTTGCTGTCCGGTGAAAAGCGTCCGCAGCAGCTCGACGACGTATTGTACCTGGCCTCAGCAACCAAGCTGGTCACCACCATTGCTGCCCTGCAGTGCGTCGAGGATGGACTACTTACCCTCACTGGTGACCTCTCGTCCGTCGCACCCGACCTCGCTGCCAAGCAGGTCTTAACCGGCTTCTCCGACGACGGCGCAACCCCTCTGCTTGAGCCGCCCGCCCGCCCCATCACGCTCGAGATGTTGCTCACTCATAGCTCGGGCCTCAGCTACCACTTTTTAACCCCACACATCGCTCAGTGGCGCGAGAAGTTCGCACCTCCACAAGAAGACAAGCGCCTATCGGTCGAGGAACTGTTCAGCTACCCGCTCGGCTTCCAGCCCGGCGCCGGCTGGATGTACGGCGCAGGGCTCGACTGGGCTGGCCGCGTGGTGGAGCGGGTGACGGGGCGCACACTCGGTGAATACATGCAGCAGCGCATCTTCAACCCTCTCGGCATCACCGACGCCCAATTCTACCCCGTCACGCGCGAAGACCTGCGCCCCCGCCTCGTCGACCTCAACCCGCAGGATCCCGATGCTCTCGGTCGTGCTGTGCTCGGCGGCGGGGGTGACATGAACAAGCAGGGGCGCGGCGACTTTGGAGGCCACGGCCTATTCATGTCGGGCACTAGCTACGTCAAAATCCTTCACTCGCTGCTGGCCAGCGACGGGAAGCTGCTCCGACCCGCCACCATAGACCAGATGTTCCAGCATCGCCTGACTCCCCAAGCGACAGCGGGGCACCAGGCTGCGGTGGCATCTCCTATGGGCGTCTTCTTCCGTGTAGGCGTCGACCTGGAGACAAAAATGGGCCATGGCCTGGGTGGCCTGCTCACCCTGCAGGATGTGGATGGCTGGTACGGGGATCGTACGCTGACCTGGGGCGGCGGGTTGACATTGACCTGGTTCATCGATCGCAAGAACGGGCTGTGCGGTGTCGGCGCCGTCCAGGCCACGCTGCCAGTGGACAATGATGTTGTGGCCGGCCTGAAGCAGACATTCCGCCGCGACATTTACCGCAAGCATGCTGCGTTCAAGGGGGAGCAGCCGTCATATTGACGAAGCGGAAGAATATCTATCCATAGCCAATTATCACACCCTCAGTAAGCTTGTAGTCAATCTTAACGTCGGAAGATCGTGCGCGACTCTACGGCGCCCCGGGAAAAGGGTCTCTCTGTTCTGACTGCCCGAGAGGGAAAGATTGAGCCTAGATTTATGAATCGGGGGGATTCCTCTTTGTGCAACCAATGGTCTCGCAGCAGTATATCTACGCTATCTATCGATTGATGTGCCGCACAGGTGCATGCTATGGGTCCACATAACCATGCGCAACATAGTATAGGAAACAATATCAGGGTGACGACACAGCGACAAAAACATCTCGCGGCATTTTGAGTAAAGGAAAAAATAATGAAAATGCCACACGAAAAGGAAAAGATGTGTCGGAGTCATTATCGGCCGAACAGCCCTCGGAATGGCCATTACTTTGAAGATGTCCACCATTAAGCTTCAGAGTTCCCATGGTTAGCTACCTACCAGCCCCAGCTCGACCCAACAGTATCCATCAGTCTTAAACTCCATCGAGCGGGGAAACCCTTTGCTTCCATCGCTGCTCCTGGCTGGGGTTTTTTCCCGTATGTGGCCACTTCTTGTCGGACATCTTTCTGCAAGCATGCCTGCTCAAACGGAATTGGAACTCTACCTTACAGATGGAGCTGGATCTACTGTATCCGATGGCGACATAGCATTCATCCGGCGTGGCTTCCGAGAAGTACATGCTGTCAGGCAAGGCCTCTACCAGCGGCACATTCAGATGATTGCTTTAGCTGGCACAATTGGCACTGGTCTATTCCTCAGCTCTGGTCAAGCAATTGTAACGGCAGGCCCCCTCGGTGCCTTTCTTGCGTATTCTATCATTGGCCTTGCTGTTTCCAGCGTCGTCCTTACTGTGGGTGAGATGGGTGCTTTAGTACCCCTCAGTGGAGGTCTCGTCCGTTATGCTGAATACTTCTTCGACCCTGCGATGGCCTTTGCCAACGGGTGGAATCAAGTATACTTGTACTCGATCACTATTCCTACCGAAATAGTGGCAGCGTCCGTTTTGATAGAATTCTGGATTACCATCAACGACGCAGTATGGATTACCGTCTTCAGCATCCTGGTGCTCATCACAGCGCTGGTATTCGTCAGAATCTACGGGGAGCTCGAATTCACATTCGCCATCTTGAAGATCTTGCTAATCCTTGGGGTCAACATCATGGCGCTTGTGATTACATGTGGTGGAGGCCCCCATGGTGAATCTATAGGGTTCAGATACTGGAGAGACCCCGGGCCTTTTGCTCAGTATCTGGGGATCAAAGGTTCCCTTGGCCAGTTTCTTGGATTCTGGTCCAGTCTAAACAATGCAGTCTTTGCATACTCGGGAATCCAGAATATCACGATTCCAGCAGCGGAGACCAGGTTTCCAAGACACTCGATACCCAAGGCGACCAAGCGCGTCTTGTACCGCATCTTCCTCTTCTACGTCCTCTCCATCTTCATGGTCGGTTTGGTCGTTCCTTCCAATGATCCCAGTCTCCTTCGATTGACTGGCACGGCTACTCAATCCCCGTTTGTTATTGCCGCGCGCCGGGCAGGCATCCGGGGCGCACCCTCCGTCATTAATGCTGTTATCCTTACGTCCGCCTGGTCTGCTGGCAATTCATATATCCTTTTTGGGTCTCGGATTCTGTATGGCATGGCGGTACATGGACATGCTCCTGCAGTATTCAGGAGGTTGAACCGGTTCTCTGTCCCCTACCTGGCTATCAGCGTCATCGGGAGCTTCATGTGCCTGGGGTATATGTCACTCTCTACCTCAGCAAGCGTAGTCTTTCGATGGCTGCGTGACATTGTGGCAGTCGCGACATTAGTGGACTGGCTCATCGTCTGCATCGTATACCTCCGGTTCTACTACAGCTGCAAGAAACAAGGGGTCGACCGGCACAGAGAGCTTCCATGGGCCGCGCCTTTTCAGCCCTACTTCACCTGGGCGTCACTGGCATTGTTCATCCTCTTGCTTTTGACCGGTGGTTTCAGCACATTCATCCACGGCCACTGGGATACTGAAATCTTTGTCGGCTCGTACATCAACATTCCAATAGTCCTATGTCTATATTACGGTTACAAATTCTGGAAGAAAACGCGCATCATCGCTTTGGACAATATCCCAATCATCGGTCTGATCCAGTTCTACCTGTCCCACGACGAAGTCGAGCCCGAACCACAGCCTAAAAGGGGACTCGCGAGGCTCAACATTCTTTGGTAGCATCGGTTGAGGCTTGCCACTGGCTTCCATCTAAAAGAAATCGATATTTTATGACTAGTATTCTTGATCGAAGATCCCGTTTATTAAAATCCATCATACCTGAAAGTGCACCATGAGAGTAGTCTCCCTTGCCACAATCCACCTCCACTGCCATTTCCGGGACAATATCCGTTCACTCCTCCATGGCGAAGCCGGATTCGTAATATGCCTTTACCGGATCCTTTCTAACCAAACGAAAGCTTCTGATAGGTCCCATCAGTCAAGTACTCGTAATCATATTTTCATCGTGCATACCTGATCGATCTAGTCAATCTCGTTGAGCCACACACGGATGGTATCCACCCCCTTGCGCGCCGCGAGGAGACGCAGGACAGCCCGAATGTTTCCTTCCACAATTTCAGTTTCTTGGGGGAAAATATCCGAAGGCTGCCATGTCACAAAGGCCTGGGTGATTGACCGCTCGCCGCTTTCCAGATAGTATTCGGGGATCTTGGGGCGAAGATTCTGGTAGAGCGACGCTGCGAATTCCTCGAAGGATGAGACGTTTTCGTCGACCAGGACCACGTCGTTGGTACGGGTCTCGCCGGTGAGGTAGATGAGGACGGGGACGAGAGTCTCGGCAGACATTTTAATGATTGTATGGATGATATTCTGGTGCACTTGGAATCTAGAGGATAGTGATCCAAAGGCTCGCAGAAGATATAAATACCGCTTGTCCTGACCGAACCGTGCTCTGGTCTTTATGCTAACGAGTCAGCCTTGTGGCTGGACTCGTAACGCTTGTCGTATTCGCAGATTGAGGTCTATTAAAGGATGCGCTACGTTGGGAATACGATGTCAAAGTCGTCGTGTGTCCAACTAGAATCCATGTCCGAATTAGCTCTCGTATTCCAGGGACAACGCTCGCCGTACATGCAGGCTAGTAGTCGGCCACATACACCTAGTCTTATATAAGGTTAGATTGTGCGAGTTTCTGCGAAGAAAGCCCATAGGAACACGAGAGGGAAAAAGCCTTGCTTGGTTTGCTATTTCGGGATCATGGAGCAGGCACGGGAATCGCGATCTTCATACTTTCAGGGGAATAGGTATTACCTCCGTCTTCTGTCTGATAGGTTCTCACTTTATGTCCTGTTTGCAGTCGCAACTCACAGCATCACTTTAGACCTGCTATATAAACGTCTATCGACTTTCATTCAGTGTCTGCTGCCTGTGCTACGGTGTAGAAAGCAGACATCTGAATATCTACCAGCAGGTCGTGTATGTAAATACAGCTTCCAGTCAACTGGAGCGGGACGTTGGGAATAGTCAAGGAGAATATCTACTCCACATGCCCAGTCTCAATCTCTTTCATCATCAGCTCCGCCTCCTCTGCAACCCTCCTGACCTCCTCAGACTCATCCTCCTTCTTTGCAGCCTCACCAAATCTCTCCCTCCAAAGCTTCCATCTCTCCTTACAAAAGCCGTGTTTCCCTTTCCACAACGGCCCTCCGCGACCTGGAGCACCAACCAGGGGCCCAGACTCAAATTCCTCATCCCACTCATAGATTTCCACACCTAGAACCTCAATCCACGCTGCCGCTGCAGGAATCCACGCCTCCAAGGGGTCTCCCTCCTGCATATATACCCAGGGCGTCTCAAGCGCTTCATGGAGCGTCACGAGCGCATACCACGAATACCCTTCGAAAATAGGCTCGTCAGTCGCGACGAGAAGGGCAACGAAGTGATTCACATTCACCGTGCTTGAGATTGCGGCTTCTCTCCCCTCCAGTGTCTTAGTACCTGGAGCCGGAATAGAGTAATCCCAGTAACGCCGGATCTCCCACCCCAGCAGCGGTAGGTTCTTCCAGACCTGCATATCGTAGATAATCAACGGCTCATCTTGTCCATCGTCACCCGGCCTTGTAACGTCCGGAAGATGGGAAAGGTCCACGAGAATATCAACAAGTTCATCCTGGTGCTCTGGGTTCTTGCATGCAATTTGAAGGATTAGGTGCCACAGTTGGCCGAGTTGGGCCTCGAGGGAGGCATCGAGTGCTAAGGCGGCAGAGGCTAGTTTGGCGGCGGCTTCTGGGGAGTGAATCTTGTCTGCGAAGAGATCGTGCAGGACTGTGAGGTGGGGTTCTAAATCATACTCGTTGCCTTTGTATGTATTGGGGGGCAGTTGATACATGGTGTTCATTTGAGAGTGAGAGGGTTGTTTCTGGCGATGTTTCAGTCGCTGCTTTCTTTGTCCTGTAGTCGGCGCTTATATTTATTTACAGGCAGACGGAGGGTTCGATGACAAAAGCCAAGGCTGAAGTAAATCTGGCCAACTAGGTACCTAACTAACTATCTAGACTGGGTGCAAGAAACATGCTATGAGATTTGCTACCATTACAAACTTAAACTTTCCTGAAACCACGAGTTTAAGTTCAAAGTATAACATACCAAATTGGGGCACCAGGTGAGGTGGTAGGCTACGAAAGGCCATATGTACTACTATTGTAGCCTACTACTGCAAGGATTCTAGCAGGTGCTGTAGCTTAGACGTATGATTTTGGTTTCTTTCAATCTAATGATCTAATCACTTTATTTGGAACAGAGAGTACATACAACCATGGGGGGTCAAAAACAGAGCTTCCTCGTCCACTCAGCTTTAATTAAGCCACTTGTCGGTTAGTAGTATAATAGGTGACTGTGTATAGATTCTAACTGTTAATTTTCTCTTCTCCCGGCGTTATTAGAATCATTAGATATACGGAATAACCCTACATGACGGAAATAACAGTATCTACTCCAGGTCCATCTCGGGGATGGCATAACCTTTCAAGTGCAACTGTGCAGGTCACGGATTGTACACCTTATATACTTGCAGCGCACCCTCAATGCTCTGCACGAGGCCAAACAGAACAGTCGATGCAATGGCACATTATAAAGAGCCGATCCTGCCAATATCTATACTCCCAAGTCGTCGGTTCCTGCCCCACAACGTCCAACACTACCGTGGAATTCATCAGGTCCGTCTTGCTTTTTGTACCATCTTTCAGTCGCCCTGTCGGCTCGTGGGAAAAGAAGAGCTAATGTGACTAGTGTCTCATCCGGCCTGCTGGAAAAGTTGATGTTCTACTGGGATATCTCGCTGTTAGTGATCAACACTAGAAGGAACCTGCGGTAAGTATAGACGTACTGTCAGTGTGTTTTCAGAACGACGCACCATGAAATATAGAGACCGTAATATCAACATCCCTCAGCCGAAGATGCTAGGAATCGGAGATCCTTGAGATGAGGTGGATAGTCCCAGTCACCGAGATGAATCCCGGGCGGACACTCTTGTAGAATGTCCGACTGTTCGACAACGGTGACAGCGCTCTTCCGGTACTTGCGGCGCTTACAGGAAAACATGATATAGGGGACGGCGGTGGACTGGGTTTCACCGATCATGAAGATGTCGAACAGAATGAAACTCGAGCTCGGTACTGGACCACACGAAGTTTCGAGCAGCGCTTTGATTTCTGGTTCCACTTGTTTAAAGGCCTCTCTGGCAGGCCCCTGGGCCTCCCAGCAGTTATACTTGCCTTTCATGTTGCCAAGAAACTTCCCAATGGACAGCTCTGGGTCGGGCCACCGAGGCTTATGTCTTTGGAGCAGACTTAATGTCGCTTCAATTCTTGAGGTGCTCATTGCAAAGATGCTACAGGAGACAGCCAAGGTTCCTGTCAGAAAACTAAAAAAAGACTGATGGGATGAGTCAATCTCGATGTTGATATTGTAGAACAGGTCAAGAAGAGAATGGCAGATGCGAATGGCGAGGGGAAATAACCGATCTGATATGGCCGGACAGGTAGCCATCGGTGCGCCTTGGGCATTGCAGGGGTCAGCCGTGCGCGCTGTGGTGGCTATGGCTGTGTTATACATGCATCCCTGTCAAAGCGGCTAGGGCTAACCACTCAAGAGGACATAAATACTGGGTTTGAGTACTCGGCGGCAGATAGCTAAGCGGGATTTGTTCAAGATGGACGGTACAATCCGATTGTCACACTATGGCACGTCCCTTGATGCTTCATGGCTCGAAAATCGCCCGAGAAAATTGTGGCTCACCTTAGGGCAATAGTATTGGATACAAACAACAGGGCCTGGATGCTGTCGCCATGAACAAGACAGCCATGTTCCACCCCAGGAAGATGCCGATATGACTATTATACCAATTTAGTCAAAAAGGAGGGTGATGAATTTCCCTAACCCCCAGGTGATACGGACATGGTTCGTCCGCTCCCAACGATAGATACCTAGGCCCGGAATTGCATTTGACCCTGGGCTCTGCATACACACTCCAGATACCTCTCCTGACGGAGCTCGACATGCCGAGAGTACTTCACAGGTGAACCTGTGGGTTTATCTTCTGCTTCGCTCAGGAAACTGTTCAGTCAGCACCTTGCTCTCGGACCACAAAGACAAGTGTTGGGCTCTAAAAGAGACTGTCAATCAACCCCACTACACCATAAGTCCTGACCCGTGCTCTTTTTGCGATCAATACATAATCCCAAGTAGCGCAAATCTACCAATAGGTAGTACACAGGATGCAAACCCAACCAAGACAGATAACAAGACTCAATGCTTGCCTCGCGTAAGACTACCTGTGAACTGGGCCAAGTCAAAGAGACATGGGCATATTCTCATTATCAGTCTCTTGAAACTAGTCATGTATGCTGGTCCTTCTCTCTTATCCATGGTTTCTAACACTAATTTTATACGCTGCTAGGAACCTATCTGCGACCATATTTACCCCCAGAGCCAAGCTATTTGCAAAACATCTTGGCATCTCAAACAGTATGATAGCATCTTTAACAGTAAGCATATACATGCTCGGATTGGTATGTAGGCTGATGCTCATTACTCCCTTATCAGAGTTATACAGTCACTTAATACTATACCATGCTACCCTTGAGGCGTTCTACCTTCCTCCCGCTGACGATGGAGAAGATATAGGGCGCCTTTTGCGTCACGTAGGCGCCAATCTACCAATTCAATTCCCTTGTCATTACTCACATTCCAGAGGATCTGAGAGACCTTTTAGTCGTGCTCCGATCGAGGGATGAACTTACACCCGGGTTGTACCTTTCACGTTCCTTGAGACCATCTCTGGTTTGAGGACGACCATGGTTCAAGACGCCGTAGAGACAAAGGCCATTCCTTTATCGCGGCATATGGCAATCCTGTCTCGTTTAAAGTCCAGCATGGCGGCATCTCCCATTCTTTGATACATGGAGAACTAACATAGTCCATAAACTCAGGCATATATCACTTTCCCCGTGACAACGAAGTTGTTCAGATTGTGCATCAGTTTCAGGAGGATGTTGTATAGTTCCACTAGTGGATGTAGAGCAATCGATGTAGGAAGTCTGAAGCTCAAGCAGGGACTCCTCCACGCTGACCGTCGTGGACTTGGCGCGTCATTGGCACCGTAGTCAGACTATATGCACTCCTTGTGATGCGTCATATAGACAGTCGTGTATTTGGTCACAAGCACCATCTCATCAGGATCCTTGTGTAATGACATCCCTTCACCAATCAACATCACCGACTGCCTCTCCTGGTAGCCACTGGCAGTGTCAATGGTGGCTCCTCCCTGGCTGACGAAGTTATCAAGCATTTCAAAGGGGTCCTTGCGCGAACATCCTCCGTACCCTTGGAACTTGTTCCATTTCAATTCAATGGGTGCCCGGGTGCTATCGTGGATATATTGTTGGTCCCGTGTAGAATGAGCAGTTTCCCAACATCAAATTCGCGACAGTTGAAGACATGCTGAGAGGAGCATAGAAGAGAATCCAGGCCACGACAGATAAAGCAAATAAGATCTAGAGCTATGCACATAGCAATCCAGCTCAATGGATGAAGTATTTGCAATACACAAACATCAACAATTACGAAAATCCTCATGTCACCCCAGATGTGTTTAAGCAGATAGCCCCATCAGTGTCTTAAACAGAGATACGAAACGATCAGATAGAGAAATAATTGTCCCGAATATCACAGGCTTAAGGAACTCCCAGTACATATATCCCCTCAACGACATGTTTATGAGCATCGCTCCGTTGTTCAGCCGCTCAGCCCGAGGGCAGATTCCCACCACTCTCTTGTCTCCCCAGAATACTCCAACATTCCATCCAAACCGGACAAGACAGCCTGTAGCTGCGAGTTATCAAGGGCAATGCCCCCCTGCCCAGACAGAATATTGACTAGCTTTTGCGCGTCCCGCGCATCCTGCCTTCGCTTATCCGACGAGGGCCGCATGCTGCAGCAGTGGATTTTGTAAACGAGGAGGTCCAGCGGGGCAAGAAAATGAAGATGGTTCGGGTTCACGCTCCCCAGGGTCACCGCGTGAGCGGGAAGGTAGGGTGGCTATTAGTGGGTTGATCAGCCTTCATCCCATGCGAGAGGAAAGATTGAGTGTCAAACTTACCAAGTGCGGCGGGATGATGTCCACCTGTATTAAATTCTCGGGATCGCCAGTGAAGCATATTGGCTGTGCTCTCTCCACAAAGATCCCTGGGAACAGGGACACTAACACAACAGAGCCCGAGTAGAGATCGGACGGCGCCGATCGAAAATTAGTACATCCACGTTCTGGAAGGGTGAGTTTGTGAGCAGAGTGGGCGAATAAAGGTAAGAATACCGACTCACCCATGTCCTCCGGTACCCTGGGGCGTGATGTTGTAGTGCGAGACCACCAATTATTGCAATCTTTGCTTCGTGTAGCTCTGGAAGTGCCTGAAGAGATGCAATAACAGCTCGGGCGGCTTCCCGGAGCTGCTCTTCATTGTCCATGATGAATAAGACTATTTGTATTGACCTACTCACAATTCAACAGTTGCTTGTGAGTCTGGTGAATCTAAACGATCCCAGCAGCTATTTATCACAGAAGATCTTGCCCGCTTGAAATATCTCTTACTATCTTGCTATTCATTCTATCTAGTATACAGTGGTATGAAGGTGAGACTTAGTACGACAAGCCTGTAATGCATGGATAAAGAAAGCACTCTGACACATCTGGTCTCAGTAGATTTTCAGCAGGAGAATAAAGAAGTGTTTCAATCCAACAAAGCCTCTCCAGTGACTTCTACTTATAAGCATTAATCTGAATAAAATCAATCATGGATTGGACTGCGATATACCAGACATAAAAATAGTAACCTTTGGTTCAAAGATGAAAAACAAATCAAGACAAAAGACTACAAACGCACAGGCAGGTCTAACCAATACACATCAATATCAGAAACATGTTCTTCCCTCAGGTGCTCTTCTGTTGTTCTTCTTCTTCTCCTTCCTCCTCCTGGGGGAAGAGATTCGCCCTCCTCAATTCCGCCCCCAGTCTGGTGCTATAACGAAAGAAAGGGTGAAGACTGTCAGGTTTGTTCAGAAGCCGCCAGAAACGGCGAATGCGATCCTCATCAAGGTCAGCTACCTTTAGCTTACAGTACAGGCCGATGTACGTTGTTTCACGAAGCCAAAACCTTGCTCGATCCTTGTCCCACTCACTTTCAGAACTCTTATCGCGAAGATACAAGTAGGCCAACGACTCTGCGTAGCGCACAAGCGTAGGTATTTTGACGGGGTAGTGAGTATATGGCACTCGGCCGATATGCATTCGTGGGTCGTACTCTTCGAGCCGATCATCGGTGACTAGCATGTAGTTGGGATCATCCGGGGCGGGCGCGCCTAGCGGGATGTCCGGCAATGTCCACAGCAGTCGAGACTTTTTGTGCAGCTCCAAGCGGGAGCAATGCCAATGTCTGGGTGGGCCGTAATCGTCGAGGTCGAAGTGCGCGTAGGGATGCGGGAGGTCGATATTCGGCTGGATGAGGGGGCAGTCATCCCCTTTGGGGCAGGGGGGGAAGTTGGCTGCGAGGAGGACCTCGCGCGCTCTGTCGATGTGTTGATCAGGGATAACAAAGGTAAAATCCTGGGATGGGATGGATTCATTGGTTAGTGTCTTAGCCATAGATAATAGACTGCCCAGGGACAGAACTCACCTCGATGACAAGAGGCGCCCCGTACCGTATCAAGGCGTAAGCGCCCCACATGACATTGGGGATGCCGTGGGCGTCCAGCAATTTGACGATGGACGCAATGAGATCCGCGTCAGGCTTCTGGCCGTTGAATTTGAAGTCGCTCATCTTGAATGCGTGCAGGCGCGTTCCTCCAGGAGTCTTGGGAGCGCTGTCTTTGGGGCTGGGTTTGCATGGTCATTTATATCCTGTTAGCCATTCTGTACGTTTTACTGTGTCGATTCATAGTTCAAAGAAGGGGACAGACAAGCACCCTCGATCGAGCAATCCTTGACCAGTGTCGTCCTCGAGAACAAAGGAAGTTTAACTCGAGTCTGCCATTGCCGTGGAACTAGAAGAACCTAGGTAGATGCCCGATCAGACAAAGAGACACGTTATATGCGAAAAGACTCGTCGTACATGACATCCTCGTCAGTGAAAGAGAAACAAAGGAGGATGGAATCTCTCCATGAAAGCCTTGACCCGATCTTTGGTCGTCGAGTGGTCCTTGATATCATCTTAATCTCCACACAAGGAGAATTGGTGTCTGCCAGGATTAGAGAATGGTCGGCTTTGTGGCCACTTCTTCCATATATAGACACCATTTTGGAGGCTATTTTTAACGCAGAAATTAGCCTTGAGCTCCAGGACTTGATCTGGTCCAAGGAGCAATGCAGGCTTGGTTTTCTTTCGCTGGAGCCAATGCACCATGGCATCATCCGCAGTACCGGGATAGATGGACTAGCTCGATACCTCGACTACAAAGACATCATTTAATCATGTGGAACAGTATGGCTTTGTCGATGTTTCTTTGAGCCCTATACCGTCTACGATCGATTCAGAGGCTCGAGGATAGAACTATCTAGAAGTCGTACGCCCGGAGCATCCAGCACCCTCTGCAGCCAGCTCATCTACCTCCTAGAGTCCTGGTATCCTAGACTATCCTTCTTTGACTTTACTTATACATTCTTCTGTCTAATTGGAGCTACTCCCTAACATCCAACTTTATCTTATCAAATACTCGTCCCGCATTTCACCGTCGACGTCAACATCCACGATATCCTCGACACCATCATTTAAAGCATCGGCATCAGCGCGGACGGGCACGAAATTATGCGGCTGATGCCTTCATACTTGAACCTGCCTATTGTGGCGATGCAGAGATGTCTGTACTGTGTGGCTCGGCGTGGGCTATGCTCGTATTGGTGTGGCTTGTCCGGAGACTCTGAGCGATATAAAACGAGTCCTAAGACCTTTGTAATTTGCCGACAGAAATGGACGATGTTGCGCCCGGATACGAAGGGTCTCAAAGCACTTAGGTTTACTGGATGGCTCGATGACTTGCCTCCTGAACTTATAACTTCATGGGTTCAGCAATATGGGCTAAACAACAGGACGGGGTGAGCGACGGAAAATTCCACTTCACGAAGAAAAGCATCGTGGGCCTGGCGCTTTTTGGAGTCGGATGTCTATGGTGCATTGTGTTTAGATTCCTCTGGTACAGAAACAAGTCCTTTAGCATATTCGGCTTTCCAAGGACAGTGTCATCAATACCACCGCTCCTCGAAAGCACGATAGACCCCTCATCACCGAATCTACAGCTGGATCATCGTCCAACGCAGCAAACCGCTCAGAATGACGAAGCAGGGCCATATCCGGCAACTCCCTGACCTCCTCCAGTTCGACCGCGTGTGCGACGCCTGGATTCCCCCTGGCCTTTGATGATTCTGATGAACAACGAGACCTAGGACGAGCCCAGTTAGTTCCATCATCAAAACGCTGAAATGCGCCCGGACGGACAATTACCGGCTCAGGATGAGCCAGAACAGCTTCCACCATACGAACCGTCTCCTCCCCCTTATTCCCCTTATCCGTGGCGAGGATGATTAGAGAGCAAGTGGCCTGACTTCTTGTGACTTGCCTTTTTCAATTAAATGCACCGGCAGGGCCAGGACCTATTCTAATGAGGTCATTTTATTTATTTTGTCCGCCATCGATTCCAAGCTTGTCTTCTTGTTTGACTTCCTGCGGCGCAGCAACGTCCATGATGCCATTGGCAATGTAATATAACAAAAGCATGATGAAGCATAGGCCAAAGGCTTAACAGATATAAGACTGACAGGACATTTAAATCGGCCTATCATATCCTAGGCTTCGTCAATGGTGCTTGTTATATACATTCAGATGAGTCTCTCGCCATTCACCATTTCACTAATATTATGCGCATTCCCATGATGAAAAACTAGTTAGCACGGGAGAGTACATCCTACTCTTCAGGTGATTATTTATACAGCAAGCAGATTATATTATTCTGGTGGACTACATTGTCCTAAACCTACATGCGACCATAAGGTCCGAAGAACAGGGCTGTTGTCTGCTCAGCAGTATGTAAGCTGATATGATTATACAGCTAAAATCCGGCAGTCACTTCTCCTTCTTAAGGCTTCTCTATCCAAATTAAGATGTTATTCCCTGAGACCGCCCATAGAACCTGTGACTGGATATCTCCGCGCTTCCGGTCCTCCAGATGATTGCATCATGACGGTGCTCTAAACATCATAGCAATTGAATGTCAAGTCCTCGTTCTAATCCACCATTCGTCCGATATCAGCCCAACATCGAGCAGTGTATGGAATCCAGCGAGGAGGGATAAGCTTACAAGCGCAACATCCGGCTGGCGTGTGTCACAGCACTGAAGTGTGTGGCCCACAGATTCACAGATGTCAGCATCAAACTGATCGTCAACCGCGGTGCCTATGCGAGTATGAATCATCAGCTCCTCACAAACAAGACGGGGGTCATTCCCGGTCATAAATACCATTGCCACAGATATTGGCGGCAGGATCAGGGCGCACTCCATATTCGGAGAGAATTTCCTCTGGCAATGCGGAGTATGGCGTCACTCCGGCGCAGCATTTCAAGTTCCCAGAGCATGCGTCGAGATTTTGAGCCACGGCGAGCGTGATGAGAGGGAGAAGGACAAGAAGGGACTTCATAGTGGAAACTGGACAGACAAGTTGACTTGATAGACCTCCGCCGGTACAGTCGTTTGTGGTGGGGAGAATGCGTTATTCGCGAGGCATTCAGCCTAGTTAAATGGCATGCTATTGCTTTTTAGCCAAGGGGATCTACGGACGGCACGCACTTACTACATTGCTGCGTGAGGCTAAAGGGAAGCAAGGGGATATACTAAACATTACACAGCAGGTGCTATTTGCAGCCACCCCCTTACTACAGCAAAGCAATTATCCAAGCTGTTCATGTTCCTGGGACCGCTGCCAGGTGGATTTTGTTGCTGAATGGCAAACAATGATATCATGATACTTAACCTTGAATAAGCAGTTTTGAGACTTTCATCTGAAATGGTCTGTGAGGCTCCATGGCCTAGTACTACTACAAGCTCATTCACAATCCTTTCACAGAAGTCATCCTTACTCTAAATAAGGACCACTGTTTATTCCATGGAGAGAGAATGCAACAGAACACTATGACTAATGAATTTTTCATGGAGCAGTGATATGTTTCTTACAGGGAGTACCTGTTTACTCAGAATTTCAGCCTTCAGGCCCCTGCATGGGTGATGCATCCACATATCTCCTCTAGCTCTGTGAAGCGTGAAGACATACAAGGCGGAACTTACCAGAAGGAAGTTAGCACTTCTTGTGGAATCAATTTGGATTTATTCGCAGGATTTTTTTCGGCGAAAAGCCTTGAAGATAGATGCAGATAGGGCCTCTTCTTAATGAAGTAAACCACTGGTGTTAAATTTCCCTCCTAAACACCAGATATAGACCTAGAACTAGAGAGATACCATGAAGTGGGTTTGATGAATGACGTTGATCAGGCTGTCTCGCTCCCTCCGCCTCTTTGTCAATACGAAGTGATATACTCAAACGCTCCACGGGACTTCAATTGAACTTCTTTGCCATTAATATGGGCTTTGGATCTGACCAGGTCGGAAATGTTGAGCCTGAAGAAATTAATGAGAGCACGATCTTTGCCTACGTGGAGATAAACCCTCGTGGCAATTTTGTCCCATACGACAGCTTCTATTCGTCTGCCTCACAACTCTCTTACTATACCTGCAAGGCTATTTTTGAAGGAGATATTGCGGTAAAATAGAGTTTCGGAAATTGGTTTTTACAAGTAGCTTCGCTTCTCCTCATTAACCTAGAGGTATGGATTCAGCAACAATGCTCAAAATAACAATGTACAGCATATAATGAAAAGACTGAGTACATCAAGCAGGGCCTTGGGGCGCCAAGGATTGCGAGAACACCATCATATTCACTTGCATCCAGCTCGAGAGTTCCATGATTGATGACAAGTCTTTCCGTCAGGGGCCGGTGCAGTCAGAGTTCACAGAATCTCGGCCTGAGAATTGGACAAGGGCGACGAGTTGCAGCACAGCGGCTGCTTAAGATCACTGAGATGCAGCTGGCCCTGATTGGGCAAACAGCTTTTCAACATAGAATAGTAGAAGCTATCACTATCTTACTTGTGCCAGAAGCCATAAGCCCGGTGTGTCAATCACCTGATCTGACTCATTCCGTCTCACCAGGGGCGATGTCTCTTTGTCACTCGATGGACCCCAATAACCCATCTCAGGCCCTCACCTAGGGAGTGCTTGCCGATGTATATGAAGCTGACAAATGGAAAGCATTGCCCATGCTTAAAGAAAGCATCAGTCCGTCACCGAGATACTGATCTTGACACCGGGAGGGAGTTGACTCAACTGTCGGCACATGCACATCCCGGAATACGAGCAGATATTGATGAACCTAGCAATTATAGCTCATATTGTTCAATGACGTCGGTGACACTTATCGGCACCGTATATCCGCGGTGTCAGCTACGACAAGGCTAGGCCAAGAAGTGGCAAGAATACTCAAAGGACTCAGTATGCTAAAAGCAATTATGTTCGTTGGATATCAGTCAGATGAGGGAGCTCATTTTATTCGAGCTATGATCAATTCGCCTTTTATAGTTCAATGATTGGTGAAACAGCATTCTTGTTGCCAGACGGTGATTTCACCCTATATTAGATGCCGATATTGCGGTCTCACCGAACTACCCCATTTGTTAACAGCTGATGCTCTACAACGCCTGTCAGCTTTGAACCATGTCCACGAAGATGGATTGTGGTGTATCGGTCAGCTGATACCTGAACAGTGATATATAATGATCACAGCTACAACATTATACTTTTCATAAATCTCAAGCAAGCACATTGGTTCTGTCTACCAGGCAACTTAAAGACACAATATGACTGTGAAGGTTGGTATCAACGGCTTCGGCCGGATTGGTCGCATTGTCTTTCGCAACTCTTTCTCCCATGACGATGTCGAAGTTGTCGCTGTCAATGACCCATTTATTGATCTCAAGTATGCGGTATGTCAGACTCATCCTGAACCCATGTCTACGGCAAGATCCATTAACCCGGAATGTTCGAACAATAGGAATACATGCTCAAATATGATTCCACGCACGGCCGCTTCAATGACGAGATCTCCAAAGAAGAAGACTCCCTCACCATCCAAGGGCGAAAGGTGAAGTTCTACGCCGAGAAGGATCCCGCCAGCATCCCCTGGCACGAAACAGGAGCCGAGTACATCGTCGAGTCTACCGGCGTCTTCACGACCGTCGACAAAGCAAAAGCGCATCTTCGCGGAGGAGCCAAGAAGGTCATCATCTCCGCCCCGTCCGCTGATGCCCCGATGTACGTGATGGGGGTCAACGAGGAGAAATACGACGGCACGGCGGATGTGGTGTCTAATGCATCGTGCACCACGAACGCTATCGCCCCCTTGGTCAAGGTTATCAATGATAAGTTCGGGTTCGTGGAGGGCCTGATGACTGCTATCCATGCGTACACTGCGTCACAGAAGCTGGTTGATGGGCCTTCGTCCAAGGACTGGCGGGGTGGTCGTGCAGCCGCGGAGAATATCATCCCTAGCAGTACTGGTGCGGCGAAGGCGGTTGGGAAGGTGATCCCAGAGCTGCAGGGTAAGGTCACCGGCATGGCTATGCGGGTGCCGACCTCGGATGTCTCGGTCATCGATTTGACGTGTCGTATTGAGAAGAGTGCGACTTATGAGGAGATTGTGGCTGCAATCAAGGAGGTTGCTCATGGTTCTCTTAAAGGTGAGGACATCTGTCTTTCTATCCGTGTCCCAGTTCTAAGCATATCTAACTGTTGTCCAGGTGTTCTGACCTATACCGAGGATGATGTTGTGTCAAAGGACATTCTTGGTAACCCACACTCGTCCATCTTCGATGTCAAGGCCGGTATTTCGCTGAATCCCAATTTCGTGAAGCTGGTAAGCTGGTATGACAATGAGTGGGGATACAGTCGTCGAGTGCTGGATCTGGTGGCCCACATCGCCAGTGTGGATGCTCAAAAGTGACCCCGGCCTGGAGAGGGGTAATATCAGTCGATGAAAAACCGAGCTCGCGGTATTGACAATTGTCTTCTTTTCTGTCTTTGGACTGTTTTGCTTGCGCTGGTGGCTTCAGAGTACAAACAAATAGGCAATCAAATGTAGCTTTGCTTTGTTCCATGTTCATTCATCCCTCTAGCTGATTTGCGTTTATCTTATCCAAAGCATTCTGACACATCATCCTGATGTGCTCCCACCTCCTTCGAAGTGAAGATAATATGTTCTGGTACCCACCTCGCGCTTCGCTTTGGGCTGCCGACGGTTCAAGAGCCTCTATTGTTGTATTGCTCTCTTGGAGGTAGATTTCGATCCACTCACGGATGATGTTCCAGGTTTTCCGCGTGTCGAATGCTTTAGTTGCTCGACCTTGTACGTAATTTCGAAAGTCCTTGGATGACATGTACTTGACACACGCGGCGTTAATGGTGCGAAGGCAGACGCCAGAAGGTGTGACTTGGTAGTCTCTGCCCCAGGTTGAGTAGCAGTCTCTGCACAGGGGATATGGCCACCACTTACTCAAGTCCTTGCTGGGAGACAAGCTCTTCCCTTTCCCCTTCAGAAAGGTTGTTTGAGATGATAGCATCCAGGAATATAACGTCGGACTCGTTGTGGTCGAGGAAAAATCCATCTGTCTTTCGTTAAGCAGTAATAGTACCATTGCGACAACGGTACTTACACTCGACGAAAAGAAAGTCATTAGAATGAGCTCCGTAGCTCATGAAGATCTCCTCGCCTTTTTCTAATCCATCGGGTCAGATTCCTACTTTGACAACGTCCGCATAGCCCTTACCGTATCGGCGAGTAGCAGTAAAGGTGTACTTGGCACCGTCAAAGACAACCTCGCAATCCTGCTCACGGCATTAGCTTCACCGCATCTTGCGACATCGCGGTGTAAAGTGCACTGACAGCGTCATCTGAGTGATTAAAGTAATCTGCAAAAGGCACAAGACCTATGGCGTCATTCCAATCTTCAGGAGGTTCTTGCCCGGGCTTGACGTAGTAGAAGCTTCTTGTGTTCAATATTAACCAGTGGAAGGAAAATTTATCCCAATCCATGTTAGGGTACACGGTGAGTACGTTCCGCCATGCGTCCTGAAGCCTTTTCTCCTGCTGCGCGAGCAAGTTCTGGCACTTGGACTCGAATTTTCTATCATTCTGGCTGCTTTCAAATGAGTTCCAAATGCCAGAAGCTGAGGGAGGCAGCAGAAAGGGCCTCTCGCAGGGCGTCTTCTGAAACTCCGAGTTCGACCTCCGCAAATTCTCTGGCCACAGGATGGGCATGCTGTCTTCAAAGTCCTTCCGGGATGGCCAAACCTTGCGCCACAAATCCCATCTTTTTAGAAATCCAGCATCTCCCTCGGTAAGAAACGCAGCAAGGATTCCGTGAACCGACGTCCCAGTAGGAAATTGTTTGATGAAAGGAGTCGGGATGGAATCGATTGTGATCATCAGATCCAAAGGGACTGTGATCATGATCTCACCCTCCTGAGGCATAGAATATCGGCGGTCAGCCAACCCTCTATACGCGCAGTCTCTCCTCCTCTACGCACCTCTAGATTTCTGGTCGCGATCATCCCTGACCCGCGGCCTGGTATGTGTGCGGGTGTGACACCATTGATCTTCACCCCTTGGGACTTGGTCCATCGCATAAAGTCCGTATGCTGTTTACCTAGCTTTGTAGGTGTCATTTTGTCGGGTATCAGGCCCTGCGGGTTGGCGTCAATTTATATGCTGCCTTTGTTTTTGGCAGTTGGTTTCGACAGCAGAACATCGCGCGCGACGCGCCATGTCACGTGATTCTAGCTGGTTACAATTGCGACGCGGAATAGTCTACAGTGCGCTGCCTACGCCTGAATCCACTTCGTTGTCCATTGATATTAGCAAGGTGTCTAACTCGAAATGGATCCACAAATCTTAATGGCCCTAATTGGTAACTTCCCATGCCTTTCCGACCGATCCGAGCCTCCGTTGCTTCGGTCATGTGAAACTTAGAGAATTCTGGTTGAACATGACTGGGATGTTCCACTGTACATCACAGTCATGACGAGTGATTGGCCTTTCGAATCCCATTGTACCTAGACAGTCTAGGTATCGTAGATGCCGACTGGCCGGATCGACCAGGGACAAGCTGAGAAGTCGTACAACCCGGTGTAATCTCAATTTCCACCGCAATGCAAGACTGAAGCATGCTGCCTGAACTTGTGTTCGAAGCGATCTTCCGCACGTCTCAAGCTGCGAACGAGTGGAAGAGGCGAGCTCTAATGGCAGATAGCCAAAGTTGAGAGATCATTTCACTGAAGGGTTCAGCTATTAGGTCGTAACGCGTAAGACCTGACCGGTAAGAGCCTGAAGTTCTTTGGGAATCCCGTCTGAACCTCCGAGAGGAAGACAGTCATTCCAGCTTCTTTGAAGATCTTCTTGAACTTCTCGTCGGTCCTGGTGACGCTGCTGTCCACCTCATCGAACATGTCCTCCCCGTTGATATCTGTAGATTGGTTCTCCTTGACCACCATAATACCCGTCTCCGTCAAGGCAGCCCGGCACCGTTTCACATATTCGAGCAATTGCACATCCGTCAGATGGCCCACGCACCACTGCGTCCAGATCAAATCGTATTTCTTCTCCGGATTCCAGTTCTCAAGGCCAACAGTATAGATATCCCCGACGATACCATCCTTCTTCAGGGAGCCATTGCGCACGACCTCGGTGAATTTCGCGACCGGTTCCACCACATCCACAACCTCGCAGACTTGGCTGAGGAACCCTTCCGTTATGCGTCCGACTCCTGCACCACAGTCCACACCCAGTTTGAGTTTGCCTTCTGTGCTGCAAGACGGTAAAAGCCGTCGCACCTTGGCCAAGAAGGCCCTCGATCCTCGTAGGTCGATGCGGGAATACCACGGATAATCGCCGAGCATGGCCAGCATGCCGTTGGAGGTAGCAGGGACATCGTTCCAATATTTCAGCGAGGCCGCGTGATCGATCTTGGAATCCGGGGTCGATTCGGGCTGTTCCTCCATGACTTCAGTTGCGGTAGAGAACGACATGATTGGTCAATTGGTGAAGTTGTTCGCATGTCGCTCCTCGGCCGTTCTGAGGAGAAGCAAAAATTGGTGGGGGTTATCAATCACGTGATCACTACCATAACAGCAACCTGTGCGTTTGACCTCGATCGAAAATACTTGGTTGCATTCTGATATTCGTTTGCATCAAACTTTTTCTGAGACGTGCCGGGCAGTATTCTCAATGAACTATTAGGACCTTCGCATGCACTGAGATTGCGGGCAAGCGGCCAGAATATATATAATCCACGCTGCTTGGCAGACCACCGAATAGCTTGTTCAAACCATCCGTGGTCGTGTATACGTCTAAGAATCAAGACGTTCCTCTATAAACCTTCTCAAGCTTTCAATAAAATACCGACAGTTAACCCGATACAATTCGATTCGTTCAAGTTCATAATCGAGGAACTGGGCGACCTTATAGATGACCTCGCTGGGGAGATCGAGGAATCCCATCGCGATCTATCTTGGTTCAATGCATGAGACGACTGTTTCTCAAGGACGGGAGATATAACAAAAACTCGAGAGGGCATGATGAGAGTCCAGTGAGAATTTTGATCAAACATTTGTTTGTTGAATATCAATTAGGTATGTGTGATTTATGCCATAGATGAAATACAGTGTACTGACATTGTTGCTTGACTATATCTAGTGACTGTTGATAGTGAAATCTTCACAAGTACTCAAACTTCTGAAACCACAGTGGGATTGCAGTAGATGTTGATATAATAGGATCTGGAGATACAATATCTCACTTCAAAAAATGCGACGGAGCCTTCTCAAAAACAGAAATGGCCTCCTCTAATCGCTTTTCATACGCCTCCAGCTCTTCACTATCCTGATCCTCCTCCACATCCTGGCCCGATTCGTCAATGGCCTGCTTCTCACCCTTCAATTCTAATTCCACTTCGTCGGTTTCCGCGCCTCTAACAGTGTTCACTGACAAGACATCACGATACAACCCCATGGAAAGCGGTAGCTTCACACTATCCGCACCTCCCTTGCCAACCTTGACAAAACGAGCATCTAGTAAGCGGTACTGGGCAGCCCAAACATGCTGCTCGGTCAGTTCCATGGTCATCTCCCAGGAAGTGCCCTCCCCGAGACTCAAAGACCCGCCCACAGGTACGCTTGATACCGCACCGACGAGGGAAGCCGAGACCCCTGCTGATAACTTACTGGAGTTATGGCGAGAGACCATTGTACGCGCATCTTCGAGGAGATACAGACCAGTCAGCATCCAGACCTTCGGCCGACGTGCGAACTTAAAGTTCAGGACGTAGGCACTCCGAGCGGCTGAAAGCCATAGTTTGAGCTTCTCCTGTGCCTTAGGGTTGCTCAGGACGGATGTTACCAGGAATTCTTCAGGACTATGCCATGTGAGGACATATAATGGATGCCGTGGAAGGGGTCAGGAAACGTACTCCTTCAGGATTATTCGCGCTCCCTTCCTTGCTACTACAATGCGCTCAGAATCCTTATTCCAGGCGAGAGTGAGGTCGATGATATCCCCGCCACTGAGGCCGACGGCAGGTGTCAGGCGAGAGCGTCCGTGGAAGATCACGTTGGAGATATTGCTGACGTAGGCGTACTCCTGGAGTGCTTCCTGGCTATCAAGGAAGTTAGGCAATAGCTATACCGCAGAGTATGAGCACCGACCTCAGTAACTCGTGCGTATAATGTCTTGCAACCAGTGGTTCCCAGTATCTTTCTAGGACCAACGATCCGAGGGTAAGGGCCTCGGGCCTCTCGCCCATACCATACAGATAGAACGAAGAGTCATCACTAGCATCCATCCTGGCATCCAATATCGTTGTTAAACTGTTTGAAATGACAAGTGGTGTTTAAATATTCGCAGCAGCAGCACCGCCAGTCGATCTTCGATGCGTTAAGCGCCAAGCGGTCACAGACTCGACACGCGGGACGGACCGACATTTCAAATCGAAACAAGTGAGCTTGACGAAATCTTGTCGCCTAACGGGCGCGGGGGTTGATCATCATCTACTGGCTGGGATTGCTCCTGTGGCTGAGACGGCGTCTCGCCCTCTTCCCGATGTAGTAGAGCTTGACGAGGTGGGCATTTATAAGCACGGGACCGCCCCGTGTGCGCCCTGACAATGCCATTGTGATGTATCAGGCTTTATATAATGGATTTTGACCAATTCTTGAATTTATGTGGCGGATCGTTCTTCCCGGAAGAGTACCGGGGCGATCTGGATGCTGCCTGGCAGGAACTGCAGCGAAGTCGTCCCGATGATTCCGCGGCCGAACCGGAGGTGAAGGCAGAGTACCTCCGCAATTTCGCGGTTCATTCCATCATCACCGGTAATTTGGCAGAAGCATATAGGAACTTGGAAAATTTGTATGCTTTGCTCGACACTCTGCCGGCAGAATGGGGCTTGCGATATACCATCTACATGCTGTTGGTGGATTATACACGCCAATACCCGCCAACCCTCCGATTCTACCACGAGAGAGGAAAACCCATGAACACCGCCATGCTCAGCGATATCTCGGGTCCTAACGAAATGAGCTCCAGGTTCATGCAGAGAGTTCAGACGTATTTCGAAACCGGCTCGATTCGCGATAAGGGCTTATGTCAGATTCTGTGCGCGATCATGTGGTTCCCCATGCTGGCGAGAAAGCTGAATGCTGAGCTCGATCCTCTATTTCCCGGTGGCTTTTTCCATACTACAAGCGCAGATCCGGAAGCTATAATTGCACAGCATGCTGCCAGCTTGATTAAATATCGGGAAAGCGCTGAACAGGTCGGCGAGACGCGGATAGCAGCTTATCTCTCTCGGTTGCTTGTGGAATTCCGCATCGCGTCTCAATCGTCGGACTGGATGACAGCGCTGGACGACTTGTATGAAATCTATGACCATCTGGAGGATTTTGCGGGAATGGCCAACTGTCAAATGATGAAAGGAGATGGTCTCCTAGGTCCATCGTTCACTAGTCCCCTGGCATTGAATCTGATTCTCGTTGACGCCACCTCGGCCATCGGAGAGGACTCTCTCTGGGACCCCATTGAGATCGAGTTGAAGGATCAGTACTCCTCTCAAGTAAAGGAATGTTATGAAACAGCTTTAGAGTTGTTCGAGAAAGACAACTGTAGGAGAGGTCAAGCAGCGGTTCTGCTTCGGCAGGCGTGCTGCCTTCATAACGCGGCGCGGCGACTTAAACCGACTGATTTGGCTCGATTCACCTTCATATCCGATGCCCGTGCAATATTGGAACAGTCAAAAGACCTCTTCGGTGGAGATGAAGTGAATTGCCAAATTGTAACGGCCCACCAGGTCCTGCTCGATATCACCAGGGGAGATAACCGGAATGTCAAAAGGACTGCAAGGTGCATCGGAACATGGGCAGCGCTAGCAAAGAACCAGTCTGTCGGCCACTGTCTTGGACTTCTCATATCCCGCTTCGCTCGCCAGGAATGGTGCACGTTCGCCAGAATGGATAATGCTCTAGTGGCATGGGAATGTGCCTATGAAATTTTTGACAGTATTGATGATGTCCTGCCCATGTTTCAGTCGGTCGTCTCTCGCGCTTGGGTACAAAGCGAGATGTTCAACTTGGCCGCGCTCAAAATCATGGTGGACAAGGCCGTAGGAATGGTTGACAGAGTTCGTGAATATTACGACGCCGTGGCCGGGAGTACCCCGAACACCGATTTGGGAGAGGCAGATCGAATCATCGTTCAGACCAGCAAATTCAACACCCTTTCAAGCTTCGGGGCAAAGGTAAGTACAATGTACATGCGTCTCGAAGATCCGCAGCTGGCGCACGAGTGGCAGTCGAAGTTTGCAGGAATAATGGAGAATGATGAAAGCTTTCGAGAAATGAGAGAGCGAATGGAAGAAAGATTGGATTTTGATAGCGTTTCCCCTCCGTTATCCTTCTCTAGAACAAGATTGAAAGGTTTGTGGCAAAGTAGGGTCGTAGCTGATGCTATGGCTGCCAAGTTTCGCGACGCGAAATTCGATTTTCAACAATGGTTGGACAAAGGCGACATCGAGAGGGCCGAAGAAGTATACCGTCGCTTCATGGAGGAGACAGAGAACTTGGAGTCATCTTATGTCCGGGATGCCTATCGTCTTCTCTTGTGCAGGTTCGCTGGAGATCAGACATCGGCACGGATGATTCTCGATAGCATGGACGATAATGCACTCTTTCAAGGCAACCTGGAAGATTATCAGCAGGGCATCGAAGTCAAATCTACCTTCCCCGGAGTGGCAGACAACGCGCTGATGTTCTGTCTGCTGTCCCGGGACGAAGAGAGGGCCTATCACGTTGTTCGAATCATTCAGCAAATTGCTCCGGCTTTCTACGACACCATGGATGATAATATCGTTGACTTCTCCTTTCGGCTGAGCTACTATGGCGCGACCATGCTGTATAATGGTCACCCTGAGGTCGCCTTTCGCCGTTTGCTCGAAGCCCGTCAGCTGATTGAACTTCGGCGCCAACAGACTACGGATGTCGACGCTCGAACTGGGACATTGACTCCATGGATGGGTGAGGTATACCTCAATCTTGCACGAGCTTGCCTCAAGTGCGCCGATGCAAGTGTCCCATTATCCGTGCTGCAAGGGCATGAACATGGCCATCCGGATGACATATCGTGGGAGGAACATGCCCTACTGTTTGTAGAAGAAAGCAGAGCCCGTGCCGTGCTTGAAGCGCTAAGGACGCAGTTTGCTCATGACCGAGATGAACATAATCCATCAGCTACGCTGTCAGAACTGATTCACAAACGCAGGCTACTCAGGACCCTACTCGCTTTGAGGCACCCAACACCTGAGCAGGAAGAGGAGATAGGTGACCTTCGGAGCCAGATTAGCCACATGGAAGCTAGTGAAGTTTCTTCAACCGCCAGCGCTTTCATTGATATGGCGAATTCGATTGCAACGCCGGAATTACTGTATAAAAGCATTGACGATGACGCAGTAGTGATAGAAGCAACATTCGGCTATCAGGGCTTCATTGCCTTTGCCGTCACCAGCGATGGAATTCAGGACATATACCAAGATTGCACCCGCAGCGTCGACATCCGGAAGCCTGTAATGCAGATGATGAAGGTCATGACAGAAATGACGGGATATTTGGGGGTTCAAGAGGAGCAGAGGAAGAAGATGTTCAATGAATTTGCCCAGCCAATCTCCACACTGCTGGTCGGACCGTTCAGAGAAACGATCAAGCAGAAGAAGCATGTTATCTTCTCTACCTCTGATCCTTTGACCGCATTTCCCTTCTCAGCGCTTGTTTTGGAGGGTCAGCCCCTCATAGCACGCTTCGGAGTGTCGCAATTCCCTAGCCTCACGGTCATACATCACGTTTCTCAGCGCGAGTCTCCATCGGCCGCTCCAACCGTGTCGATCTTTGCTCGGTCCCCTTCTGCGGAGTCATCCAGTACCATGAGAGGCAAGCAAGATGCTAACCTGCACTTGGCAGGGATTGAAGCGGTGAATATTGCGAGAATATTCTCAACGTGGCCTGTTGATGCAACGAATGTGACGCGAGCCGAATTCCGCAAGTATGTCGAGGGCAACTCCTCCATCCTCCATATTGGCACTCATGGTGACGTCGACTATCGCAACCCTCTTCTCTCGTCTATTTCGATTGGGGAAGACTTTCGCGTTCTTGACATGTCCACAATCAAGACCAACGTCAATCTTCTCGTCTTCGCGGCGTGTCTTAGCGGTCTGGGTCGAGCGACCACCGGCAGCGAGGTTCTGGGATTCTCTCACGTCGTCCTTGGTAGCGGTTGCCAGGCGTATATCGGGACCCTGCGTAAAGTCAGCGATTTTGCCTCGATGATGCTCATGACGTTGTTTTATCGGACGCTGAAAAAAGCACCTTCGATGCCACTGGCGTATGTACTTCGACAGGCGCAGATAGAAATAAGCCAGTTTGACAGCGAGCGCGCGGCCCATTACCTCGATCAGTTGATGCAGACATCACCTTCAAACGACGGTGACTCTCGGGGCCCAAAGGACTTTGTGCCAGATGCGGAGTTTATGGTCTGGACGACAAAGATGATTTTGGATCAGCTGGATTGGTCCAGTCCGTTCTTCTGGGCGCCTTTTGTGCTTATGGGATACGGCAGCTTCCGATTTGCGACGCAATAGATTGATGGTGGGTGACGGTTATTGCGTTGTTGACTTCAAGACTCAATGTCAACCGAATCATGAGGAGGACTCGTCAGGGCATTCCAGGCTGGGATATGTGCGAACACACGGATACTGTTGCTCCGCGTTTTGGATGAACAAAGGAATTTTGTGAAATTGAGACCATGTGCGTTTGGGTTGCCTGACGCGTCGAGGTGTCAATGCCTCAACATGACCTCACAAGGTGCACGTTCTATGCCTCGATACCTCAAACTACCATGCCATTCTAGGATATATATATTAGCAATAAATAGGCCCTATAAGTATTGCGCAGCTCCTTACATTATACCTTGTCTTTGGGACTTGATTAGATTGATTACGTGAAGACAATCTCATGGATGCGAGTGCGTGTCTCTGAACACATGGGATAAAACATTCCTTCAAGTCAAAGGCATGACTAACTCACGGAATTTCTGCTCTCCCTCAGTTACCAGCATATCTAGGCTAGTTCATCTCGTTACTTCCATGGTCCACCTTTTTATGAAAAAATGGGGAGTCAGGGTTGAAGTTGCCGCAGATGTCATGCCAAAAAGAGTCGTATCTCTCCGGTAGGTCCCCGTACTCCCGCATCCTTTCATACACCCGTCTGAGGAATATCTGGTATATGTACAATCTGGGCTGGAGCTCAGAGAGGGTACATAAGTCTATGACCTCCTGAACCTGCCTTCGGAATTCCAAAAATGTCCCTAGGAGCACGAGGAAGGAGGAGACCGACGTGGCTGCAGATCCCAGGCACAAGTGTTTATCCGTCACAGGAGTTCTAGAAGCGCCTGGGAACACGCAGAAGATCACATCTCCTTTGCCGGTGCCGAAGAACACTCCGCACTCGATAGTGGCGCCGAAAAAAAATATACTGCCGGCAAGCATTGGCGGATCTTCATCCCGAATATCTGCATTGAACGCGCTAGTATTGATTCCGTGGCTGAAGCGGCCGAGCATGTGTTTGGACGACAGGTGAGCGGTGCGGGTGGAAAAATCTGGAAATCCGACTGTGCTGAGAAATGTGCGGGTCTCAACATGCTCAATCATTGCCAGGACCCTCGCGTCTGGAGTTTTCAACTTTTCAACACGAAAGTGAGTCTTCAGCCAGGCCGAGTCTGGGTTCTTCGGCATGACAATGTTCGCCTGGAAGAAAGAAAGGTTAGCTGCAACTTCCCAACGCATTGTATGCCTATAAACATAGAGCGATTGAATCAAGAATTGTTTTCAAGTTAGTCTCGTCGTGATACAGATGATCAAGAGGTCTGCATGTCCTAGCCAGGTTGACAACATCTCTTAGACTCTCTGCACTGCCGAAGATATGTAGAAGGACCTCATTTGGAAGGTCTAGAAGGCGTATCATCGTGTCTGTATGAGTATACCCAACAGGTATCATCAGGGAAAGGGAGAGAGTAGGAAGACGAAGAGAAGATGTTGTGACCTTGATCGAAGCTAGTGAATATCGCATGGCATCATCACATGATCTTGTGTCTGCCTAAGGATTCAACTGGAATTCATTACTTGTTGTGTGCAAGGGAGCATGAATCCAAGGTAAGTATGAGTCCTACAAGAGGGCTCCATCGAGCCATGCATGTGTGGACTGAATGCGTCTTATTCTACTGTCTCCATGACTACAAAACTAAGGCATCGAAGGATAGTGAGAATTGATTCCTAAAGTACCAACTGTACCATAGTTGGACCTAGTACATCGGCTTTCCAACCTGAGCTCAGCGTCCTTCAAGTGGCCCCTAGACAGAGTCTGACACGATCGCCTATGGCCGTGACATCTCTATATTTCCACACGAACGGCCCCCGAGAGATCTCATTGTAGTCCATCCCATCGAAAAGCAATTCCCACCAGAACCGAGAGCCTTTATCAAGGAAGACATCGTACTGGTTCATTTTGAAGTAGACCTTCTCGAGAAACCACACACCCACAGCTAATTTCAAGGGATCAGATGACCTCTGAATAAGCTCCTTTATTGCATCCCTCGAGCTCACGGCTGTGCCCAGAAGCACTAGGAACGAGATGATGGAAGTGGCACCCATCGGCCAATGTCCCAGATCGCGCACAGACAGGGTGTACGTGATGATGTTGCCGTTTGTGCTACCCACTATCACCTTTTGCTGGCCAACGAAGCCGAGGGTATAGTGTGCTTCAGGATCGCGTACTGTCCAGTTCTGTCCCCGGGGACCGTTGTGCACACATAACCACGTTTCATGCTTGCCCTGTTCGATGTTTTTTCTCAAATGCTGCAAGTCGACCCCATGAAGCCCAGTGGAGCGGTCAGGAAATCCGATTGTTGTTAAGAATTCGAGGGTTTTAGCATGCGAAATCCTAGGGGCGATTTCGGAACGTGAGGGCTTCCATAGGCAGTCAGGTCCAAAGTGTGTTTCAAGCCAGGCAGTGTCGGGAGTCTCAGGCAGGAGGATGTTGTCCTGCAACAAAGGTTAGCTACCACACTCGCATATCAGATGTCTTGTAGTCAATACATACCGCAATAGCATCGAAGATCAAACCCATATTCCGTGTGTCGTTGATGAGAAGGTCGAACTGTCTACATGTTTTTGACAGGTTCGCAGCGTCTCTCAGGCTGTCCAAGCTCGCAAAGACCTGCACGAGAATCTCAGTCGGAAGATCCACAAGATTCATCATGCTGTCTGATGCGGCTGGAGCTTAAACCTCGCGCGTATGTCTTGATAGAGAGTGAGAATGAGGAGAAAACAGAGTTGCAGAAAGATGTAAATCTTGAAAGAGAAAGATAATAGCTAGAACTAGAGAGACTGTGAATGTCCTATGCCATGATCACGTGGCTATGGAGGTAATCAGGCTTTTCTTCACGAAAACGCATACAATGGGCCAGATGGACAGAAGGCATTCTGAGAACGTCACTCAGACGAACAGATATTTTGTTAAGTTCGTCCACGGCCACCTTACCCTTGTCCCAGACTAAGAATCAAAACAGGCCCTCTGAGGATAGGGCCGCTTAGAGACTTACTGGGATCTTATGATATAACTTAGCAAAATATGTTTCCAGCCATGATCGAGCTTTATCTGTCCGCTGGAGCTAATTGGGTGGCCTATGGGGGCAGTGCAAGCCTGTTTACAGAGCTATTTAAACTCATTCTTTGCTCATCCGGTACCGGCAAATTCATACGTTTCCATATTCTGGTTTTGCTTGCCCTTCTTGCTCTGGACTATTTGTGAATATAACCTCACCGTCCACTGTGGCAAATCTGATGATCTTTTGCGAGCCATCGTCTTCAGTAATTCCCTAGCTTGTTACCGGGTATTGGTGCAGTCCAACCCTGTCGATATCAACCATGTCATCCCATGGCATGGCGATGTCCTTGGTATCAAGGCCGATTTAAATCAAGTGGACTGGGTCAGGTTTGGTCTCGAGCACGGGGCAGACCCTAACCTCAATCTCATCGAAGAGTACAAGACACCACTAGCTGCGGCTGCGGAATGTGGAAATGAAGAAATGGTCAAGCTAATGCTCGACTACAGAACGCAAGCTCAAGGAAGTGGTGCGATTGTTCTTGCTGCTGCGGGAGGCCATACGAGTATCGTGAAACTCTTACTTTCCAACGGCGCCGATATAAATGAGACGGGGATCCGAGGACCTCCTGGAGATGAATGGAAAGATGACATGGCGAGTCCACTACATAAAGCAGCTGCCAATGGACACATCAAGACTATCCATTTCTTAATCGATGCTGGTGCGAATGCGGACATCGAGGATGGGCAAGGAAGGACCCCTGAAGCTGTGGCGATGGCGCACGGTTAATCTCAAATAGTGGAATACCTCCTGCGCTTCAAAGGTTGACAAAAAAGGACTAAAATCGCCATTGAGCAATAGTTTAAAAGACATTGGACCTCTATTGCGTCAAAATTGGTATAATATCTGCGGCAAATGATTCTTTGATCTTGGGGAAACTGGAAATAAGCAGAAGTTAAAATCTGTTCAGACATATAGACATCGGTGCCCCGGAACATATTACTATTGCCTCAATAGCCTATTAACTAGTGTTTAGTCTTTTTCGTTCCAGGAGCCAGCCTTTGCTCAAGCATTAGTCAAAAGAAATCGTCAATCACTCCTGGCTTGTTAGACCGGTGTGCACGTCCCAATGCCTTGCAGCAACGGCAGAGCTGGAAGAAGTGGTAATCAGATTGGTGGCTTTGCTGATCATCTGCGTAACTTTCATGACATCCCCCTGGCTGACAATCTCCTTTCGTTTCGTCCAACCAAGATCAGTAGGAAGACGTTCATGCTCTATAATATCTATGATCAGCTCAGGCTCAACTCAATCAGACGCTAGTAGCGTTCTGAAAGTAGAACAGAAATATGATGTTTGATGGTCAGTGTCAGATATGTCTTTCGCTTTCTAGCAAGTGGACATCATGATAATACATCAAGTATCTCGCTCGACATCAGGACATTTAGCATCGCCCTCACATGTATCATGAGTTTCTTAATATATCTAAACGAGATAATGAAGCTAACCAAGCCTCTTATATGCTCTGGACCAGTTCCAAGGTCCTTATCTCGTTTCCTCTTCAAGGCTCTGCATCCCTCAAACGCATTCTCTGGCTTCGTCCTGGTACAAGCGTGCTGAGGTCGCCAACAGGAAGCGAGATGGGGAAATCGACGGCCTCCAAGATTTGTGTGATGAAAATCCACCAGATCGGTATACATAACGCAAAGTTGAAAGCGCCGCCAGCCTATGGAATGAAGATGTCAATCAAGCGAATCACACGACTAAGAAGATGTACTCACGACTTGCAACTTCTCAGCCAACTGAAGATTCCCCGCAGAAACGGAGAAGAAAGTGCCAGCGAACAAACCAAAGGTGATGACGAGCAAGAAGAGCGCGGAGAAGAGGCAGACGTTGGTTCGAATCGAGCATATCAGGTATATGAAGGTCAGGACTGTCAGGAAGACAAAGTAGAATGCTATCCAAGAGGTCAACCGCAGCCAATGCAGATCGAGATTGTGCATAACGAACCTATACTGGCGTTATACATGGGCGTCTGTTGCCCCTCCAGGAAGTTGCCTGTGGGCGAAAAATGGGTTCCAGTAGCGAAGAAGGGCATGAAGGTCGTTCCTTGGACAATCCAGAAGGTTCCTGTTGTGGATAACATAAGGATTCTGCTTTGTCTGGAAGTAATGTGGATATGCATACCATAGGTGAAGAATAGCGCACAGGAAAATGTGTTGCCAATAATCCACTCCCCAATCCCACCAAATATTTGAACCATTCCGCCGAAGAAAATAAAGACGGGACTAGATCATAGTCAATATCATCTTCCCAGTCTTGACAGGCGATGCTCGTACATAATGGCAGCTCCGTTGCCACTTGCTCCCCTCCATCCCATGGTGATACACGCATTCGGAGTCGCAGCAAGCAGGAAACCCAGTAGAGAGATTGGTGTAGGGTTTCCCAGTTTCTTGCGCAAGTCCCCTGAAACTGTAGGATTCTTGGGGCTCAAGTAGAGTTTCTCGAACGCCTCTCGAGAAATGGGCAGGAAAACACTCTCCGCCGTTTGAATTCGGCGGAGATGCTCGTCCGACTTTTCATTAATGACACCGTCTGACATGATGTTTTGAAGGGAATAGAAAGAAGCAAATCAGATGGTTGATGAAGGAAGAACGGCAGTGCTACGCCTCCAGTCAAGCATTGCCAGGACGGCATTTTATAGTTGTGGAAAATCTTGTCTTCCTCTGGCCCGTGGGGATTCCCTTTGGACTACATCATCCCCCTTCAAGGGATACAGCGATCTGGCTCATCGCCGCGATCTCAATGCTTCCATTGGGCCTTTTCTGGGGAAAAGGCGGGGGAAACGGCGCCAAGTGGGTCGGCTGCAGCGTGGCTTCCCCGCACCTTGTTTGGATCTGGGAAAATACCGAGGACATTGTTATGGTTATTCCTGGTCTGCATACCTACTTGTTCTTTACGCAAAGATCTACAAGTGATTCTGGGTTTGATTGAGTTTCGAATCCTTGTACTTGGAATCTATCGAAATTGTGATCTTCCTACTACAGATCCTCTCTTGTACATTCGTCCATACACCACAACAGACCTTCGGAAACCCTCTACGGAATAGGGGCACATCTTCAGGGGGCAGGTTACCGAGGCCAACAGCTCACTTTTGGACAAGGCCCACTCGAAAAAGTCCCCGCCAAAAGGGCCATTATTTCATGGTTCAGCCTTCAAAGTAGACTTGGCGAAGCCACCGGTGTTCCAAGAAGCTTAGATGATGTGCAAACTATCGAATACTATCACTCAAAATTGCCGCCAACACATAGACTAGAGCCTGCAACTAAATCAAAAACTCTAAATATGCAGATAGGCCGGTCTGGCTTGGATTGCAGACGCGCGGTCATTTGTCCATGTCCCTCCTCGGCCAATGCTGTTGGCACGGCAGCTGTTGTTGCCTGATCTTCTTAGCGCTGCGCATGTCCTGTTGATGTCCCTTCGGAAACTCAATTCTAGATCAAGGAAGCTCCCAAACTTAATATTTCCTCCTCCACGGAGATGAACTCCGGGTGAAAGGATACCTATCTCCGAGCATATATTGGCTAGCCCCCTTCCAAGACATGCTGAACATATCCTCCTGCCAAATCCGGACGATGTCATGGCGAATGGTATCTTTTGAAAATTGAACAGTTAAACCATCGATAATCTGCCAAGAGGATCAACCTGCTCTGTCAGGATACAAATGAAAAGGGCCATGGTGGCCCTACCAGATCATCATGGTTTCTGTGCTAGATCTACACCATTTGGTAGCATCTACGACTACTCTGCTACGGGGTACTTACTGTGATTTTTCGTCAACGCTCGGAATAGACTGAACTGTCCAGACTACCTAGAAAAAACTGCTCTGCGAAGGTCAAGACGTATAACCGCGCCATATGCCCCTGAAGAAAAAGTTTGTCAAAGATATGTAGACGACTCGAAAGCTGTCCAAGAGGAGAATTAAACTTCCCCCGGATTACAGGAGGTTTCCTTAGTCTGTCTCTCCGGCACTCTATAGCGACTGTACAAGGAAATCTCATCGGGTGTTTCCGCTCTCACTTTTCGCGGGCGACATTGTAACCGATGGCCAAGGAAGGCTGCAAGCCTCGGTGATTAGGAGATAGCCAGAGAGCCCACTTCCCTCCGGAAGAAAAGCTTGTTTAAGTTTGAGGGTACGAGGCAAGCATCATGGGTGTTGTCTTATATATTGTTAGAATACTATACCACCATGATTATGGACATGTAATTCGTAGACTAAGGAGTACATTGTCCGGATGCCTTTTTGGTCTAGTAGTATATCCTCCTGAGAGACTTTAAGAAGACGCGCATTTACATCACTATCATCCTGATTGCACCAGAGTTGTAGCTAAAAATCTAAAGGCCAAAATCATCCACATATGCACCTTATAGATTATACCATTCATTGAGAACAACTATACCTCGTTCGAAGGATCGCCCTGATGATTGCCAAAGGATGTTCTCATCTTTTTCCGCCCAAGTCTTGGCGCCAAGCACCATACCCCCATAGTCATGCAGCTTGAGAGAAGAGCAAATTGGTAATACATTAATATACAAATATCTTGCAAATCTTCTTGCTATTGAAGAGGTTCGAATTCTGTTGAGATAACATGACGTGACTTTTAAGGTGAGATAAAAATCCAGCTTCTACACACTCTCTTGCTGCGGAGCGGACGTCTCCAGGTGATCATTTGTTTCCGCCGCGTGCTTCTCGGATCCTTCGTGATCATTTGACTGCTCAGGAAAGACAAACTTTGAGCTCTGCCACGGCTTGATTTTCATGACATACATCGTGTCGATCTCCTCCAGTGTTCTTCCCTGTCCCTCAATGACGGTAAAGTACACCATCGCGGCGGCGAGGAACAAACATCCTGCAAAGACATAACCATATCGAAAATCGATAGCACTGGTAATGAATGGCGTGAAGAAGGCGAGCAGGAAGTTCCACAGCCAGTTGGACGCGGTTGCCAGGGACATTGCTCGAGCTCGGAACTCGGATGGATACAATTCGGCGATGATGGTCCAGACCATCGGACCCCACGTTGACGCGAATCCAAGAATGAAGAGACAGGCGAATACCACCATGACCACCCCGGCGGTATGGGTTCGTTCCGGGAACTGCCGGTCAAGGGAGAAGTGGCCGACAGAGGCGAAGACCATGAAACACACGAACATCCAGAGGGCACCGGCGATGAGGGACCGACGACGCCCGTAGTTCTCGATCAGGTACAGGCCGAGGAAGGTGGTTCCGAAGTTTACCCCACCAAGGATCATCTGGGTGACGTAACTGTTTGAGATACCGGCGCCCTTGAACACGGTCGTTCCGTAATAGAAGAAGTAATTGGCGCCTGTGAGTTGCTGAAGAGCTTGCAGGGCAACACCCACAGCGACACGGTACGACATACGTGGGGCCCGGAAGAGGTGGACCCAAGTGACCTGACCACGAGCAACTTCTTCCTCGTACTTCTGTTTGATCTCCTCGAATTCGAGCTTCAGAGCACGGTGGTTCTTCGGGATGCCGTACATCTTTGAAAGCGTGCTGATGGCCTGATCGACCTTTCCGTGTCGGTAGTCATACCGAGGGCTCTCAGGGAACATGGAGATGCCAATACCCAGGATGAGAGCCCAGACATATGTGATGCCCATTGGGATACGCCAGGAGCCAGTATCCGTTCGTGTTTCGGTGCCGTAGTTGATGCAATTTGCCACGAAGATGCCGAGTGTGATGAACAATTGGTAGGTACTGCGACAGTCAGTGCTGTCCTAGGACAATATACTGTAACCTGACGACTTACCTGACTAGAGAACCACGAATGTGCCGTGGACCGGACTCTGCCTGGTACATAGGGACCAAGAGGGAGAGAGCACCGACCCCCAATCCCGCAACCCAACGGCCGAGCGAAACCTGGTACCACTTACCGACGGGAGAAGAAATCTGAACCGTGATTCCAACGCAGACCATCAAAGACCAGATGGTGATCGACCATTTCCGGCCAATGCGATCCGCAATAGGTGCCGCGATCAAAGCTCCCATCAAGGTTCCAATCGACAGCTATTTACTCATCAGCAATGCACATTTCAGATGGGAACAAAGCGAATATACCAGCGCGACAATCAAACCAGATCGGACGTTGGAGAAGTAATACGTCCCATCAGCTTTTTGTTCACCAAACCGTTGCAGGAAATCCTTCATCGCCAGGAAACCGGAGATTTGACCGGTATCGTAGCCGAACAGGAAGCCACCCATAGAGACAAACACGCCCATGATAAACGACCGCCAAGTCAAGAGCGGTATATGAGTATTGACCAGCTCACTTTCATCAGCCGTGATGGCCGTCTGCGAGTGTGTCTCTGATGCCACACGGTCATCCTGGAAGTAGGCATCAGGATTGGCCTGAGGCAACTTGGGTTTCCTGAAGAGCATGGTCACTACTAGTCAACAGAATTGTAGTACAATTAGAGATCCTTTGGATAGAGTTGGAGTCGGCTCTGCAGTGGACAACGGATCAAAATTCCATCTCGCAGCCTTAAATAAGAGGGTCCTATATAGATAGACTCTGCGCCAAGCCACACTGAGGTCATACGCAACCACACCCAGTCGCAACACCTTTTCTGCATCGTGAAGAGGCAGCATCCTAGCAGCTATTCTGTCATAGTCGGTGATCGCCGCTTGGATCCCTGCTCACGTGGCGTGTTCAATTCCCGCATCTTCCGTGGGTGCAATTCTTGTTCCTCCACAGTCGCGAAGAGAACCGATGAATTGCATCGCACATATTCCACAGACCCACTAATGGAAAGTTCAAGCGACCCTGGATAAGAATCAAAACTGAGTTCTAGGCGCTGCGGTCGGTGGCGGATCCTGGGGCAGTCCGGGGAAGAGAGTGTCATGCCGTCATCGCCCGCAACCGGTAAGCACACGGCGACTTTTGACAGGTTGATGCCCTGCGAATAAGGTTGCACGGCAACCACATATGACCGCAGCCAAGTCTTTCGGTCATCGACTCATCAACGGATTTGACGTGGTGGGCTGGCCGTCGTGGGTGGTATAGTTGCTCAGGGGCGTTACTATGACTGTTTGATGTCCTATATCGCAGCTCATTTGTATCGATCGTTCTGCAATCCCTTGACTTGGGCGAAACTCAAAAGTGAACTGAATCAATCCCACCAGTTCTTTGCCTTCCCCATGATTAATGAAGAATGGTTCTCATTATGCGAGAAGCAGATCCCCTCCGCTGTTCCATCAGTCAGCATCCTCAAATCTAAAATCATCCGATAAGCTTTGACACTTACGTGTATGCGGCGGGCACAAATGTCGTCCGTTCTTTCGGTTATAGTCCACGACTATCTCAATGCGTGGGCCACGGGCCCTGAGAAACCTTTGAATGCTCGGACAAGTGATTCCCTGTTTCCGGCAGCTTGCCATCCTACACAAAGTCAGCCTCAGTCGAGCTTAAGGTTGCTCATGGACAAACTCTCTGCAACGACTTTGGCTGTGGGACGAATACGCAAGAGGCTAAACGCTCTATTGATGGAAAGGAATGCGCGACAAGCGATTGGTCATCGGCGGCCCATTCGATAAACCCTGACATTGAAACGAACTTCTTGGTTGCTGGGATGTGTGTCAATTGATCCGTCGGAAGAAGCCACCATAGACAAGACTTGCCGACTGATGATTGCTCGGGATGATTAATCACGAGGTGGTTTCGGACCACGGGCTGTTCGGCATCAGTGTCATGTTCCATATAATGATAGGTCGGGGCCAGGATGTCCGGGAAGACCATAGGACGTCGCCAAAGACTCGCGCCCATCCTCTAACATCACAGACGAACGTGCACCAGAAACTCCTGCGTCACATACAGCTTGCCAATGCTTGCAAATGTCCGCAACCTGCTTCCACCATATGGGTATATCCAATCGGTGGTCTGCTATCTGCATTTGATCTTCTGCAGAATGGCATGACTGGACAGTGTTTCGGAATTTGCATTAACGATCACTGTGCATCAGTCTGAAAAGATATGAGCGGGTTGATTTACATTGTATTCAACAGTCTAGTTTCAACTGAGTAGCTTCTCGAGTCTACAAAAATGACGGCGGTATGGCTTTCACCTAGATGCTTGTTCAATGGAGATAAACAGATTGTCCAGACTTACCGATGGGGTCCCATCACCCGCTCTGCTTGGCGACTTAGTACATATAGAAGAAGCTGGACTATTTGTTCACTGCTAAGAACAGCCTCTTGCTGTGTCTATCTTCCAATATAGCTTGGTAAATTCAGCTCTGGTTATACAAGGCAGAAATGACAAAAGCAGCAGGCGGGACCCTTCCAGAAGGGGAAAGCCGCCATGTTGAATAAGCCAGCGGGATACCAAAATAAGAAGATGTCTTCCGCCTGGGAAGGACGAAATTGCAATAATTTCGCTCATGAAAAGCCCAACAAGGCATCTTGTTCTAGGATAGTCTCTATGCACAAGCGGCGTACTCTATAGATCTATGACACAGTCCCGCAATTTCGCTCAAGCAACAGGAGGCACATCCTTCGGGCCAACATTATTCAACAAGCTCAAGAAGCAGTTCCATCCTATCTCACTTAGCACAAGAACGAAACGCTCCACAGGGAACATACCAATATTTAACACATTGACCGTAAGCACCCGGTACTGCAGCGGCACAAGCGCAAAGTTCACCAGCTGCAGGAACGGCCAAACCGTCCAGTTGGCTTTCAGCGCTGGCCAGTACGACCTCTCCAACTTGTCTCTAGGACTTCCGCCCTCCATGATAGACATGCTGGACAAAAAGACTCCGATCATGGTGGGAGCGAATAGTAATTGATCCGCTGCTACTCTCCCAACGACTGTTCGTTGTGCGGTGGGCAGATTGATGCGTCTCTGCAGGACTTGGAACCATTTTGTGGCCAGAGGACCAAAAACAGCTACCACGGTGAGGAAGGGTATCTTTGTAGGGGAAGGAGCCCACTTACCTCCGCCGTAAAGTGCCATTCGTGTAGTGCGCATCACATCGTGCCGAGTAATCCCTCTTCTTTCCACCGCTTGTTGGGCGAGGCCATCTCCAACGGCGAAGAGACACTGTTTGCAATTAATACCTGACGTGAGATTCACCCGGATGAACTAACCGCAGTCGTCAAGCTTTGCGTCAACAGAGGACGCTGGGCTAAACTTCGCTGGTACCTATACCCGCGTGAGCGAGTCATTCGCTGCCAGTGCCTTGTATCTTACCACTGAAACATTGTGACCTCTTTCACCAAGGGTTTCAGAATAAAGGATTTAGGACAATCCAACCTGTGAAAGATAATGAAGTTGTTTAATAAAACTTGATCCTGAAAGAGTGACGTTTGTTCTTTGTTGATCATCATGTCCTTCTCCACATGGTATCGGGAAGTATGAAATTGGAAATCTACCCGCTATGAAGTCATAGTAGGCCCGCCGCACACCCTATAGACTTCTTGTGTACCTTTTTCAGGCCGATTCATCTACCTCAAAAGTCCCACGTCAAACGATTATTCGACCAAGAAACCTCATCAAACCCCGGGCCGAAAATCTCTCGGAAGAGATCCGCAAATCCATCATTTGCCAAGTCACGATCAGTGCCCATCACAGCCATGGGCAAAAAGGGATCATATGAAGAAACCAATGGACTCGCAACATCTGTTTCTTGATTTATCGGCGTATACGCGATCGTCCTTTCGGGAGCAGAGTCATTTTGATCTCCGGCCACCGCGGCCAACTCTCCCAATCCCACTGCTCTGCTCCGCAGCACCATGAGCAGATGCTGACCCAGCAGGGCTGCAATCCCAAGACGATGGGACGGCGTCGTGCCAGACTTCTGCAGCTGCAGCGCTACCTGCGCGAGCAACGCAAGAAATTCCATTCCACCGTCCGAGCCAGAGCCATACAGACACGGAAAAAGCTTCAATGCCAGGACGGCTGCATACGCTATCATCGCCCACGTGGGCGCAAGCATGCAGTACAGAGGCTCGCCGATTGTCCGCAAATCGCGTACAGCTACCGCGCAGCAATGTACGGCGGCATCGAAGCAGTCTTCTCGAATAGCGTCGAGATGGCGGTCTGTATTCCTGGATGCATGCAAAGCAAAAGACAGGGTCCACAGCCGGTTGTGCAGATACACATAGTTGAGGAAGACATCAGGTAGTTGTTGAGATTGAGGCAGGGTGTAAGGATCTTGAAGCCAAGTCTTGCACCATGGCTCTAGCGAGGCATTAATCAGCTTCGAGGCCCAATGAGGATCTGCCTGAGGAAGCGATGCTTCATGCCGTAGCTCATTTTGCAGCGGGGCCAAGAGGCGGCGGAGAAGTATAAAGGCGCAGGTATGTCTGTCAGTCGCATCAGCGAGCGGATGCATCCTCCAGCTGTCGATGTTGCGTGTCAGTTCTGTGTCTGCAAAGACGTTGGTGCGACCACATGCGGCGCTATTGGCTCTTTCCCACAGCAAGATCCGTAGCCAAGTTCGTTCCCGATTTCGTGCAAGCCTTTGAGTGTGCTCCGAATGTTGACGGGTCTGGTTATTGAGAGGATTGCGATGCAATCGTGACTTTGAACCTTGGTCCAGGCCAAGCTCTATTGCAATGCCCACTGCATGCGTCGTGTAAAGCCACGAGCGTTCCTCTGACAATGCTTTGGCCGGAGTCGCTGATAGGAGCGAAATGTAATACCCCTGCACGACCTCAACAGACTTCCAGCCAGAACTGTGAACGTGTCGGGAGAGCTTCTCTCCATGCAGCCGCAGCCTTTTGGCAATGGTCTCCGAGCTGTGATCAAATTGAGCCGTGAGAGCAAGGATCCATGTGAACAAGAGGCATGACCGCGAGCGTACGTACTCGGGAGTGTGCAGCTTAGGATCAAGAATGCCATTGACTGAGTGAAGGCGTGTGAAGTAGCTGTCGATAGTCAGAGGAGCTGCCTTTTGGGAGTGATGTAATCCCTTACATGGAAAAAAGCATATGTGCTTCTTGCATGGATACCAAGCCCAGTTCCACTGGGTCCAGATCCGGACCAGTGTCTCGTGATGGATCTGAAACAGGTCGGAAATAGTCCATATGACCCGCCATATGCGATGAAGACTTAAGTATCGCATTTAAACCTTTTTCAACTTGATCCTTAGTCAACTGCAATCCTATCGGTACGTGTCCTGGACAACGCAGGGGATAACGCGTTCCCTCTGATGATGGTATACTGCGTATTGCCTCTACTGTAGAATGTAGACATGTATCCATCGACGGTCGTGGCATACTCATTACCCGTGCTGTTTCAGACGCATCTGCGAGCAGAGCCAATGGATTGCTGACAGGCTCCTGGCTAACGTCAGAGCTCGATATCGCACTAGTCATCCGGTAGAAGCAGGAATTCGTGTGCGGTTGACTCTGCTCTGTATAGTGAAAGTCCTGAGCACCTGCCAGTCGCCTTTGCGTTGAGCATTTCTGAAGATGACTTAGATCTTCCCCGTGCAACGGTTGATTGAGCTCTGCATCCGCATGTTGCTCAGAGTTCTGCACGTCCGAGAGAAGGTCCAAGAGGCGCTCTTCCCGCTCCGACAAACCATTCATCCCATCAATGTCATTAGATGAATTTCGTGCCTTTTCCAACTCGGCCTGTATCTTCCGACGGGCCTTCTCGAGACCTTGATAGCGGCCCACTGCCCCGGGTCTTCGGCCCAGTGGACGTGGTGGAGGAATGCTACAGGTGCGGTTATTTCGCCGGCAACGCTCACATGGTTCTAATTGACTCTCACACGTATTAACTCTTGCAGGTCGAATACATCGCATCTTTAATTTCCGACATGCTTCGCATGCCGCTGTGGTGGAGGCGCGTGGAAGTTGTTGCCTCATCGACGGTCTCGCCGAGCCAGCTGCCATGAAGGAAGGGGTTGTTACTAGATTGAACGGCCCTTCAGCAGAGTTAGACTGAGACCAAATTATTGTTAGATCTCCAATCATGCCATCATGATATCTGCGAGGACATTCAAGGTGTGTGTGGACAGCAGAAGAGGGAGTGATGCGGGGAATCAGTCCGGCTATTTCCCTTCTTGGCAATTCATCGCCTGAGGCCACCCTGAAGCCCCAAAGGCAATATTTCTTCCATCGACCAAGTCAGCGTCAAATAAGTGGGTTATAGCGGAATAGGATACTCCCAGCTAAAAATATATCTGAATCCAACCTATCATGTATGATGAGATTGCGATCTGGTTTTATCCAGAGACAAAATGCACCGGTTGTGGGTCGCCGGCCTATTAATTTACTGACCGGAGGAAGCTTTTATACTCTTCCGTCCATGCTGAGATCATATCTCCAACTTCCTCAAAATTGAACATTACTCATACAACTCTGACCCTTAACATGCAGACTTTGACTGTTGATGTCCTGATATGTGGCGGTGGCATGTCCGGCATGGCCTGCGCTGCCTTTGCCGCCGACGCCGGAGCCAAAGTACTTGTGGTCGAGAAACAGTCGGTTGTGGGTGGTTCTTCGAATTACTCTGCCGGGATGTTGTATGTAGTTTGAAAAACCAGTCCTGAGACAGGTGCTGATGTCTAGCAGCTGGGCCCCTAAGTCCTATGAGCGCTTGAGGTCATGGGTACCTGCAGGTGATCCAGAGCTACAAGCAGCGTGGATGAAGGACTACCTGCCCGCCGTGCAATGGATACGGGAGAATGGGATCCCAATTGATCAAAGTTTTGATGGGATAATGACAATCGGTATGACACACCAAATCGATGTCCACTTCTGCTAATCGTGGTTGCAGGGATCGGCTTCCCGATCAAGATACCACGGCTTCACGATCATCATCAACAGCGGATCAAGAACAGCAACACTCGCTCCGAAGTATTCACTGATACATCAGTGATCAAGCTGATACAACAATATCCGGGTCTACCAGGATCTCGCATCATCGGCGCTATTATCCGCCAGAATCACGGCGATAGGAAGAGGCCAGTGCACATCGAAGTCAAAGCCAGGCAGGTAGTGTTAGCTACCGGCGGATTCCAGGGTAACCCATCCTTAACTTCAACGTATATCGGCCAGGGAGGAGACAGCCTCTTTATCCGATCGAATCGCGGCTCTGTCGGAGATGGACTCACCTTGGCCAGGGCAGTAGGAGCAGGCACAAGTCGTGGAATGAACACGTACTACGGCCATTTGCTACCTGCTCCCTTGCGAGCTGAGGACGTCAACCCGAAGGACTTTTTGGCTTTAGCACAGTACCGTACGTCATCCCTATCTGTAATGTAACTGATCACATCAGGGCTGATAGCGCGCACAAGAAAGCAAGCACTGCCTCCTAATCAACGAAAGCGGGCGCAGATTCACCGACGAGACAATGGGCGATGAAATTGTCAATCAATACCTGGCCAAACAGGAAAAGCGCTGCGGGTTTCTCTTATTCAAGTCCAGCATCCCTCCCTAGCAGAATACGGACAACTCAACTGACCTCTACAGTGACAAAACAAGAAACCAGCATTGCATCTCCGCCCCGTTCCCTAACGCAGGTGAGATTGATCGTCTTGAGAAGGCTCGCGCGCACGGGTGCAAGGTCGCCAGCGCACACAGTATCGACCAGTTGATCGAAATACTGGAGACGTGGGGTGTCGATAGCGCCCAGGCCCGCCGGACGATCGAGCAGTACGATCGTGTGGTACGTCTTGGCGACAAGACAGCAATGCTCGATGCGCCGGTTGGGAAGGGGGGTAAACCACCTATGCCTTTGACTGAGGGTCAGGGACCGTTCTTTGCCATGGAAGTGCAGCCATCGTAAGTGATGCCGCCGCCAGGGACATATTGCAAATGTAACCGACGAAGTAGAATCACTTTCACATATGGCGGAATTCTCATCGACGCCGAGGCTCGTGCTCTCACTGCGGACAAGACTCCTATTCCAGGTTTGTTAGTCACGGGTGTTGACGGCGGGGGCTTCAGCAACGTGGGCTACGCAGGAGGCTTGGCTTTGGCGTTTGTGACTGGTCTTTGGGCCGCAAGAACTGTCGCTAAGGAATTAGGACTACCAGCGCCGCAGTTGCCAGCCGCCGATCCGCGGGATGTGATATCGAGTAAGCAAGGGGTACTTAGTCGGGTATAGAAAAATTCTCTACTTCAATGAACACGAATTCCGGGGAAGATATGATGATTGCAGGACCTCCAACATTCTGCCTTTTAGGCTATATACCTTCGTGAATGTAAGGTCAAAGTCTAGAGGAATGCCCCCGGCACATAGCCCAACAACACATCCTTCCTCGCCACCTGCCTTAACCTCTGCAGTATCTCCGGACTTGTTGAAATCCCCTGGATTTGACACTCACGGCCAATACTGTTCGTCAATTTGTCAAGAGAGATATGCGCAACACTGCTTTTGTCCGCGAGCACCTCTACTTCTTCCTCGGCCACCTTGCGCGCACACTCATACATGGCCGTGTAGCGGATCAGATCCGGAGACATGCGCACTTCGTCCGACTGGGACTTTTTCGAGTCCCGACAGCAGGAGCGGCATGCCGTCGTGATGAGGGCAAAAGACGGCTTGTCATTTGATAGGTGAGCTAGGGGTGTTTCCTGGATGCTCTTGATAAGCACCATTCTGATGCAGTGGATGCAAAGTACGAAGAGTCCTTGGTCCTTGACAGTGTTTGGTTTCTCTTCTGGAGATTGGTGTGCTTTCTTGGATTCGCGATGCTCTTTTGTTGGTTCTTGGTGCTTCTTCGTAGCTCCGCGCTCCTCCGTGGCCACAATATGGAGGTTTGTCCCTTCTACTTCTGCAACTGGGACGGTTCCATTGACTGCAGGTTTTGTCTCCTTGAAAACTGGGACAGTCCCGTTGACAGGTGGTTTGAGCTCATTTTGTACTTTATTAGTGGTGTTGAGAAACTTCAGTTGCCCATCGGATGCATCCGCCCTCTTGGGCGTCTCGATAACGGTTGAGAAGCTTTCAGCCGAGATATCTGCTTTCATTGGTGGCGGTGATTCAAGAGGTGGTATCTCTTGGGTTAGAATATAGGGTACAACTGCATCTTTATCCTGGGATCCATTTTCCCGGCGCCACAGGGGGACCCAACTGTCCGTTTGGGATTTGAATGCTGCGGGTCCAACATTGGGCAGCGATTTGTACCCCTGAGAAGTCTTAGCTTGGCAATCAATAGCATGAACGAATACACACCACGGCAGGATTTCTCAACAGCTGCCTCGCAAGATCAAGGAACGGTTCATGTATGTTGCTCAGAGACATGACAGACATCTCCACATACCCCGTCCCTTTCTTCTTGGGGAAAGTGATAGTCTTTGGCGGCAATCTGGCATCCATCGAGGCATCGTCTTTGTTTCCGCAGATGAAGATGGGGATAAACCTCCCCAGGCGCATCCCATCCTTGTTCACGAGGCTTTCTGTACGATTCCGTCAGCGCTGCCGCAATACAAGAAGCGCTGTACATACGGTACCAATTAGGTACATTATTGTACGAGATCCGATCTGTCAGATCAAACATGATGATCGCAGCATCGATGTCGTCGAATTCCCTCGACGACAGGGCATTTGGTTTCTGAGTGCCGCTGACATCCCAGATCTCGTACCTCACCGGGCCGACAGTCTACAACATGAGCCATTGTCTTTGTAGTCAGAGGAGACACTTACTGTGTGTAGGAGGATGTCATGTTTCTCAACGTTGGCCGTTACCGGCAGCGAATGCTCGAATCTCTTTTTGAGATATCGGTGCAAGAAGGCTGTCTGTGTCGGTTAGCCAAGTCTCCCGAGGCGGATAGGAGACGTCACCAATACCTTGCCCACACCGGGGTTTCCTATGAGGAGCACTTTGAATGTCCTGGTATCCTTGGTCATTTTGATGAGGATATCCAGTTATTCACTAGAGAATAATTTGAAGACCAGCTGGCAATGGGATTGGAAATATGGCGCAAGGGGAACATGAATCCCGCCATGTCCCGGTGTGGCTGGTAGAATGTGGGGTATTCGCTTAATCGACGATCTTTTATTATGGACTTGCCGATTACGGATGGGTTGGGCCTGAACCGGGATCTTATTTTTATATACAATCAAGGTGATATATCATAATGTCCTCCCATAATTATCTCGACTATTGATATATCTCCCATCGGACCAGAAAAGTACTATGCTTCATACAGACACCACATGTAAACCATATGTAAACCATATCATGTCAAACCCTAAGCCTTGATCCTAAACGGTCCAGCCGCATGAAACAGACTCGGCATCTACAGTCCCAATCAGCCTACTCTTTATCGACACCTAAGCGTAAGAAGTGGTGACATACCTGCGGCGCCGTCTCTAAGACCGTCTGCACCCGCAAATACCACACCGAGTCATCATTAACCGCGGGTATCTCCCCGGGGACGGTGATCGTCACCTTTCCATCCTCCTCCTTAATTCCGTCCTGGATCTTGATCGACTGATCAAAGTTAATAGAATTGGGGACCCTCACGGGATTGTTGTACAGCCAGACATTATACTCGCCGCCGGGGTATTGGGACAGGGGACCAGGGCAGTAAGTTGTCGGGGCGCGATTGAAGCGTAGCTCGATCTGGCTGCCGGGGGCCACCGTGGAATTATCGGGGATGCCTTGGTAGACGTTGATGCAGGCGTAGTCGCGTTTCCCCCATGCTACGGAGTGGATCGGTGAGACTTGGGGCGGGTGGTGAGGATGGGGTTGGACTTACGCTGGTACTTGTCAAACGCGGAGGCGCTGATGGCGAGGAGGGAAGAGATGATGGCTGTTGAGATCTTCATCTTGTATTCTGTGGTTGAAGGGCAGTGTTGGTGAATGGGATGCAAGAGCAGGGTTCTGATATTATGTATGAAACCCCTGTATGGCTATCGATCTTTTGGGAGCCGTTGTCCTGCGACGCGAGAGTACCTCTAAACGGGTCTGAATGACATCGATTGGTAATCTTTAAGAGAGAAGTGGCTGCTTAGTCTCAGGCTCACTGTCTCAGCTGCTAATTTTGAACGACAAGTGAGACATCTTGGCATGAAGATCAGCCACTCCGACAGCAAGGCTGTGTGCATATTTATCCACTTTCTGCGCCGAGCATCCTGTCTAAGACATGCAGTCATGTGTACTGTCGAGTGTAACCCCGAGCCAGTTACAGTCGAGTCCGTCACTCGAGTCACTCCAACCTGACCGTATACGACTTGCCCGCAACTGTCTGGATTGGCTTCGTATACTTCTCCCCGTTCACAGTAAACGACTCTCCATCCTGCACCCTCAAAGCCAGTACCCCTCCACTCCTCGACTCAACCCTGGCATGCTGCAGCTCCCCACCGCTCCATTTCATATCAACGACAAAGTTCCCCCGCGCCACTAAGCCGCTCACACTCCCACTCGGAACAGCCGACGGCAACGCCGGCAGGAGATGCACCACCGCATGACTCTGCAGCAGCATCTCCGCGATTCCCGCCGCAAAGCCAAAATTGCCATCGATCTGGAACGCACTGCCGGGTCCCTGGTCCGTGTTCCAGAGGTTGTCGGTCGGGTATTTCTGCAGGAAGTACTGCGTGTGGTTCCAGACGCTATTGCCGTCGAACAAGCGCGCGTAGAGACTCATCGTCCACGCGCGCGACCATCCCGTGCTGCCGCTGCCGGAGTTGATGCGGTGGTTCAGAAGGACCTTGGCTGCGTCCGCCAGGGTCTGGTTGACAAGCGGTGTCATCTGGGAGCCCGGGTAGAGACCCAGGATGGGACTCATGTGTCTGTGTCCTGCTTCGGTCTCTTCGTACTCGCGTCTCCATTCGAGGACCTGGCCGTAGGAGCCGATATCGGGCAGTCGGATCTTGGAAATGTGCTTTTGTGCGTTGGTCAGATCCTCGCCTGTGATACCAAGGACTTTGCAGGTCTCGATGATGGCGGCGAGGAGCTCGTGGAGTAAAAGGTTGTCCATTGTTGGGGCGAGGTCGATTCCAGTGGAGTCACCCGCGATAGTCATGTCCTTCGGGATTATAAATGCATTCTCGGGGGAGATGGACGGACCGCTGGTGTAGTAGCCTTCGAAGTCGAAGAGGTAGCAGTAGTAGAAATCGGCTGCGCTCTTCAGGAGCGGCCAGATACGCTCTCGCAAGAGGGTCTTGTCTTGGGTGAAGCGGTACTGGTCCATCAGGTTCATCGACATCCACGCACTGCCCATCGGCCACATGGTCCACTTGGTTCCGTTGTCCACGGGGGCAGCATCCCCCCAGAGATCGGTGTTGTGGTGCAGGATATACCCAGTGTCGCAATGGTACATTTTCTTGGCGACGTCTTCTCCATGTGCGAGGACCTTATCCATCAGATCAATGACAGGCTCGAACGTGTCTGCAAGATTGGTGACCTGCGCATGCCAGTAGTTCATCTCCAGATTGACGTCGACGGTGTATTTGCCTCCCCAGGCGGGCGAGTAGTCCTGGTTCCAGATACCCTGGAGGTTGGCGGGAAGACCAGCTGTTGCTCCTGCGCGGGAGGATGCAATGAGCGAGTGTCGGCCAAAGTTGAACATCAAGGTCACCAACTCGGGGTCACTGCTAGCGTCGGTTTTGTACTTCTTGAGCCTGATGTCTGTGGGCTGGTTTCCCGCGGATCCGGACGAGCCCAGGTCCAGTCTGACGCGGGCAGAAAGAGACTGGTAGTCTGAAGTTGCAGCTTGCTTCACTGCAGGGTAGTTAAATTTTACTGCAGCGTCTAGCTGTTTCTCGACAGTCGCATCTCGCTTAGTCTCATCGGGATATCGATAGGATGTCTGCGTGTCAAAGAAGATATCCACTATCGAGGCACCAGTGACCACAAGCGAGGTTCCATTGCTGGTGATTTGACCTAAAATATTAGCTTTTACCATAAAAAGAGTGGATGAACCTACCTCCACGGCTCAGCACCCTCGCCTGCGCAGTAAATCTGATAGGATCCGTACTCTGCCCACTATTCGCCTTCAGGGTTAGAGTGCCCATTCCATTACTGCTCTCAGCAGTCAAGCTCTCCACATATTTACTTCTCTCCAACATCGTAACCACATTCAAAGCACCGTCCTTGCTCGCCTTGAGCCGAATAGCCAATACCCCATTGGGATGACTAGCAACATACTCCCGACTGACCAGTCAGTACCTCCTCTGCTCTCCGCAAAAGACAACTTACCTATAGACCACATTCCCCACCTGATACCTCACACCCGCAACCCCCTTATTCAGGTCCAAAAAGCGCGTGTAATTCTCCACACTACTTGCGTCGTGTCCAAAATCCAACCTCAATGATCCCAGCGGGTTATACGCCTTCGGACTGCTCGGAATACTCACCATCTCCTGCAAGACAACATCGCTCGCTGCACTGAGGTTCCCGGTTTCAAGCATAGCCCGCGACTCGGTAAACCCCTCGTACGCCTTCGGGTTCACACGATCCTGGAAGGGGCCATTCCAGATGGAGTTCTCGTTCAGGGTGATGTTGTCGATGGCGCCGCCCCAGATTGCGGCTGCGAGACGGCCATTGCCGATGGGGAGGGTGGAGGCGAAGTCCGCGGCTGGGGTGGTGTACCATGTGTACGTCGAGGGATTGAATGAGGCGGCTCGGGCTGGGGAGAGGGCAGTGAGGACTGCCAGAGCTGAGAGGGTGCGCCACATGTTGCTGTTGCTTGACATGATGCACTGGAGTGGTTGATTCCTGTTATATACCTTGATAGTTCTGAAGTGCGGGGATTCAGCACGCATGAATCTCGCAAGACAGACCTCATGCAGTACGTTGATCATCGAGGATGGAGTAGGGGATTCCACGAATCATTTTCACTAATCAGATGGGATCCCCAGGATCGAGGGCCTTTCGGGGCCAGGTCACCACTGAGCCATCCATATCCATCGACTCTGACTAGGAATTTAGCCGGAACGTATTTATCCAGGAGGATTGAAGGTGACAGTAGCTAGTATACCGGGCAATACCCCGGCTTGAACCCCGCACGATCTACAGCCACAGGATAAGTGATGTTCCCGGTGATTCAGTGCTAATTTTGGTTAAACGGTATGTCTCAGTATATACATCCATCAATCATATCACTTGTCTCAATGAAAGCGGCCTATCTCTAGGTCGAGAAAATTGGCTTCTTCTGAAGCGTCTGCTGGAATACCTGAAGCGAGGTTTCGGGTTCTGCATCATTAGCATCGATCATACTGAACACCAAGGGAAGACTCACGGTAGTAGGGAACCTCATGTCCCGCCCCGTACACCTTTAGGAACGAGAAGTTGTCCACGCTCTTGAACATGCCCTTCTCAGCGCCGTTGACTGTGTACGGCGCGAGGTCCTTGGCTTTGAACTCCGCCTGTCCGGGATAATCAACGGCATTGGCGACCTCGTAGTTGCCCAGCCAGTTGCAGATCCAGTCGGCGTCACCCGCCCAGACGAGAACGTTGATGCCGGACTTGACCACGTCGGAGAGAGTCGAAAGAAACGAGCGAGGGTCTACATCGTCAGCTGTGCAGGTGCGAGGAAGAAAAGAGCGAACTTACTATCTCCCGTTGACGAAAACTTGTTATACGGCGCATTCGGACATTCCTGGTAATTCGTCTGTGCACCAATAGCTTTGACAACGTCGGGATCGGAGAGGTAGGTGGAATATGTCGCAGGCGGGTAGGGGTCATTGGATGGCTCGCGGATATCATACACATCCCAGTCGCCGGAATTACTGATCGGTCCCTCAATGTTGTTGTAGCAGACGCTGTCGGCGTTTCTGCAGGCAGCGTTGGTGCCTGTCTGGGTGCATTTCTGAATAGCCGGCAGACATTGGCTGTTGTAGACGCTCAGCAGACGGGTGCGATCGGAAGAGGAGATGAGCTGCTTGTAGGTGTTATTGTAGCTGAAGTCGATGTACGCCTTTTCTTGGATGGCCGAGTCGATCCAGCCATTGTTGACTCCCAGGGCGATCAGGTTGATGTTTTCGCCGGATACCGTTCCGGCTTTGATGGCGGCGTTTTGCTGCTGAATGTACGAGGCGAATTCGGGGCCATAGTGTCCACCGTAGGACTAAACGGTCAGCTCCTTCTGCTGTCGTACCTTCGGAGAAGGGACTTACCTCGGTGAAGATGGCAAAATCGCGGCTTTCGTATTCCGGGAACTGCGCGTAGAATGCCTGCAGCAATTTCCATACATAAGGGGCAGCGGTCACCGTGCTGGTCACGTCGTCTGTACCATAGGAGAAGCCAACGCCGATGGGCTGGTCGACGTACAGCATGTTGGCGTAGTTATTCCAGCTGTACTCGTTCAGCGAGGGAGTATCCTCCCCGTTGACAAAGTGGCAAGGACCGTGCTCCTGGAACAAACCGATCATGGAGGAGCAACCAGGGCCGCCGTTGAACCAGGCAGCCAGGGGAGCTTGCTGGGGGTTGTTTCGGGCCTCAAAGAACCTGGGGATATTAGAGGTCTGCATGGAGTCATGTTGTTGCGTAGCACGTACCAGAACCACATGTTCATGTTATCCCCGACAGAGAGATATCCAGAGTACTGATTTACTCCGGGAGTAGTCTCGCAGATGCCCGAATTCTTGACAAACTCCATCTTGGCTCCAGTCGCGGCATGTTCGAACACGGTATACTTGACGCCATTCTTCACAACAGACGAGACACTGTCTTTGGCTGCGCTGGCCGTGCTGGCCGGGGCAGCTCTAACGCCTGCTACCAGGAGAGGGAGAAACCACTTTTGATACCGCATTTCACCTCAAAGAGACCTAGATCCTGAACAGACAGAAGATCTGGTACTTCGTCCCCATTCGGGGCGATCCCTCTTTATAGCACCTGGAAGACTGCAAAACAACGCCAAGATGAGGAGGATCATCGGTTTAACCACGATCCTCTTCAAATCAATCAAGCTTCGTCAGGAACGAGCCATACACCGACTAGTTCCGTCGGAATACGACGCTGTTATCGAGCGTCCGTCGTACCTAGTAGATCACCTTCCCCATCCGGGCATTCTTCCGGATGCCGAATCAACAAGACGATCCAAGCTTTACTCAAGAGAAATTGGCGATCGGCAGCCAAGACCGGAGTCCGGATGGATGTGCGACGGCCGCCAATAAATATCCCTGATCATGGTTACATTCAGCTGTTCTCTGTGGCAGATGAAGAGGGGAAGGTGAGACATTCAGCGTGATTGGTGATATGGATGCCTCCTATGATGATCACCATTTGTTTATCTCAATCGGCTAGATTATTCACGGCTTCTTGCTGAGGAAAACAATTATCTAAGAGGATAACCTAGTGGGATAGCTAATCTCACAGAGATCAATCATTCTGATATGTGACAGATGATACCATAAACCCGAAAATACTTGTCCCTGCCTATCTGAGGAATCATCGACCATCCCGGAACTTCTTTATATAAACATTAATGAAAACATCCACTGATCGCCCCACAAAAAAGATGACGAGATGTGTAACACTAGTCGGCTTATCATTTGGCATAGATTCATCCTCATCTGAGCTGACATGTGGTCTAGCATGCCTGAACAGCGTATCCCATGCATGCTGTATGACTGTTGCACCGAAGTGCTGCCGAGTCACACCAGCACAACGATCAGGTCATTCAGCAGGGCTTCCTTCTCGCAAGGTCTTCAGCTTTGAGATAATCTATCTTATTTCCTGACCTTGTCGTCTCTATCCGGGAGCATCATAGCTGTATCGAAAACCATGATTACTCTACCATAACCCAGTCATTACAGTCCTACGGGCTTGAAGCTCCCTTGAAGATTATCTCGCGAATCGACGGGCACGAATGCTCCAAGAAGTCGACTGCGACGCCCTGAGCAAGATGTTCGGCGTGTGTAGCTCCCTTCTACAGTCGCTACTCCTCCCGCCGACCATGTAGCTCTACATCTCAACCACCCCCCCCCCCCCCCCCCCCAGCCCCCCCCCCCACCCCTCCCACCTCCCCTCCACCTCTCCTCCACCCCTCCACCCTTCACCCCT